ATGCGAGAGATTGCTGAGGCCTACCTCGGCTCAACTGTTAAGAATGCGGTGATCACAGTCCCTGCTTACTTCAATGACTCGCAGCGTCAGGCTACAAAAAATGCTGGTGCCACTGCTGGCTTAAAGGTGACACGTATTATCAACGAACCCACTGCTGCAGCCATTGCTTACGGCATTGACAAGAGGGCTGGTTGGTACAGCAAGAGAAATGTGCTGATGTTTGATTTCGGTGGTGGTACGTTGGATGTGTCCCTGCTTTCCATAAGTTGTGGTGTCTTCGAAGTGAAGGCGACTGCTGGAGACACTCAGCTTGGAGGTGAAGACCTTGATAACAAAATGGTTAATTTCTGTGTTGAGCAATTCAAGAGGAAGCATAATTTAGATGTGAGTGGAAACTCCAGGGCTCTTAGGAGGCTAAAAAATAGTTGTGAGAAGGCAAAGAGGAGACTTTCCTTTACATCTTCAACAGACATTGAAATTGACTGTTTGTATGAGGGTACTGATTTTTATGTAACTGTTACTCGAGCTAAATTTGAAGAACTCAATAGGGATATCTTTGTCAAGTGTATGGAGCCTGTGGATAAGTGTTTGAAGGATGCCAAAATAGACATAAGCAGTGTCCATGATGTTGTTCTTGTTGGTGGCTCATCAAGAATTCCCAAGGTGCAGCAACTTTTACAAAATGTTTTCAAGGGTAAGGAGCTGTGCAGAGGCATTAATCCGGATGAGGCTGTGGCTTATGGTGCTGCTGTTCAGGCTGCAATCTTGTGTGGCAAGGGAAATGAGAAGCTTCAAGACCTCACTCTCTTGGATGTCACCCCTCTATCACTCGGTGTGGAGACTGGACGAGAGCGCGACATGACAGTTGTGATTCCAAGAAACACCAAGATGCCTGTCAAGAAGAATTATCCTGTTACCACTCGCCATGACAACCAAGCTGTTGTTAGATTCGCCGTTTATGAGGGTGAGAGTACAACGACGTTGAATAATTACTATTTGGGTGATTTTAGGCTCAAAGATATTCCTCCAGCTCCAAGGGGTGTCCCTAAATTCAACATCTGCTTTGAAATTGATGCCAACGGAATTCTGAACGTATCTGCTGAGGACGTGTTGACTGGCCAGAAGAAGGGGATTACCCTCAGTAGCAATGACACAAGTTGTGAGGGAATTGAGAAGATAATGTAAGAAAGGTCGTGTTATGATGAACACTGAAACAGTCTGTTATAATTAACTGAGCTGAGACAACTATGTAATTCTTCTTGGATTTTATAGATATAATGTTTTCAACCATTATATTAACTTTAATTTGTATCCCCTTAATTTAAAACCTAATACTTCATCCAAATATACTTAGAAAACTAACACCAATATGTGAGTTTAGATGTGTGGCAGCAGGATTATGCTGAAATGGCAGGCAGGCAGGGCAATATCTTACATTGGATTTACTGATGCTGAACTTGGGAAGGAATTGAGACAGCCATATTATTGAAATAGCGTATTAAATCAATTTGATTGTAAATGGAAGAACCTATTTGTTGTCCATGGCAAAAAAAAAAATTGGTTATTTAAAATTGGCTGTCCACTTACGTTCATTTCTTTGGCTGCCAGTGCCAACCTCACCAAAATTGCCACTTCTCTTTCCTTTGTTTTCTTTCCCGCTCTCTCTTTTTCTGTATAATTTTTTTTTTCGTGGTACAATTCTTTATTAGCTTCTTGGTGCGGCAACTCCTTTTTCTGTATATCTTTCTTTCCCGCTCTCTCTCTCTCTATTTCCCTTTCTTCTATTTCTTTGGCTACTGTACATTTCTTCTTTTTCCTTTTCTTCCCCACCAAGAAAGAACCTTTAATTTTGTCGTGTGTCATCCTCCTCTCCCTCTCTAACAACTGCCAAAAGAGAAAAGAAAAAAGAGAACCTAGAATTTTTTTCCTTTCTCCAAGTGGGTGACATACATCAGTGAAAGAGAGAGTGAACAAAAGAATATAATATGAGGTATGAAACGGGTGTGCTTGTCATTTTCGTGTCAACTCGATTTTTTTAATGTGTTGACACGATACAACCTGTTATTTAATAGGTGAAAAATACATGATACGAATATGACAAACCCTTTAACAACTCTACGCAACCCACCCACAACACCCCTATCTGAACTCAAATTCACGATTGCAACATAAAAGCAACAAACAATATGTAATGTACACAACCACTTTATAAAGTGCATCAAAACATCACTTAAATATCACTAATGTTGAAAAAGTTGACAATTGCCTTAGGTCCTGGCAATTTCGGTGTGAATGTTGAATATATCATTCCCTTATATTTTATTTCCTAATTTATTTAATTTGGCCTCTATTCAGTTTGTTCTTTTTAATTTTGAATTGAATAATCATGTTAGATTTTTTTTCACAAACCTAACATAATGTTTATATACAAACTTTAAAAAAGATATATGTATGTATCTATAATCAGTAAAAACTGGAGGTCATCATCTCTTCTATCTCCTCCCTCCTCTTCTCTCTCTAGACCCTAAAATCCACAGGGGTTGTATTCATTTGAGATTTTAAAAGACTATTTAGGGATTAAAAAAAAGTCTTGCGGATTTAAGCAGAATATAATTACTTATAGGATTTTTTTTAATGGATTTCTATAATCAAGATTTTTTACTTATGGATTTTAAAGACTTCTATTACAAAATTTATAAGATTTGAAAGGACCACATAAATTTATTTCGGGGTTCACATAAGATCTTTTTACAAAAAATAGAACCTTAAAAATGAAACGCTAATATTGTTCCTATCTCTTCACCATCCCAACACCCACAAAGCCAACCTTCACTCTCGCAGCCCAACACCACCCCAGTCACCAACACACTCTCTAGACCAAAAATTACCTAAAACCCAACTGAGCGAGGCTGTGGGATTTTGATCTTCAGAGTTTTCTTTTGGCTGACAATGGCGGGAGCAGGCCATGCAATCGGGATTGACCTAGGGACAACATACTCTTGTGTGGCTGTGTGGCAGCATGATAATATAGAAGTTATAGTGAATGATCAGGGCAACAGGACCACTCCTTCTTATGTTGCTTTCACAAATACTGAGCGCTTGATTGGAGATGCTGCATACAATCTGGTAATAAGAAACCCAACCAACACCATCTTCGGTAAGCACATGATCTTCTCCCATATGACCAATTAATTTGTTTATCAAATCAGCTTTGAATTTTTCTGACGCTCTGCTTCTTCCATTTGTTTTTAATTTGTCTTCTTTTTGTTCTTGTTTTTGTTAATTAAGTTAGTAGTTTAGTTAAAACTTAAAAGTGATTTGTTCAGCACAGAAGGTCTACTATTCATTATTGTTTGCTTGTAACATAACTAATTAGTAATATCATTGTGGCAGAGTGAGAGAGTGACAGAATTTGGAATAGTTTACAGAATTTTTACATTAACGATATGCTTTTATTTTTATCATATGACCTGTTTCCTTGTGGAATTGTGTATTTCTAATTTCGTCATCAATTTGCAGAAGCAAAAAGGTTAATTGGCAGGAGGTTCAGTGATGAATGTGTTCAAAATGATATGAAGCATTGGCCATTCAAGGTCATTCAAGGTCTTGATGATAAGCCAAAGATTGTGGTTACCCACATGGGCGTAGAGAAACAATTCACTGCTGAAGAAATCTCATCTCTGGTTCTTGTAAAAATGCGGGAGATTGCTGAGGCCTACCTCGGTTCAACTGTGAAAAATGCAGTTATCACAGTCCCTGCTTACTTTAACGACTCACAGCGACAGGCTACGAAAAATGCAGGTGCTAGTGCTGGGCTAAATGTGATGCGTATCATCAATGAGCCGACTGCTGCAGCCATTGCTTATGGTCTTCACAAGAAGGCCGGTTGGTATAGCAAGAGAAATGTGATGATATTTGATTTGGGTGGTGGTACTCTGGATGTTTCACTACTTACCATAGCTGACAGTGTCTTTGAAGTGAAGGCCACTTCTGGAGACACTCATCTAGGAGGTGGTGACTTTGATAACAGAATGGTGAATTATTGTATTGAGCAATTCAAGAGGAAGCATAAAGTGGACATTAGTGGAAACTCCAAGGCTCTTATGAGGTTAAGAAATGCCTGTGAGAAGGCGAAGAGGAGGCTTTCATTTATGTCTGAGACTGACATTGACATTGATTGTTTGGATCAGGGTGTTGATTTCTGCTTAAATATTACCCGTGCCAAATTCGAGCAACTCAACATGGATTTCTTTGAAAAATGCATGGAACCTGTGGAGAAGTGTTTGAAGGATGCTAATATGGACATAAGAAGCATCCATGATGTTGTCCTTGCTGGTGGCTCTTCTAGGATCCCCAAGGTGCAACAGCTTTTGCAGCATGTGTTCAAGGGGAAGGAGCTGTGCAAGGGCATTAATCCGGATGAGGCTGTGGCATTTGGTGCAGCTATTGAAGCTGCAGTTTTGAGTGGGGATGGAAATGGGAAGCTTCAAGATCTCACTCTCTTGGATGTCACCTCTCTATCACTTGGAGTGGAGACCGGGCTGAAGAAACACGAGATGACAGTTGTGATTCCAAGAAACACCAGAGTTCCTGTCATGAAGAAGCAGGTTTTAGTTACTTCCTTTGACAACCAAAAACGTGTCCGCTTTGGCGTTTATGAGGGTGAGAGTACAACTGTTAAAAATAATAACTTTTTAGGTGAATTTTACCTTAATGACATTCCTCCAGCTCCCAAGGGTGTTCCTAAATTTGATACTTGCTTTGATATTGATGAAAATGGTATTCTAAGTGTCACTGCTGAGGACAGGTCCACCGGCCAGAAGAAGGGGATTACATTCAACAGTGACCGAAGAAATTGTGAAGGAATTGAGACAATGATCTAAAAAAGTGATGTAAGGAACTTCAGTTTGTGGTATGCTATAAACTGAGATAGCTTGTATTAATCAATTGTCACATCTTATTGGTGTTTTAGATAATTTATGGATTTCTTTGAAAAATGCATGGAGCCTGTGGAGAAGTGTTTAAAGGATGCTAATATGGACATAAGTAGTGTTGAAGCTCTTTTTGGGAGATCAACTTAGAAAGAAGTGGATAGTCTTCAGCAGGGGAGAAGGTGAAGGCTATCGGTAAGGGAAGAGCCTGCATAAGACAAAGTAGGAGAAGCAGTTGTCAAGCTTCGGACACCAATGTAGTGCCGGCCGAAGGCTCTCCGATGCTTAAGTCAGCTGTGAGTGGTAAATTTGGCAGAGTAACAGTAAAAGTGAGAAAATAATTACCCTTTTTACTCGGGTACTGTTCCCTATTTATAAGGAAGTGAAAGTGGAAGGTTTGCACAAAGTTTCGATGTGGGACTTTGTGCAAGTTGCTGTGGTGGTGACACGTGTCTTGGAGATTAGGTTCGGCAGTCAGGAGCTTCAGTAGGTGTCTGGCACCTCGAAAGAGTGTCTTCCTTCGGTAGGGAAGAAGGCGTGTCTGCCTTGATGCTAGTCGTTTTGATGCTGGATATACTTGGTTGGTTACGGTGTAAACAAGCAGCATCCATGATGTTGTCCTTGATGGTTGCTCTTCTAGGATCCCCAAGGTGCAACAGCTATTGCAGGATGTGTTCAAGGGGAAGGAGCTGTGCAAGGGCATTAATCCTGATGAGGCTGTGGCATATGGTGCCGATGTTCATGCTGCTGTCTTGAGTGGTGGGAATCTAACTGGGAAGCTTCAAGACTTCACTCTTTTGGATGTCACCCCTCTCTCACTTGGTGTGCGGTGCATGAAAACTGATACTTTGAAGGATTACATGAATTTTGTGATTCCAAGAAACTCTAGAATTCCTGTGAGGAAGAAAACGAATTTAATAACTATTCGGGACAACCAAGTTACTGTCAGGTTCCCAATTTATGAGGGGGAGAGTGAAAATTACATGAACAATAACTTTTTGGGTGAGTTTTACCTTGATGGCATTCTTCCAGCTCCCAGGGGAGTTCCTAAATTTGATGTTTGCTTTGATATTGATTCCAACGGTATCCTGAGTGTATCTGCTGAGGACACGTCCACCTGCCAAAAGAAAGGCATTACAATCAACAGTGATAGAAGAACCTGTGAAGGAATTGAGCCAGCGATGTAAGAAGCATTAATTTACGGTTGAAATATGCTATTGATATTTTTAACACTACTTTGGCAAATGTTTTATTTATGAGTTTATGTTTTATTTATAACTTTTCTTCCCAAAGAAAGTTCAAATCAACGTGAAACAATTTCATAATATAAATATTGTCCGCAGCTCTCTTTGTGCTTCAGTTCCCTCCACTTACGGAAAAGCTGAAAAGCCCACTCTATATGAAACCAAAGCCTTGACCAAATGCCTGTTTTGTAAAGTTAAGTCATGCATGTCGTAAGGAAATTTTTTCTTGGTTTTGCTTTTGGTGTTGGTCTGGAGGTAGTAAAAGGTAGCTGAGATTGAAAACGTGTTTTAAGGCAGTGATTGAATAACTTGTTCTCACAGTTGGATTTTTATTAATTAATTAAAATTTAAGCATTAGTTTTTTCAAAGGTTGTATTAATTCAACATTTCAACGTATTGATTTAAGAAAGGAAAATGTTAGGCTTATCACATTTTTCATACCACATTACAACATCTCAATAGATAGTGATGCGAGTAACGTCAATTTATTTATGGCATTTTAATTTATACACTGAGATTGCTTGTATTAATCAATTGTCATATCTCTTACTGATTTGTAATGTTAAGTCCTAATGGCCTCTCCTCGACCTGAATACTATATATTTTTCCTTCTTTGCAAGCATGCCACCCTCTGTTTTTATCTCTATCCATACCACACCCAAGCCCAACGCCACCATACAACTAACCTCATCCCCACTTGAGACCCATACCCCAGCCCTTCCCTCCTCCCCTCGATTTCTTCTCCCCCGTTCTCCCATGAACACCACCTGAACCCAACTTACAAAGAGAGAGAGAGAGAGAGAGAGAGAGAGAACAAAATTATTTCAATTTTTAAATTTTTTTAAATTTTAATATTTATTTCTTTTTGTTTGTGCTCAAATTTGGATGATCAATAGTGGGCCCAAACTTAAAGATGATATGTGATATGCCTTTGGTTTGTTCCTCCCTTCGGCAGGCCGAGGGCTATCTGCAAGGAGAAGAAGGAAGGGCAAAAAGTGAGCCCCTGAGTACCAGTGTGGTACCAACTGAAGGTCATTCGATACTAAAGTTAGCCGAAGGAAAGAGGAGATAGCTAATTGACAAAGTGAGGGTATAAATGTTAGATTGTTGTTACCTTTTACCTAGTGGGCACACTTGGTGCAAATTTTGGATGTAGGACTTGTGGTAGTGGCCTGGAAGACTACCACGCGTCCTAGGAGATATGTCCAACACAAAGCCTTTGAGGTGCCTTCGGCAGGGGGTATCAAAGGCACCAGCCAATTGGCGGATATGGGAATGACTGAAATTAGTAGAATGGTTTCTGATGTTTTCCTCCTACATTTTTATTGGGGTCAATCCCTCCTACTCCAACCTTCTTTTCTGTACTGGTAAAATGGCATTCCACCATTTTTACTTTGTATGTCGTGTCGTGTGCTTTTCATGAGAGAGAAAAAGAAACAGATGTCTTTTGGTCTTCCTTTTAGTGTTATCTATATTGCTTAGAGCATCTCCAAGGGAGATGTTAAATACCAAACATCAAATTTAAAAATTTGATGGCTGATGTGGCAATTTGACATTTACACAGTTTTACACTCTACCCGTTATGTCAAATGAATAATTAGCTTTGACAATTCAGTTGAACCTCCAACTTTTATTCTACATCAGCTTTGACAATTCAGTTGGAGAGATGTGAGATGTTATTTCTAACCGTTAAATGTTTATGTGGCAGTTTTGACATCGGTTTGAGATGTCAAATGCAAAATGTTAAATTTGAATGTGATGGCTTCTGTGGCAATTTGACACTTTAGAAAAAATTTAACTCCATCCAGAATGTCAAATATTATATTATTTTATTATATTTTTAAAAGCATTGTATTGCATTGTTTTAATTCCTGCTTTCGAGGACGTTGAAGGTTTTGGGTTGATTTTGATGTGGGTGTTCCTAATGGGGGAGGCTTAAGGATACTGCTTAAGAAGCCATAGCTTAATAACGCTATCAGTATTATGCTTTCAGATGTGTGGCAGCAGGATCATGCTGAAATGTTAGCGGACAGGCAGGCAGGGCAATATCTTACATTGGATTGCTGAACTTGTGAAGGAATTGAGAGTCATGTAAGGCACATTAGTTTATGCCATGCTATTGAAATAGAATATTAAATCAATGTGATGTTGATCTTTATTAAAGTTATACTTACATGTTTTTTCGGTGACGAACCACTTACATTCATTCATTCTTTGGCTGCCAGTGCCAACCCCACCAAACTTGCCACTTCTTTTTCCTTTATTCTCTCTCTCTCTCTCTCTCTCTCTCTCTGTTTCTTTATATATTTATTTTTTGGTAGTACAAATCTTTATATCTTGTTTAGCTTTTTGGTGCGGCAACTCTTCTTCCTTTCCTATTTCTTTTATTTCGTTGGCTGCTGCAGTTTTCTTCCCCACCAAGAACCTATGATTTTCTTCCTCCTCCTCTTCCTCTCCAACGACTGACAAAAATAAAAATTTTAAAATGAGAAACTATAATTTTTTTCCTTTTTCCAAGTGGACAACATACATTATTAAAAGAGAGAATAAACAAAACAATATAATATGAGGCATGAAATAGGTCATGTTTGTCGTATTAGTGTCAATACGACCCCTTTAAATTAACGGGTGGAAAATACTCAATATAAACATGACAGCTAAAAATAACAAATAACACGACACGACTTATTTCACACATTAAGAAACAACAACAAAAACAAAAAAGCAAACTCAAAAAATAAAATGAAAAAACAACCACATTACAACTCTGCACACACGACCTATTTCACGCATTAGGAAACAAAAAAAAGCAACTCAAAAAATAAAATGAAAAAAAAGACCACATAACAACTCTGCGCATCCCTCCTCTTTCTCCCTCTTTCTCTTTATTAGGTCTTTTTGTTGAGAACTGCAATGGGCTGGTTGGACTGCTGCGAAAAGTTATGCCTGTTACTTTTACCCAAGGCAAGTTTCCCCCAAAAAATTTCAAGCTATGTTCACTCCTCCGTCTCTTCTCTTTATATTTTCTCTACCCCATCTCTTCTCTCTCCTAAGAATCCGAAAATCAACAGTGAAAATCAATCAATCCCCTAAAACCCAACTGAGTTCGGCTGTGTGATTTTGATTTCCAGCACCCCATTTTTCTTCATTCTCTGCCACCATTTTTCTTCTTTGCTATTCTTCTTTCAGTTTCCTTCTAGCTGACAATGGCGGGAGCTTACAATGCAATCGGGATTGACCTGGGGACAACCTACTCTTGCGTGGCTGCGTGGCAGCATGATCATGTAGAAGTTATAGTGAATGATCAGGGCAACAGGACCACTCCTTCTTATGTTGCTTTCACAGATACAGAGCGCTTGATTGGTGATGCTGCTTTAAATCAGGTCATAAAAAACCCCACCAACACCATCTTCGGTAGGCTCATGATCTTCCCACATTTGACCAATTAATTTGTTTCACAAATCAGCTTTGAAATCTGCCGAGGCTCTGCGTCTTCCTTAATGTCTTCTTGATTTTGTTCGTTTCTCTCCGATACTTCATAAGTTAGTACTTTTATTAAAACTGATTTGTTCAGCACAGAAGGTGTACTTATTTATCGTTTGCTTATGAATTATAACATATAGCAAATCAGTAATTACTAGTTTCATTTTGCCAGAGTGAGAGAGAGAGAATTTGGAATAGTTTACAACATCTTTACATTGACAATATGCTTTTATTTTTATCATATGACCTGTTTCCTTGTCGAATTGTGTATTTCTAATTTTGTCATCAATTTGCAGAAGCAAAAAGGTTAATTGGTAGGAGGTTCAGTGATGAATGCGTTCAAAATGATATGAAGCATTGGCCATTCAAGGTCGTTGAAGGTCCTGCTGAGAAGCCAATGTTTGTGGTTACGCACAAGGGCGTGGAGAAACAATTTGCTGCTGAAGAAATCTCATCTATGGTTCTTGTAAAGATGCGGGAGATTGCTGAGGCCTACCTCGATTCAACTGTGAAAAATGCAGTTATCACAGTCCCTGCCTACTTTAATGACTCTCAGCGACAGGCTACAAAAAATGCAGGTGCTAGTGCTGGGCTTAATGTGATGCGTATCATCAATGAGCCGACTGCTGCAGCCATTGCTTATGGGCTTGACAGGAAGTCCGGTTGGTATAGCAAGAGAAATGTGATGATATTTGATTTGGGTGGTGGTACTTTGGATGTTTCACTACTTACCATAGCTGATAGTGTCTTTGAAGTGAGGGCCACTTCTGGAGACACTCATCTAGGAGGTGGTGACTTTGATAACAGAATGGTGAATTATTGTGTTGAGCAATTCAAGAGGAAGCATAAAGTGGACATTAGTGGAAACTCAAAGGCTCTTATGAGGTTAAGAAATGCCTGTGAGAAGGCGAAGAGAAGGCTTTCATTTATGTCTGAGACTGACATTGACATTGATTGTTTGAATCAGGGTATTGATTTCTGCTTAACTATTACACGAGCCAAATTCGAGCAACTCAACATAGATTTCTTTGAAAAATGCATGCAGCCTGTTGAAAAGTGTTTGAAGGATGCAAATGTGGACGTAAGCAGCATCCATGATGTTGTCCTTGCCGGTGGCTCTTCTAGGATCCCCAAGGTGCAACAGCTTTTGCAGGAGATGTTCAAGGGTAAGGATCTGTGCAAGGGAATTAATCCTGACGAGGCTATCGCATACGGTGCCGCTGTTGAAGCTGCAGTCTTGAGTGGTGGGAATCTAACTGAGAAGCTTCAAGACTTCACACTCTTGGATGTCACCCCTCTGTCTCTTGGGGTGAGGATAAAGAATGAACATATCATGTCAGTTGTAATTCCAAGAAACACCAGAATTCCTGTCAAAAAGAAGCAGTTGTATACTACTTCCTTGGACAACCAAGACAGTGTCTGCGTTCCCATTTTTGAGGGTGAGAGTACAAGAACTACGAGCAATAACTTTTTAGGCTCATTTGACCTCAATGACATTCCTCCAGCTCCACAGGGGGTCCCAGAATTTGATGTTTGCTTTGATATTGATGCGAATGGTATCCTGAGTGTCTCTGCTGAGGACAAGTCCACCGGCCAAAAGAAGGGGATTACATTCAACAGTGACAGAAGAACTTCTCAAGGAATTGAGTCACTGATTTAAGAAAGTCTATAGACTGACGTAAGAAACTTTAGTTTCTGGCATGCAATAGACTGAAATAGCTTGTATTAATCAAATTTCGCCCCTTGCAGGTTTGACATAATTTTAACGTTTTATTTTAAGTCCTAATGGCCTCATAATGTCTTTGAGGAAGTACATATTAGAAAGTCCTTTCTCTTGCATGGTTTGTACTTGGTGTGTTATTACTGTAAACTAGTCCTTTTGGTGTGGTGGTTGTGTTAAGAGATGAATCGGAAATTTGAGTGCTGGGGGCCTCCGACAGGCAACCCCTTTTCATGTGTAATGTTATATTGCTTCCATTGGCCCTATGTTGTCCGCAGTGTTTTTTTGCTCATGTCTAACATTGCTGCTTTATAAAATGTAAGAGTCATAAGATAAGACGGACATAGGCAGAGTCCAGGATGTTGCCCTTGCTGGTGGCTCTTCGAGAATCCCCAAGGTTGCAGCAAGTATTGCAGAATGTGTTCAATGGAAAGAAACTATGCCAGGGTATTAATCTGGATGAGGCTGTAGCGTATGGTGCTGCTGTTCAAGTTGCCGTCTTGAGCAGTGTCAATCTCTTTGGGGAGCTTGAAAACTTCACTCTTTTGGATGTCACCCCGCTGTGGCTTGGCGTGGAGGTTGGGGATGAAGGTTATATGTCAGTTATCATTCCGAGGAACACGAGAACTCCTGTAAAGATCAAGAAAGATGGTTTCACTACCATGTATGATAACCAACGTAGAGGCAGAGTCTCCATTTAGGATGGTGAGAGTACAGTAGCCATAGATAATAACTTTTTGGGTGAGTTTATCCTGGATGAAATTTCTCCAGCTCCTGAGGATATTCCTAAAATCAGAATTTGCTTCGCTATTGATGCCAACGGCATCCTAAGTGTATGCAGAGGGCAAGTCCATCCGTCAGAAGAAAAGGATTACAATCAACTGTAAGTTGTTTGGGGATTGAGAATGTGATTTAGGAAATGATAAGTTAGGGCAAAACAAGGCTGAAAATATTATGATATCATGTTTGATATTCTACGTGCTTAGCCATGTTTTTTTAATTGTTTTTAAGCCAGATGGACATAAGCATCTGCTGTATATGCACTCTAGTTAAAAATGATGGAGTTACTTTAAGTTTTTGGTATCATGTTTTACAGGGTTCTACAGTTTCATAAGAGTTGTAGATAAGTCTAATTTGGATCATGAAAAATCTAAAATACATTAAGTACCATTGACTCTGTACTTGCTGATCCACGAATGAAAATGTATGATATGTGAAAAGACTGAGTTTGTTGACCTCTCCACATTTCTTGTCATGTATTCACGTGCAAAGAAAAGACTAGTGTATGTTTCTTAAATATTGAAGAAATCGTCGAACATGTATATTTGTAGAGTCGAACATGAAGATCAATTCAGGATAACGTAAGAAAGGTTATGTCATGTTAAAGACAGAAATAATCTATTCAATTTATGTTCCATTGTTGCTCATGTTAGCCTCCACAATCGCGCTTAGAAATTATTGTGGATTGGATTTTCTTAAGTATGGCCAGGAAAGCATAGAAAATAACAGTTTTGAGTAGAGAATTATCTCTTAGTAGCTGTTTTTATATAGTAATTCAAGGGAAGGAAGTAAATGCCTGCCAGAAAATAGAAGTAAAAACACACCAATCAGCAGTTTGTAGCAAGTCTTGTTTAAATGACGATTTTGCAGCTGTTGCGACGACTTGCAGCGGATTTAAGTTCTTTCGTGACGATTTTGAGTTTTCAATTCCGTAATACGTCTCTATCTGCGGGTAAAATCGTCGCTAGCCGCAGCAAATTATGGTTTTAGCAACGAGCCTGAAAACCGCTGCTAAAAGTTGAGGGAATAAAATTTTGCCCTTCTTTACGCGTTCAAATGATGGTTTTCGTCCAACAATTTAATTTTACAAATCTCCGTTTCTGTTATATGAAAATTTTGTTAACAATTTCACTCTAGTTCGTTTGTTTCTGGGCTTTCTATGAAAATATTATACGTATATGGAGTTTTTATTCATTTATTTAATAACAGTTCATAACCCAGTTAATGGAATGCAACTAAATATAATCATCCCGCCCATAAATTCTTGGATCAAAAAGACAATCCAATAACCAAGATACTACACCAATCTCCCCAAGCTCTTCAACTGCCTTAAGGTCACATTCTAGATGATGAAATACTTCCTTCCAGTCGATTTTTGCCCGGAAAACATCAATAAATCAAGAATGCACCCTAATAGAGAGAAATCTAATAACAGTTCATAACCTAGTTAAGGTCACGCTCTTCAGCTGCCTTAGGGTTCCAACTAGAACCAACCAGATTGGTGTAATCACACCTAAGTCATCAACATATTAATGTCAACGTTATAAATCAAAATGGTCCAGGCTTAACAGCCCATTTTGAATAATCTGGACCAATTAAATTCTGGCATGAAGCCTGCAAATTCACACAAAGAAACTCCATTAAGCATATTTTACAAAAACACACTCACAAATCAACTTTCACAAATACAGAATAACTATTTTCCTTTCCCCGAAGCAAACTGTGTAAAAAATTCCAAGACATTAGCCAAATCCTCTGCAGAAATCAACAGCAAAAGGAAAATGCAATAAAACCCTCATGCATTACCAAATATTTCCCATCAAAACACCAGTTTGAAGTTAGTTTCTGGTTCGTATTCCATCACCTTCTCAAAAGAGTAAGATTTCAAACCCACATAACCATGTAACCAGATTCCAACTCACTCCACAGAAAGTAGACCAGGTCAAGAGCTCAGACTCAGTTTTTGAGAACCACTATATGAAAACGTTATTGCATAACCACTTAGCCAAAATAAAATAAGGAACCGAAATTCAAGCCTTAAGTCGCGATTGAAAACAAAATTCACCGACACAGCATTAAACGAGAGAAATTATTGCACCATTACAGGGAATGAAATTCAGGAAGAACAAGAAACAGAGAAAACATGGGTCAAAGGAACATACTTATCTTCATTCACACAAAGAGTAGGATACATGAGCATCAAAGGGCACCAGAACAACAAGTGAACAGAACCCAAAAACCTATCAATACGACATGAAGCGGAACATAATCAACTGATATCCACACCATTCCAAATATAACCAAATCAAATGAACAAATTAATACGCACTTGCAAAACATGAGATGCCAAACTCAGACAAAGATGATTTCAAAGTCCTGAATAAAATGATCAAAGTATGACATCCCATTTACCCCATAAGAACCAACCCAGCCAACCACAGAAGGAAAAGCCTGAAAATGTAAAGGCTTAAACATCTGAAGTTTAAACAGATGCCAAATGCGGGTCATCGGAACATAGTAAAATTCATGTCTTCCTAGCTGCAATACCAGTGCCTGTGTTATTTTATGATATTCTCTTTTTACAGCATCAATCCGAGTACTGTGAATGAAATAGAAAAATGTGATCCAAAATTTATAGGAGGTCTTTAGAACTAAAATTAAGGAACTAATCTTCAGCTTAAGTCAAAATTAACAGACGCCGAAAAGATTACTATGTCTTAATATGAACAATATTCATTAACCTCCAGTTCTAATTTTCAAATTTAACAATTCAAAAATAAACTTTGAACCAAACCCTAACTCACAAAATGGTTGAAATTAGTCTTACAAAATATGGCTGTTAAGAATTACCTTAGAGTTAACGATGATTTTTCAAACCGTGGAACCGAGGGAGCTCGTCGTTTCCTTCACCGTAAGGTACAGCAGCCCAACGCCATTCAGCGCTCTAGACGACGGTGCGACGCCGTCGTTCTGATTCGTCTGAACTCTGAACCGGTTCGGCCACAATCGCAGGCCTTCTATTCTAGGTTACAACATCATATACCACGTCGTCGTTTTATCTTCACGGTTCTTGAGCGCCTTTCATGTTCAAACTTTAAGACTTTGAACCCGTAATTCTTTTTCTCTTTTGGGCTTTAGCCTATTTGGGTTCAACTTTTTGCCCATTTTTATTTGGGCAACTTGTCATTTTGTTTTCTTTTATTCATAGATATTAATTATATATGGCCTCCATATCCCAAGGGTGTTCCTAAAATTAATATTTAATTGCATTTTTAATTCCACCGATTATAAGAAAAGAATTATAATTAACATCGACAAAAGAACTAAATAGTGTCAAATTTTAGAAAGATGAGATGTAAGAAATTATGAATTATGAAGAACCATACCTTACCAACTAAACTTTTGTGTGTGTTGGTTGTATGAGTGAGCAACGACCATACAAAGATTGAAATATATTATATACTGAAAATTAGAGTTATTCTACCATGCCAAGGGTGTAAATTGCTCATGAATTCATAATAGATAGTATTCATTAATATTTAATGTCTACTTTGATCAAATCAGTCATGCTCAAAATGCTGAATTATGAATATAAGTGGCACCATCGCACAGGACCCCCGATTTTTTAAGATCCCTAATTTTACGTGCTATATATTAGCAGAAATTGTATATATCCTTCTTATGTTGCTTTCACATATACTGACCGCTTTATTGTTTTATGCTGTAATGGTACATAGAATTGAATGCTACATAAAATAATGAATCAAAATAAATTATTGAGTTAATTTTAGTTTGGTAGTCTACATTTGTATTCTTAAGATCCTTTACATTTTCAATTTAAGTGAATGATAAGGGCAACAGGACCACTCCTTATGTTGCTTTCACAGATACTGAGCGCTTCATTGGTGATGCTGCTTTCAATCAGGTCATCAAAAACCATACCAACACTATCTTCGGTAGGCTCATGGCTTTCCCACATATGCACCTATATGTATAATACAGTCCCGATGTCTTAGGCCCCGTTTGAGATTGCTTTTTTTGGCTAAAAACATGTTTAACTTTAAAGTTAAGCAATTTATGGTGTTTGGTAAAAGCAAAATATCATGCTTATTTTAAAAGCAATGGTTTTTTGATAGCAGTTTTTAAAAGCAACATCGGTGTTGCTTTTTAAAGATGCTTTCAATTGAAGCAGTGCGCTCCCTTTAATGAAATTTTCGCAGTTTTATTTCAAGACATGGAAATTTTAGAAGATGAAAGGGAGTTCAACCAAATGTGAAATGTGTTTTATGCAAGTTGAAATTAGTGGGATTGTTCGATTTACAGGGGAGACTTTGCCAACTTTTTGGGTAGAAGGTCTCGGTCTTTAGTAAGTGGGCTCGACATCAGTGTGATACCGGAACTTCCACAGGATTCGTCCTGGGTTCCGAGGAATCCGGAGCGGGTCCTATCATGAAAAACCCATTAAGATTGAAGAGAATATGAATATCACAAAAATCCTAATAGTATGGTGTTTACATTAGGCATTTAAGAAACCAATTCACATGATGCTCACTTATAAAAGATTCAATCATTTTTTGCTAATTAGAAATTATGTTCTTAAGTATGTTACACAACTTCTCAACTTTAGTTAGATGCATACAACCTAAGGTAATCAATCAAATGAAGCAAACACATAGCACCAAAATTGCCACTTCTTTTTCCTTTATTTTCTTTCCCGCTTTCTCTTTTTCTGTATATCTTTCTTTTTTCGTGGTACAATTCTTTATATCTTCTTTATTAACTTATTGGTGCGGCAACTCCTTTTTATGTACATATATATATATATATATATATCTCTCTCTCTCTATTTCCCTTTCTTTTATTTCTTTGGCTGCTGTACTTTTCTTCTTTTTCCTTTTCTTCTCTTCCAAGAAAGAACCTATAATTTTGTCGTGTGTAATCCCCCTCTCCCTCTCTAACGATTGTCACCCACTTGGAGAAAGGAAAAAAATTATAGGTTCTTTTTTTTTTTCTTTGCTCAAAATTAAAGAAAAAATCTATGAACTCAAATTCATGATTGTAACATAAAAGCAACAAATAATATGTAATGTACACAACCACTTTATAAAGTGCATCAAAACATCACTTAAATATCACTAACCTTGCATTTTTTGATGCAAAAGTTGACAATTGCCTTAGTTCCTGGCAATTTCGGTGTGAATGTTGAATATATCATTCCCTTATATTTTATTTCCTAATTTATTTAATTTGGCCTCCATTCAGTTTGTTCTTTTTAATTTTGAATTGAATAATCATGTTAGATTTTTTTTCACAAACCTAACATAATGTTTATACAGAATCTTTAATATATATATATATATGTATGTATGTATGTATCTATAATCAGGGTTTATAAAAATTGGGGGTCTCTTAATTTGGTGGCCCTAGGCGGTTGCCTTGCTTGCTTGTGCCCAAGGCCTCCCCCAACCCATATATCAGGTCCATTTGTAGAGTGCATGATTTGAATTCAAATGTTGTACTGTCACATCATCAATTTAACAGAGCTGACAACATGGATGGAATTGATGTACAAAGACTAACCTTAAAGACTATTAATGTCATAAGAAAACCTTAAGGACAAAATGTGATAATTTTGCAAAATTGAGGGACCATTTGTAATAAATAAATAAAAACCTTTTATAAATAATAGAATCTAAGAGGTAGACATTCAAAAAGAAAAAGAGTATGACATCACAGCTATCGCATCAATACATGTCTTAAAAACCAAAGCCAAAGCCAAATCCTTAATAATAATAAAAACCAAAACCAAGTTATTTTTCGAAAGAAAAAGAATCCAACGTTGTTTCTTTTTCAAAAGAAAGTTCTAGTCAACTTTCCCACAAAAAATTTCAAGCTATTTTCACTTTCGCTCTAAGCTCTCTCCGTCTTTTGTCATCATCTCTTCTATCTCCTCCCTCCTCTTCTCTCTCTAGACCCTAAAATCCTAAAATCCACACTAAGAATCAATAAATTCCCTAAAACCCAACTGAGCGAGGCTGTGGGATTTTGATCTTCAGAGTTTTCTTTTGGCTGACAATGGCGGGAGCAGGCCATGCAATCGGGATTGACCTGGGGACAACCTACTCTTGCGTGGCTGCGTGGCAGCATGATCATGTAGAAGTTATAGTGAATGATCAGGGCAACAGGACAACTCCTTCTTACGTTGCTTTCACAGATACTGACCGCCAGTGGCGGATTCAGGATTCTGTGGCCAAGGGGGCTTAGTGTAAAAGTTCCGAAATTTTTTTACAAAGAAAATAATGCTAAAAAAGCATATTAATCCGTCATTCGAAATTTTTCCTCTACCTCAGTAGCTATACTATATTCCAACCAATCATACTCATCAAACCATTGAGCAATGAAACGTCTATTAAATCCTGATTGATTAGTTTGTGGGAATTTATAACTTCTAGGTTGACAAGGTCCCTTTTGTAGATATGCTCTTCGGATCTCATCTCGAATATTAGGACTATAATCCGTCATTCGAGGTCTTAGTCCAGGATTTGCCTAAAGATTAGCTAATATCTCATCTACTTCAATTGGTCTTGTTGCATTTGAACTATCCGGATTAGACGAAGAAGGACTATCCGTAGATAATTTTCTTTTATAGAATCATTCCATAATTCTACAAATCAATTAATTGAATCAATCATTAATTTTTATCCAAATTATCATATGAATATGAAAATGTCAATAACCTACTCTCAATATTCACCCATATAAATCAATATTCAATATACCAAATTATCATATCAAATATCATTCAATATTTAATATACTCAATCAACAATCAAGCATAAACGCAATCAATCTAAATTATCCATCAATATGATTCATATCCATAGATTTCATTACATAAAAAAAAAATATCAATATCAACAATATATTATCACTATAAATTTATTAATTTAAATTTTGACCTGCTTACTTGTACTTGAAAAAAAAGGGCGGCACAAGATGGTGGTGGTGATCGCCAATGGGCCACCGGCGAAGAGTTGATGGAGGTTGTCGGAGGTTAGGAGGTTGGAAGAGGTTAGGATTTGAGAGGGAAGCATTGGGGGACCCAAAATTTTTTTAGCGGAGGTGCAATATTGACTAAGTATGAAAAATGGTTTTTCGGAATAATCATTTTCTCAAGATAATTTTTGGCGGCTTTTATTCCTTACACATCAAATAAGAAAACTTGATTTTATGGGATTTTATTATGAAGTATATATTGACTTAATGAGCCATCATTTTTAGCATAAATCGTATTTTACACTAAAACCGAATTTTCATATTTTGATTTGGTGTGAATTTGATTTTCTAGTATTTTTATTTGAAACCAAATGGGGGGGTACTTCCTTATTTACATTGTAAACTTAAGTAAATGGAGTAATATAAAAATAAATAAAAGTAAAAGGACAAAGACATTTACTTAAATGTTGAAGATGGAAATAAGGTAATCTGTACAATTAGCTCCTGTGTTTTTTCTGTGTTTTTTTTTTTTTTTTTTTTTTTTTAACCTGGCCCAAAACGACGTCGTTTTGAGGCCAGGTCATTTAAAAAAAAATTGACTGAGCCTTGGACCAAACGACGTCGTTTGGCAAGGCTGTTTTAAAAAAAAACACACACGCAGCGCGCGCGCGCAAGGCGCAGTGCAGCTGCGCAGCAAGCTTCTCCTCCTCCTGGGACTTTCGTCGAGCAGTTGGCGTGCATCCAAGGGGGCTTCCAGCAGCTATCCAAGGGGGCTTCAATGGAGTCCCTTGCCAACTTTCCAGCATTCCAAGGGGTCGTCCGACCCCTCTTGTCCCAACGTGGATCCGCCACTGCTGACCGCTTCATTGGTGATGCTGCTTTCAATCAGGTCCTCAAAAATCCCGTCAACACCATCTTCGGTAAGCTCATGACTTTCCCACATATGACCAATTAATTTGTTTCACAAATAAGCTTTGTAATATGCTGAGGCTCTGCTTCTTCCTTTAAAAAGACAAAAAAATGTGTATGTCTTCTTGTTTTTGTTCGTTTCTCTCCGAAACTTCATAAGTTAGTACTTTTATTAAAACTGATTTGTTCAGCACAGAAGGTGTACTTATTCACTATCGTTTGCTTATAAATTATAACATATAGCACGTCAGTAATTACAACATCTTTATATTAAACATATGCTTTTATTTTTATCATATGACCTGTTTCCTTGTCGAATTGTGTATGCCTTTCTAATTTTGTCATCAATTTGCAGAAGCAAAAAGGTTAATTGGTAGGAGGTTCAGTGATGAATGCGTTCAAAATGATACGAAGCATTGGCCATTCAAGGTCGTTGAAGGTCCTGCTGAGAAGCCAATGTTTGTGGTTACGCACAAGGGCGTGGAGAAACAATTTGCCGCTGAAGAAATTTCATCTATGGTTCTTGTAAAGATGCGGGAGATTGCTGATGCCTACCTCTGTTCAACGGTGAAAAATGCAGTTATCACAGTCCCTGCCTACTTTAACGACTCTCAGCGACAGGCTACGAAAAATGCAGGTGCTAGTGCTGGCCTAAATGTGATGCGTATCATCAATGAGCCGACTGCTGCAGCCATTGCTTATGGGCTTGACAGGAAGTCCGGTTGGTATAGCAAGAGAAATGTGATGATATTTGATTTTGGTGGTGGTACTTTGGATGTTTCACTTCTTACCATAGCTGATAGTGTCTTTGAAGTGAGGGCCACTTCTGGAGACACTCATCTAGGAGGTGGTGACCTTGATAACAGAATGGTGAATTATTGTGTTGAGCAATTCAAGAGGAAGCATAATGTAGACATTAGTGGAAACCCAAGGGCTCTTGCGAGGTTAAGAAATGCCTGTGAGAAGGCGAAGAGGAGGCTTTCATTTATGTCTGAGACTGACATTGACATTGATTGTTTGAATCAGGGTATTGATTTCTGCTTGACTATTACACGTGCCAAATTCGAGCAACTCAACATGGATTTCTTTGAGAAATGCATGCAGCCTGTTGAAAAGTGTTTGAAGGATGCAAATATGGACATAAGCAGCATCGATGATGTTGTCCTTGCCGGTGGCTCTTCTAGGATCCCCAAGGTGCAACAGCTTTTGCAGGAGGTGTTCAACGGGAAGGAGCTGTGCAATGGCCTTAATCCTGACGAGGTTATCGCATACGGTGCCGCTGTTGAAGCTGCAGTCTTGAGTGGTGGGAATCCAACTGGGAAGCTTCAAGACTTCAGACTCTTGGATGTCACCCCTGTGTCACTTGGGGTAGCGACTTCACTCTATACGGGTGAGAAAGATTTTATGACAGTTGTGATTCCAAGAAACACCAGAATTCCTGTCAAGAAGAAGGTGGTTTTAGTTACTTACCAGGACAACCAATCTTCTGTCCCCTTTCGCGTTTATGAGGGTGAGAGTGCAACTGTTAAAAATAATAACTTTTTAGGTGAATTTTACCTTAATGACATTCCTCCAGCTCCCCAAGGTGTTCCTAAATTTGAAACATGCTTTGACATTGATGAAAATGGGATTCTAAGCGTCTCTGCTGAGGACATGTCCACCGGCCAGAAGAAGGGGATTACATTCAACAGTGACCGAAGAAATTGTGAAGGAATTGAGACTGATCTAAAATAATGATGTAAGGAACTTCAATTTGTGGCATGCTATAAACTGAGGTAGCTTGTACTCATCAACTGTCACATCTTATTGTTGTTAATGTTAACTCCTAATGTTAGACAAATATATAATTTTAAGGAGTTGAGACGGCGTGTACTCATCAACTGTCACATCAACTGTCTCCTCGACTTGGAAGGAGTTGAAATTTTAAGGTTAGACAAATATATAATTTCTTTCTAGTCTTTCAAAACATGAGATGACAAACTCAGACGAAGATTGATTTTCTTTCTTTGATGAAATGGGGGGGAAAACCCCAAGAACAACAACACCCTAACCACCACACATCATGATCAGACGCAAAGATTGATTTTCAAGTCCTAAATAAAACATCTCATTTGCCCCATAACAACCAACCGACCAACCGCAGAATGAGCATCTTGAAAAGGTGAAGGATTAAACCACTGCAGAAGTTTAAACAGATGTCGACGATACGACGGCCCAACGCCATTCAACGCTCTGCACCACGACACTACTCCGCCCTTCTGATTCGTCTCAACTCTGAACCGGTGCGGCTGGCCACAATCGCTCGCTGCCCTTCTAATTCTAGGTTACGAAATTTATACCACGTCGTCCTTTTATCTTCACAGTTCTTTTGCCCATCTCCTTTCGTGTTCAAACTTTAGACTTTGAACCCGTAATTCTTTTTCTATTTTGGGCTGTAGCCCATTTCGGTTCATCTTGCGCCCATTTCTAGTTGGGCAACTAATAATGCTTAGCGTTTCTAATTTTTCTTAATTTAAATCACTTATGATATATATTTTTCTTGATTTAATTCACTTACCAAATTTATACCACAATCGTTTAAACGGATGATATTTGATTTATACTGAAAATTTGGAATTTACATATGAATTCATAATAGATAGTTAGTATTCATAAATCCTATCAATCCTCCACGCGCCATTGAGTGATTTTTCTTTCTCCTCTTGTATCACCGGCTCACAATCATTCACGATTTTATGTGCAACTAATGCTAACGTAATTCATCGTAATGCTTTCTTTGTACGTTTATGTGAACATTTTACATTCGACGTAATGTTTGATGGCAAGCATTTTATAATTTTCTTCCTAAATATAATAGGGTCGGAGAGGTTATGAATTTAGGAATTTACATAGGAAAATCAAAGAATGGGAATTGCATTCCTGAATATAATAGGGTTTGATTCTAGGGTTTTTGTATTTTTGGGGCCTTTTTTTGTATTTTAGATTGGGTTTTTATTTTGTTTGGTTGAGCCCTTATTTTTATTTTTCTGACTTTTATTTTGGACTTTTATGTAACACTCTATGGTAATGACATGTTCATTTCTTTGGAAAAAAAAGACAAAAAAGAAAGAAAAAAAAAGAATATAAAGGTATTTGATTACAGAAAACCCAGATAATTTTTAATTCGGAACAAATAGGAAATCAGAAATTTGGAAACCCATAAGAATTTGGAAAGTAAACATGACATTAGTATAAAAGGAAAGGGGGTATACTGTTGGGAAATAAAAAGAAGAGGACGTCGCGACTAGCGGGTTTGTTTTTGTTCCTAGAAAGAGGAGATTTCACGAAAAATAAAACCCTCATCAGGTCCAGCCCTTCCGTCATCTAGGGTTTATATTGCCAATTCCCCATTCAAAACACCACCCCAATCCTGATTCAAATTACACCAATATTTCTGTCAATTCGGCGGTTAAATCATCATGGGGAAGAACGACTTCCTAACCCCCAAGGCAATTGCCAATCGGATCAAGGCCAAGGGACTCCAGAAGCTTCGATGGTACTGCCAGATGTGCCAGAAGCAATGTCGAGACGAGAACGGCTTCAAATGCCACTGCATGAGCGAAAGCCACCAGCGGCAGATGCAGATCTTCGGCGAAAACTCTAATCGCATAGTCGATGGCTACTCCGAGGAGTTCGAGCAAAGTTTTCTCGATTTGATGAAACGAAGCCACCGGTTCAGCCGTATCGCCGCCACCGTGGTCTACAACGAGTACATCAACGACCGCCACCATGTTCATATGAACTCGACTGAGTGGGCCACGTTAACCGAGTTCGTGAAGCACTTGGGGAGGACCGGTAAGTGTAAGGTTGAGGAGACGCCAAAGGGTTGGTTCATTACTTATATCGATAGAGATTCGGAGACCCTTTTTAAGGAGAGGTTGAAGAACAAGAGACTCAGGGCGGATATGGCTGAGGAGGAGAAGCAGGAGAGAGAGATTAAGAAGCAGATTGAGAGGGTTGCTCAGTCGATGCCCGTGGGTAATGGGGTTGATCAAGGTTCAGAAGATGAGATCCATAGGAAAATTAAAGTGGAGAGTGGGGTCAAGATTGGTTTTGCACTTGGGTCCTCGAAATTGGGTTCGAAAGAAAAAGGGGAGAGCTCGAAATTGGTTTTTGATGAGGTAGAGGATGACAAGAGTAAGGTTAAGAATTCGACGAAAAATGGAAGTAGTGGTGGCGCGGGGAGCTTGGCATTGGAGGAGTTGATGAGGGAGGATGAGAAGAAGAAGGAGAGGATTAATAGGAAGGATTATTGGTTATGTGAAGGAATCATTGTTAAAGTTATGAGTAAAGCATTGGCTGACAAGGGTTACTATAAGCAAAAAGGGGTTGTGAGAAAAGTGATCGACAAGTACGTGGGGGAGATTGAAATGCTTGAAAGCAAGCACGTCTTAAGAGTTGACCAGGCAGAGCTGGAGACCGTGATTCCGCAAATTGGGTGCCTCGTGAAGATAGTGAATGGGGCTTACAGAGGATCAAATGCAAAGTTGCTGGCAGTGGACACAGATAAGTTTTGCGCTAAGGTGCAGATAGAGAAGGGTGTGTATGATGGTAGAGTTCTTAAAGCTGTTGAGTATGAGGATATTTGTAAATTTGCCTAATGAGTTTGCTTGAAAACCTTTTTAATTGAGACTGAACTATATTTTTTTATGATTGATCATCTGCCTTTCAAATGTGTTACCTTGTTTTGAATGTCTATTTGTTACCCTGTTTTTAAAGTCTATTCTGATACTTATGCATGTTTCTTCTGTCTCCTTGTATGTTTATGCCTTGAAAGTTTGAACATTATTTTGTAATGTTTATCACTAAAAGTTTTTACTTATATCAGTTTGTGTACAGTCATAGTAGCTTGGTTGTAAACTCATTCCTGTCTTTCAGTTATATTGTAATTAGTATATTTAACTTTGTATATTATATGGAAATTCACACTGCATATAGCATCCGAATATGCAGATTCATTCATCATTGTGGACATTGTTTAGAAGACAAAATAGAAATTTCCATGCAATTGCTGGTAATTGATAACATGACATTTTTTCTAATTTGTTGCTATGGTTTATGTTTTTTATACGTTTTAGTCTGTTCCAATTTTCTGCAGCCCCATTCTTGTTAGTTCTATATTACCTAACATTGAAGTGTTTCTGTGTGATACTTATTCCTTCAAGAGCTGAACACATAGGTGGGAGCTCTCCCACTTTTGGGCACTGATGCATGAAGCAATGGATTATTTTTTTCCTTCAGGAAATTTTACTACCATTTACGAGGCTTTATTTCTTCTCAATAGTCAGTGCTGGGTAAACAAATAATTCTTGTGTGCTTTTATGGTAGGTAGTTTGGGGTTTCTTTGGTATGAATAATATGATTTCTTTTTCAGTTGGTTGTGGGGTTGAGTCTTCACCCAGTTGATGTCTGAAAGTAGGTGCTTGGTAATGGAAAAGTTGAAAAGCATATTAATGTGGGATGAGATACTAGGTACAGCTATAAAGGTGTTAGGATAGTTTAGTTGTGTCCTCATCACAACTGCTGCCTCACAAGATTGATTTTGCAAAGTTGGTATGAAAAATTCTTTATGTCAAATCATACTGCCTATTATGCATGCCCTGGTTCTTTTGGCACTTGTATTCCATAGTTGTGTTTCCATTATTTTTATGCACTGTTACACGGTCTTTTTGCAACATATTTTCAGTGGATGAACAAGTTGGGGATTGGCACTTGTACATCCTGTTCCATTATTATGTACTAGGGTTGAGAGAAATAGCTGTATTTACAATGGAAAGATACTCAGAGAGGCTAGTAGCTATGAGATATTAAGTTGCAGGCCTGACGTTAGATTGTTTTGAAGTTTGAACTGTGGGATCTACCCCAGTGTACTTGGCTCTGTAGTAGAAGTATTGGATTTAGGTGTTTGGTATGTTTCTTGCTTTGTTGTTTTGTTTAAGTGCTGTACCATGGCATAAATTTACTTTTTTTGTTCACTCCTGTTTTGAATGTAAGTTTACTAAATCACCCAATTATTTTGGATAAAGCTGAAGAAAATGCATCTGGTTTGCTTCCTTCATTTGGGGAGTTTGAGGGTATGTAGATGTGACAAATCTTGTATATTTCGGGGATAGCACTGCTATTTTTCAACTAATCACATTCCGTCACGCGTTATAATGATTCCACATGACAGAATGTGATTAGATGGGGATGGCAAAACAATGTTATTCCCAAGGGGGGACACTGCTCCAAGAACGTATATAAACAAAAAAACAAAATTTTACTACTTAACAAAACTTGAAAAAAAAAAAAAAAAAAAAAAAAAAAAAAAAAAAAAAAAAAAAAAGCATCGAATTGAACCATGAAGTTGGTCAATAACAATGAATTTAGGAATTTAAATGTTTAGTTATGAGCATTGAAATGAATAATTGCACCGACGGCTTAATTATGTGATAGATCTGGTTATAGTATTTACTGCATGGGGCCCAGACAATAAATTACATAATGAGCATTCAACCATACGCCATTATGGTTATTAAACAGTACGCGGTGGAATGATTCTTATTCCTGATTTTCTGATCAGTTTGATTCTTAATTTTCATATGTTTGCTGACTCATGTGAAATGATAAAAAGAAATTGTTAGTTTCATTCACATCACAAATCCCTAAAAATTTCATATGTTTGCTAAAAATTGTTTCCGTCCAATACAAGAGAAATTGTTAGTGCATAACATCGTAATGAACCTTGAAACGACGCGCATTGAGGATAGGCGGGTCTGACGGGTTTGGGTTGGATGGATAGTTAAAACCATGGCCCACCGAAGCAAGCCCTATTCCAAACTTGATCAGTAGTGTAGTTTTCTTTTAGCTGGAGGCTGGAGGCTGGAGTTTGGGGGGTTAAGTGGTGTTGTTGATCAGCCTCCATAGTTAGTTACCCTACCCCAACCATACGCCATTAATTTCTACATCCGAAATCGCCCAAACCAACTCCTACTCTACACTAAACTACACACCCAAACAAATTCAATATTCAACATCATCGTCGTTATTAAAGAGAGCCTTAGCCTGCACCCATTTTCGGATCTCACTCTCAATCTCATTTCTTTTTCTTTCTTCTCATTCATTCGTGCTCTGCAATTTGATTGGAAGTTGCGTGATTTTGCTCACGGCTTAAAGGGTTTGCTTCTTGCTCGATTTGCTGAAGTGGGTCTCTCTCACTTGCTCTGAAAAGATGAAGGTGACCGTAGTTTCACGGAGTGGTCGAGAAGTTGTTAAGGGTGGCCTTGAGCTCAGTGATTCTGTATGCTTTTCTTTACCTTTTACTTTCTTCTTTTCCGCTAGTTGTGTAATTCATCGATATCTCTATTTCAATGAGAAAATAACACAAAACGAAAGCAATCAAGTTTTTAAATTTTTGTTGGGTTGGGTTCGGTTTAGTGAAAGATTAAAGTTTTTTCTAAATTCAAATGGTTAAAGGTTCAAGTCTTCAACTACTAGTAGAACCCAATTGTTACCTTTTCTGACTTTTTTCGTCTCTCTGTTTGCCTTGCAGGCCACTGTGACTGATCTGCAGGAGGCGATCCATAAGCGAAGTAAGTGCTGGTTATGCTTTTCTTTTCTGTTGAACTTATTTAAACCTTGTCTGTTAAGACTGTTTTTCTGGTCAATCAACATTTTTTAACCCAAGGATAAGATTGATTGAGCGCTCTATGCTTAAGAACTGTGACTTTAAGTCTTGCTGCATCATCATGTTTGTTTAATGCATATTTTACTACTTTTTTTTTTTGGACACAATCCTGTACTTTTGTTTTGGATTACCTAAAGTATTTTGATCTATCCCATTTTGAAAGAAAATGAAGAATAAATCATGGGGAGCCATGTGTGTACAGTGTGGTTCCTTTGTCTTAGAAATACAAATACTTAAACATTGTTAGCAAACTTGGAATTTGGGTTCCTGGCCTGAATTATTTGTTATTGACATCTGTTATTGTCTACGTTAATATATGTCATTATTGATGCTATTTTCATCCTTATATGCCTTATTCCATTAGAAACTTGCCCCTCCCAAAGAAATTTGTATAGGAGGTTCTGTGTTTTATAAATTATCGTAACATGATTTCATGCCTTATGTCAACAGCCAAAAAGTTCTATCCTGCAAGGCAGCGGCTTACTCTCCCCGTCCAACCAGGATCAAAAGAGAGGCCAGTTGTCCTTAACTACAAGAAGAGTCTCAAAGATTATATCAGTGAAAACTCAGACAACTTAACTGTGGTGTTCAAGGACCTAGGCCCACAAGTGTCCTACAAAACACTCTTCTTCTTTGAGTATTTGGGGCCTTTGGTCCTTTATCCCATCTTTTACTACTTCAATGTTTACCAGTACTTGGGTTTCAAAGGAGATCGTGTCATCCGCCCAGTCCAAACATATGCTCTATACTACTGGTGCTTCCACTACTTCAAACGTATTATGGAGACATTTTTTGTACATCGCTTCAGTCATGCAACCTCACCACTCTTGAATGTATTCCGGAATTGTGCTTATTATTGGAGCTTTGGCTCCTACATAGCTTACTATATGAATCACCCACTTTACACCCCTGTTAGTGACCTCCAAATGAAGATTGGGTTTGCTGTGGGGATAATATTTCAGATCTCAAACTTCTATTGCCATATCCTGCTGAGGAACCTGCGAAGCCCTGATGGAAATGGAGGATATCAAATTCCACGTGGTTTTCTGTTTAATATTGTGACAGTGCAAATTACACTACAGAGATCTATCAGTGGTTGGGCTTCAATATCGCAACGCAGACAGTTGCTGGTTATGTCTTCCTTGTAGTTGCTGCATCTATCATGACAAATTGGGCCCTTGCAAAGCACCGCCGTTTGAAGAAGGTAATCTTCTAGACTGTTTCTGTACACCAATAACTGCTTGTGTTTTGTTGCTTCAATGTCGGTCTCCATTTAGCTAACATCTTGCTCTACATTTAAAACTACCTCGGCTGGGTTTAATTTCATGACTTTTCAAAAATAATATTTGTACATAGTACTTGCATAGATATTCTATAATAAGGAAAGACTTGTTTCTCAGTGTATTAGATCTTGCCCATTGTGCATTTTAGCCGTCCATATAAGGTTTACTAGCTGAGAATCGAGTTCTTATTAAGGACTATATTATATTACCTTGTTAGAGAATATACTACATATAAAAAAAAAAAAAAAAAGAAAAGTATAGTTTGATTTGCAGATTGTGTGTCAGTGCTTGGGTGGGTGGGTCTGCATGCATGATTAATAATGCTTGGTAAACTGAACTACAACGAAATTTGATACCAAAAGTTTCTGTTCTTATTATCTTAAGATAGTTTGTTTTGAATTTTAGATTGATTCAAAAATCGATTCCTTAGCAAACCTATATTGTCACTGCCTATTACTCTATTTAAATAGGATGGTGGGGGGAAAAAACTATATTTGATGGATAGCATGCTAACATCTACATGTTGCATTCATGAAGTGTCAGAATGTATTGATATGAATGTATTGCTAACATGATTTGTTTGCCATCACAGATATTTGATGGGAAGGACGGGAGACCGAAGTATCCGCGTCGATGGGTGATACTACCTCCATTCCTGTAGAATTGATTGGCGACTAGGCTGTCCTGCCTTTGCTGGTCTTTTGGGTATTCAAGTGTTGGATTCCATCCATGCTGGACGGGTGATGAACTTGAAGAAGTTGAAATCGCATGTTCACTCAAGTCCATGATGGACCTTAACATTCTGCTTAGATGTTGTAATTCATTTGAACTAGTTAGGGATTTGCTTGTGGATCTATACAAGATAGGTCACCTTGTTCTTTCCAGTTGAACTGTTTTGTCATTTGTACTTCTTGACCGTCTATGACATTTCTCTTTCTTATAATTTTAGAACTCAAAGCAATAATGTTGTTAACTTGTTAAATATATCAATCATCATAAAATTAAACAATTAAATGGAGGTTGTCAATCTTGCGTGAACGTGCTGAGTTATGATTTGGTCCACACTATCAGAACATTTCATGAAATTCTTAATTCTTTAGTTTCTCTTTTCTTGAACTAAAAATGACATGGGGGCTCCCACTTTATGATTGTTAGCTAGAACTATTATATCAAGGCCTATGCCTCGCTGGTGACGGAGAGGATTTGAGTTCTGCCAGCCACTACAAAGTAGTGGCTTTTAACTAGTCATCTATAATGTTGTTTAATGCATTATAAAATGTAGCTTGTAGTTGGGTTCATTGCCCAACATTACTCACCAATATTATTATTTCTGTCTCTTTGGCGTTTGATTCGCTCCCTCCTAATTCGCAGCTTTCATGTAAATGAATTCATATGCTTATAAACGTTCTGGAATGACGAAGAACATAAGTGCCATGCTTGCAAAAAAACATAAGAGGGTTGGTTGAGTTGTTAATGATCGTTCTCTTCGCTATTAAGGCCTAGGTTCGAGTCTCGCTGCCAACAATCCCTTTTGGTGGGTAATTTGTAAAAACCAAAAAATAGGATAAGACTCTCTCTGTAAGTCCTCAAATAGGCCTTGATATACTCTGACCCTAAGATGGGGTAGCCTCTACTCCCCCTAAACATAATTTGTACCACAAAAAATAAAAATAGAAAAAAGAACATAAGAGGAGGATTTGAACTTTTTTATAGACAATTCAATTTCGTGTAAATAGACATGTAGACGTTAAAACGGTTAAATAGATATGATTAGGTGTGTCGAAGAATGAAAATAGGAAGAGGGGCAAAAAGGTCCAGAAAGAGGAGAAAAATGACTGGAACAGCGGAAATCGAGGGAAGCCAGCCCATGGACGCGTTCTCAAGTCTTCTTTATTTCCACTCACCCATCCAATCCAACGGCCCACATTTCATGTCCGCCTCCCCTTCTTATTCTTGCTCTCCCCTCCCATTTCCTTCGCCCACTCCCAAAACACTGTCTTTGTCTCTCTGACACGCTCTCTCTCTCGCCTTCGATCTCCTTCCGTTACATTCAGAAAAAGGTCAATTTCTCACCCTCTCTGTTTCTGTCTTTGATGCAATTTGCTTTCCTATCCATCTCTTTGGTTAGCAAGCGCTTTAGATCTCTGATTTTTTTTCTTTTTTCCTTATGATTTCATTGCTGCATTGTTTGGTTTGGGAGTTTTTGGTGTTTACTTTGGTACGGTTTTGGGTTTTAATCACATTTCAGATTCGTAGCTTTTTTTTCCCTTTTTTATGTTCAAAATAGCGACCAAGGATTGCCCATTTGCGTTTGATGAATCAATTTGCTTTCCTATACTTAGCAGAAAACGTATAAAAATTTGATCTTTAAGAAACAATGAACACACAATAAAATAATGAATGAAAAATCATGATTTTTAATCACCCTCCCTTTCTTTTCTTTTTTTTGAATAACTTGTGCTCGTTATAGATTGTTATCAGTATATTTGGTTATAAGTTTGATGTGTGATGGAGAGCTCATTTAATCTTTTCTTTCTAATCTTTTTGTTTTCATCAAACGTATTGCATTGTTTTGTTGTTGCATTGAGATTTGGTGGTACATTTTTTGTCTTTGGCAATTTGGTCCTAGCCAATTTCACGGATCCTTTCATAATGGGTTTGAATATGATTGTTCATTTATTAGTCAGGGGCATCTTACACCCTGCAAACATTCTTCAGAAGAACCATCTGTTCAATTTCTGTTTTGTGGTCCTCTTTTGTGTTACATCACGCTGTTGTTTGTGTGTCCCACTGTTTTATGTTCCTCTTTTATGTTTCCTGAATTTCTTTCCATTGATTTTAAGCAGTCTCTCATTGGAAGAGTAAAACCTTTTCTTTAACTTTGTTATGTGTTAGACTAATGCTATCTTGTACATGAGCACTGAGTTTTACCATATATACTCATTTGGTAAAGCAAGGGTTTTTTTTCAAATGGGAAAATTGTTGTGGGCCCTGTTGTAATGGTTGGTGTACCGGCAGGTAGAAGATGGCAGATGCTGAGGACATTCAGCCACTCGTGTGTGATAATGGAACGGGAATGGTCAAGGTATTTTTTGGCAAGAACTTTAGTTTGACATTGAGATGGTTTGGATGGTTGTGCCTTTTTTTTTCTTTTTTTTCAGAACATTGCATCTTAAAGACTGCTTTTGATGTTACTTTTTAGGCTGGATTTGCTGGAGATGATGCTCCTCGAGCTGTGTTCCCTAGCATTGTAGGCCGCCCTCGTCACACTGGTGTCATGGTTGGAATGGGCCAGAAAGATGCCTATGTTGGTGATGAGGCTCAATCCAAGCGTGGTATTTTAACTTTGAAGTACCCAATCGAGCATGGTATTGTGAGCAACTGGGATGACATGGAGAAAATTTGGCACCACACCTTCTATAATGAGCTTCGTGTTGCCCCAGAAGAGCACCCAGTTCTTCTAACTGAGGCACCTCTGAATCCCAAGGCTAATCGTGAGAAGATGACCCAAATAATGTTTGAGACCTTTAACACTCCTGCTATGTATGTAGCCATTCAAGCTGTTCTGTCCCTATATGCAAGTGGTCGTACAACTGGTAAGCATATTGATTAGTTTTTCTTTTTGTAGCAAAGTTGTTAGTTTGAAGTCAGTGTCCAATACTGAAATTAGCTTGCATGATTTTTTTGTTTTAATGTGTGACCTTGGAAAAGTTCCTAACGGTTAATCAGTATAGACTGAGATATCTCCACCTATGTGACTTTCACCTGAACCACAAAGAGTGTCTTGCCTGAGTTGAGATTACTTTCATTGGTTTTAATATTTTTGGTTTGATCTACTAGTCTAGTTGGGGGATAACTTCAGTGATGCTACTTTTGGAAAGTTTATTTGGAAATGTTTCTAATGGAGTTCACTTATGCTATTCAAAACCTGTTCTTCTCATCTTACTGATGGATGTTTTTTCTTTGCTGTGAAGGTATTGTGCTTGACTCTGGTGATGGTGTCAGCCATACAGTCCCCATATACGAGGGGTATGCCCTACCTCATGCCATCCTTCGTCTCGACCTTGCTGGTCGTGACCTCACTGATAGCTTGATGAAAATTCTTACGGAGCGCGGTTATTCTTTCACTACCACTGCTGAGCGTGAAATTGTTAGGGACATGAAGGAAAAACTAGCATACATTGCCCTTGACTATGAGCAGGAGATGGAGACTGCCAAAACCAGCTCTTCAGTTGAGAAGAGCTACGAGTTACCAGATGGGCAGGTAATTACCATTGGCGCTGAGCGATTCCGATGCCCAGAGGTTCTTTTCCAACCATCAATGATCGGGATGGAAGCTGCAGGCATTCACGAGACCACATATAACTCCATCATGAAGTGCGATGTTGATATCAGGAAAGACCTGTATGGCAACATTGTCCTCTCTGGTGGTTCAACCATGTTTCCAGGCATTGCCGATAGAATGAGCAAGGAAATTACTGCTCTAGCCCCAAGCAGCATGAAGATCAAGGTGGTGGCACCACCTGAGAGGAAGTACAGTGTCTGGATCGGAGGATCCATCTTGGCTTCCCTCAGTACATTCCAGCAGGTTTGTGTTCATTTCTGCATTTCAACATCATGTTCCAAAGTTGATCTTGGATGATTACTAATCGAAGCATTCTACTTGTTTTCTTGATTGCAGATGTGGATTGCAAAAGCAGAGTATGACGAGTCTGGGCCATCTATTGTCCATAGGAAATGCTTCTAAAATTTACGACAATAGGATCATGGAGAGAATTATTGCTGTGTTTATTTCTTGAAACCAAGAGGCAGCTTGTGCAACCCGTTGTGTCTAACTTTGTTAACCTTCTGTGTTATTCTCTTGTTGGAGCTATGACTTTGAGAAGGCGAGTCAGATGTTAAAATGGGTCAATTCTTTCATTATAATTTGTTTCCATCTCTTTTTTTGCCGTTTCCATGCAAGTTTCCATGATTATCAAATGGTTTTTCTTTTTTCTGTTCTCAAGAAAAGAAATTGTGCAATATTTGCTTCTTGTTTAACATGTATGTATTGAAACCGCGTATCAAAGCATATACAAACTAGGTTATCACACAAACACAACATAGCTTTCAAGTTTCATTTTACAGTAGAAAGAAGGGATTCTGCCGTCTGATGCTCACTCTCGCAAAATGGATGATCTTCTATGTCAAGACTAATGTCAGGTTTTGAGATGATGTCCTGGTAACCATCAATTTGCTGTGGTTTCTTCATCTCTTCCTCCATTAAAAATTTCTCGTCAGAGCTGAGGACCCGATTTTTGCAACTTTGATGGTCATTGTGGTGAGAATTACATCTCTCATATGTTTTGAAGGACAAGTCCTTCAAGCTTGAATCTATGAAAGAAGAACGCTGCAGGTTGAAGCTCCCGAATCCTTTGATTCCACATGTTAGATTGCGAGCTCTGGCTCTCTCTTCTCTGAAGAACGCCTCATCTTCAACAAGTTTTACTACTCTCTCAGATAACTTTGTCACACTCAATCCCCAGTTAAACCTGCATGCGAAACACAAACCCTAAGGAACCCAATAACGAAGGTTTAATATAGTAAACATGAGAGTTAGATCAAGTCAAACATGCCGACCCCTTCTCATCGATATATTGAAACCTCCCCATCTCCTTGATAATATCCTTATCACCCTCAAACTCCTCAGCAATTCTCAATGGCCCATGGCTTAGCAGGTGTTCCAATAGAATTAGAGCCTTGTAAGAGCCTCGCCAATTCTTTCTATTGAAGCTCAACAACCTGACTTGGTAACCAAGAAAAAAAAAGAGAGAAGAAACTTAGTTAAAGTGGATGTTATGAAGAAGATTAATTGGTTAAAAAAATCAGATTACGTGAACACAAAGAACCCATTAACCTCTTATGTAGAATCTCCACAACCCTCCAATAATCATCAACTTCAAAGGCAGCCCTTGATATTACTCCAATGGTGCGTGTGTCTGGCGGCCATGGATTTTCATTTGTAGCTTCTTCTGTCATTCTGCAAACTCCATCCACAAGAACAAGATTAACCCAAATCAATCTATATGAAGCTCTAAAAGAAATGATTCACAACCAAACTTACAGTTGTGCAGGTGTTACATCAGTCAGCGTCAAGCGAGCAGTTTTAATCTTCTCTTTCAAGAAGGAAGAGGCTTGCTTCTTCAACTCGAAGAACAAGGGGCTGCTCATAGCTATTTTCGTTTGGAACGATCAACATGCATGTTTTGGAATTTTTCTAAAGGTGATAAGAATTTGCTGTGGGTTTTCTTCTGAGCCTTGTGTACGTAAGGAGCGCAACCACTCCATTAGCACAACAAACACTAACTACTCCCTAAAAGTTGTGCTTGCATATGTAATGAGAGGAATTAGGATCATAATTCAAAAATACTAGACCAAACAATTCAAAAAATTCTGACTCTCAATTTTGACCTTCAGGAGAGGTTAAAACATTCCATGAGAATAAGGGAATTCGAAGCTCGAGTGCAAAGTCAAGAGTACATCCACTTTAGCCAACTTGGCTAATCCCTTGTCTACAAGGCAACTCTGATTAAGTAGCCCGTCTTTAAGGTTTTGCTACCATCTTGTGCGTATAATCCCAGTGGGCATCAAGGTCCCCATTAGAACAAGAAGCAAAAGTTACAACCTTTTTTTTCTTTCTCGTTTTACTATAATTATTATTATTCAGCGGCTAAGCCTGATTTCAGAAAGTTCAGTCATGATCATTCATAGTGGCGAAAGTAATATATTGTTAACATGTACTCCATTTGTTCTTAAACGTATGACTTTAAGTTTACAGTCATGAGCACTCCTTGAAAAAGTGATGCTCTTCGGAAGTCAAATCTGAAAAAATATTATGAGAAGAAACAAAGCAGTAGCCCCCCAAAATGATTCATTTTACACACTAAAATCCCATTGTTAGATCACCAGCTTTGCCTAAAAAGACTTTGAACATAAAAACCCTCTATATTTGCTCTCTGCAAATGCTTTGGAAGGAGAACCAGACGCCCTGTGGCTGTCTAATACGGAGTGTTTGCTTTCCACTGGCTATGATAAATAAGACGTGTGCACAATCAGCTACGAATTTGCCACATACCGGTTCTATATCCAACAGACATGAGCACAAGCTCCCAAAGCATATTTGGAATGCTTAACGGATTCACCTTTGATCCAGGAATTTCAGACCAGTTTACAGATATCTCAATCATTCGAATTCTGAACCATTTGCATAGGTAAACCAGCTCAACATCAAAGCACCACCTGCAGAAAACCAACATCTGGTCATCATTCCAAGCCTCTTTGCCAACATAAAAATTATTTGTTCCAAAACATCAAATTGATATACATATCAGAATCTCAACCGCAAAAGCTACAAGGCACTCAACGAAGGATAACAGGGAAGCAGTAAAAAGATGCTTGTATTCTAGTTACAAAGCAACAGAGGTAAGCATAAACTATAGCAAATTGCTATTTGAAGTGCAGTTACCTGTTCAAACAGAATGCTATCTATACAATCTAAAGTGGATTTACCTGTTCAAACGGATGTTAGTGAAAAGCTTTCTTGCAGCAGCCCTGGTGAACATCTTAAAACCACACTGCAATGCATGAAGAATAACACGTCAGGATAACAGTTAAGTGCCTTCTCTTAAGATTTGGTACAATTTGCAGAAAGTACTATCAAGTTTGCTATTTTCAAACTGAAAGAATAAATAATACAAGTAAAAAAACAGAAGAAAAAATAATACTTGTGTATCACGAATTCCGGGACCAGCAGCCAAAAGAACCACAAGATGGAAACCTTTCATCAAGAAATTGCGGTGCCACTTCCTCTGAAACATTAGTCAACTGGTTCAATTAAAATACTTTAAAAAAGTAAGGGTAACAAAAATTAAAATACTTTAAAAAAGTAATGGTAACAAAAATTAAAATACATATATGATATAGCTGCAAGCAGCATTAGCAAGACTCAACTGTAGCCAGGGCTTTCTCCTCAAGATGAGCACGAGAACCAAATGCAGCAATTGGGATATCAGATATTCTAAAACTTGAATTACTAGCAGGTGAGTCCCCAAACTTAAATTCCTCTTTGGCAGCTGCATGGATCTGGGATGCAAAATACAAGGTAGTTTTTAAAAGATCAGTTAGAATTTCCCCAAAACTTGGAACCAAATAGTGTATAGATGTATGGTCACTGTTGATACAAACCTGGTTTTCAAGTTTTTCTGCATCATTAACCTTGGTTGCTCCATCAGCATCCAGCATTAAAAGTAGCTCACCCCGTGAATGAAGCATTCCCTGTTTTACAATGCTTTCACAGAGGTAAAAAGCTTCAATCAATTATCGTCATGCATAAGAGAGAAAAGATGGAGCCTTCAATAACATCAGAATATAATTACAAGGGACTGGTTCAGATTAGACTCACTTTTCTGATAGCTTCTCCCTTTCCATGATTTTTACCAAGAAGGATAACCCTCACATTATCCACAGAGTATTTCTTTACAAATTCAAATGCTACTCTTTTTGTCTCATCAACACTTCCATCATCAACAATCACCACCTGCCCACAAAAATATTTCTGAAGTAAAGCAATGGAGATGCGGAAAGAGCCAGACACGGACTATCTTGTTAACTGTTTTCTAGTTAGCAACTATTATGGCCTTATTACTCAACAGTTGTTTATGCACGAAGGTTTAAATATTTAGGCGCTTCTTTTTTGTGTTGTCAAACAAATATCTAGGCACTTGCTGGGGAGCAAATTATCTAAGTTCATCATATCATTACTCTATCAGCTAGCATGTAGCAAAACAGCTGTCAATAAGACAAATTCAGGTGATCTAGCAAATGAAAGAAACAAAAGAGTACCTCATAAGAAAACGATTTATCCTTTGACGCACGTTGTTGAAGATAACTACAAAGTAACATATGAATGTCATTATGATATAATACCATGACTCTATCTAAAACCCACCACTATTGAACACCAAATGGGATGGTACAGATTAGGAGCAAAAATCAAATCATAATACATTTTGAAGTGGAAGTAAAATGCAATTAGCTAAGCTTCAACTTACTTCATGGTTTCCTCAAGGGCTCCAGGAAGCCTAAGCTCCTCATTGAATGCAGGGACTATCAAAGATATATACTTTTCAGCCGGATCAAAAATCGAAGGGCAACGAACCTAGAAACAATGCTTCCAGATGAGTCAGTATAAACTCAAAAAGCCATTCCCATTGGAAATCACAGGGTTGACTTACATAGCCATTGGAACCAAAAACACAATTTTGCAAAATTATACGAATACTACAACCAATTTCTGATCAACATCCACAAACCCTAATTGATGCATGGAAAAAAAAACAAATCTTCAACCCAAAACCAAACTGATCACTGCAATCCAAAATATGTACCTGTTTCAACGATTTCGGGTCCTCGAAGATCGCGGGAGCTTCAACATGCCTATCAAAATACAATTATACATATAAAAATATAAGCTAAAAGGACAATCTTTTTAAGTGATTGAGAAGAAGATAATTGAACAAGGGGATTGGTAGAACGTACGCGTGGTTGTTTTTTCTTCGATAAGCTTCGAAGAAGACTGCAGAAACAAAACCTAATGCTACGATGAGAATGAGGGCGAACAGGAGTTCCACCATCGTCCATACAATTACAAACTCCATTTTCTTAAATTTGCAGGTCCAAAGTGGAGACGGTGGCTGCTCTTCCTCTTCTTGAGATTTAAGAAAAACCAACGCGTTCCTGCACCCGCAGTCTCTGTGCCAATATAACGTTGAGGGAAGAAAATATTGAAATAAAACTGTTATATAAAGATTTGTGAATACAACAGTCAACAAGCCCGTCTAGCTCAGTTGGTAGAGCGCAAGGCTCTTAACCTTGTGGTCGTGGGTTCGAGCCCCACGGTGGGCGTTGAATTTTTTTTTCTCCTAATAAAATTTGATATTGTTTTTTCTCGCTCTTTCAGTTCGGTCAACGATCAAGTAGTCAATGGAGGCAAGTTAGGGGAATAGGACCAACATATATAACATTCTCAAAGCAGGCTTTTGGTTTCATTTTTGGGTCGGAATCGAAATAAGCCCAATTTTTCTGGTATGGTTTTCTTTGATGCTGGGGTGCAGATTCAGCCCAATACACAAAGCACGCTCGGAATATCGAGAGAAGGGATAATCGTACACAAAATCTCCTATGCAAGAATAACCGATTTTAGTCACTTGAGAGGTGCAAGCCCTTTGAGAGTGAGTGATGTGTACTTAAATTATGTGCTCAAGGTCAAGTGAAGTGACTTTTATTTTTCACTTTTCTTTCTTGGTTGGTAAAAAGTGTTGCATTTTACTGTGAACTTACTCATTGCGTTGCTCTTTTAACTGATTTGTAAGTCGTAACTTAGAAGCCTGTGGACCATCTTTGCAAACCAAGGACTTGCTTTATGATCTGCTTTCCTCTCTGTTTCAACGGAAATCAGTAGACAAACTGGCATTTACCAATTCTTCTGGTTTCCTTCACATTTTTATTTGTATGGTTGTTGTTCTAACTTGTACGTGACAGAGAGCAAGAAGCATTTCAGGTTTAATTTAGGTATACCAATAAGAAAAATCCTCACGTTTCTGAAGTTTTAGATCTTAAACCTAGCACACACAGCACCAGCAATTTCACCAACCATCCATTTAGAAATTTGGGAAACTGGTACTTTTTTTTTCTACATTTGTTTCTTCTTTTTTGGTAGATGAAATGAAAGTTTGCATGTGGCAGCATAGAGCTCTAATTATGAGCCCAACACAAAGGCACTGTAGCACACTTATTAAGTTATTAGACCCCACGCAGACATGTACATACAATCGTATACATAAAGCATCTCAACTCAGTCAAGTTGGCATCAATGGAGGAGACAGAGATGGGCCTTCTCTCGAGGCAAAGCCATGATTAAAGCCACAAGAATTGAAATTAATTGACGTTTGACAAAAAAGAAGAGAAAAAAGAGGGGAATGGGTTTTCTTTTTTCCTCTCATTTTGGTGGACTGTAAAGCTTTGGAAAGAGGTGGAGAAATTGGCCCTTCAACCTTCCATTCCAACCCTACACCATTTTCTCTTTGCTTTTTCCATCATGCCAAACAGACCTTTTACTAACCATCCCCATCATCATCAGTCATCACATGCGCATCCATATTACTCATTCATGCACATTATCCAGCTTGTTTATGAATTAATTAATTTTAATTTGGAGGAACCTTTTAAGCTCTCAAGAAAAAATTTGGTATTATAATATGGTGAAGGCTTTGTAGCTTCGATGTTTGGTTCTCACGGGGGTTAAATCTGGGCACAAGTTACTAAATAACAGTGTCAGGTCTCGGTATATATAAAAATTTAATGCCCTGATGTTCAAGCAAACTCTCAGAAAATTTATAAAACCAGTAATCTTACTGCAGAATTTCTTCCGTAATGATCATTTTGAGCAAAATTAAGGAACAATTATTTAACTACAAAGATGGGATTGATGAACCAACAAATTGAAGTTTTTTTAATGTCAGTAAAATCAAATCTGGTGCAGAATCTGTCACTTACCTCTCTGCTTTCAGTATTGTCCAGAAGCCAGCATGTGCGATACAGTGAGCAGAGACATTAACATATAGGGAAGCTCAATTCACTGTACATGACAGGACACTACAACTTATTCATACTAAAATACAATTGATTCCAGAGAAAATAAAGAGAACTAAACAAAGGCAAGATCTTCAACAAATAAACCAATTTCCCCATCATAATAACAGAAAGAAATTTTAAAAAAAGGGTCAACCCCATTAAGGAAATTAAAAGCCTAATAGAAGATGATAAGGTTGACGGAAAATAAAGAAAAAAATAAAATTTTGAAATTTTCTAGTGAGCCATGGCCACAGGAGCTACATTTGCATAGCTAATGGTTCTCTGGTTGGGCATGGCAAGCATTGCAGTGTGATCCAAGAAATCTTGAAGCGCCACAACAGACTGCAGAATTGTTCTGAGATCATCAGCACTTGAGAAACCCAAGCTTCCCACTTGTCTAACAGCATACACATAAAAAGTTAAGCATCCTTTTCTGAATTTGAACCTTGCTATCTCACAGCCACTCAGGCCTCTGATGAGCCTCTTGTTCACTTCCCCAAGAGGAATTTCTGGTGGCCAAACGCGGTCTACGGCAGCCTTCATGGCTTCGGTTTCGAAAACAAACAGAACCACTTTGGATTTCTTGGTGCCAAGGCCTAATGTGAGGGTGTGCCAGGCATGGTGTGCCAAGATTGTGAAGTTTGTGGGAAGAAAAGCTGTGGTTGAAGAAAAAGGAAGCTTATTGTTGGAGTTGGGTTTGTTTGGTGGTGGAAGTGAGAGGAGTTGCAGAAGCTCTAAAGGCCTTGCACGCCTGATTGTGAATGATTTTACAATGAACTGGCCTCCAAAACGCAGACCCTTCACCTCAGAGCTTGGCTTGAATGAGAAATCTGATGAGGCTGTTTTTGTGGTTTGATCATTTGGGTGCTGGTGTTTCTGCTTCTTGTTCTTGTTACTGGTCTTCTTCTCTTTCTCTCCCATGGCTTGTAGGAGGTTAATGGGGGGGTTTTGGTGGATGTTGCTTGGTGGGTTTTGTTTGTGTATCAAAACAAACCAGTCTAGAGCTTTTGATGGTATATTATTGTATTGGGGTTTTTTTCTTTTTGGTGAGCTAAACCATTGTTCATAATTTAAATTGCCTTTATTTTATTCCAAGCAAATTAAAAAAATATATAATGAAAGAGAATGATAAAATGGCTGATGATGTTGCCACTTCATCTTTCCTCTTATCTCTGTACCTTTGATTCTTTATATGGGGACCCCATTGAAGCCTATATGCATGATGCTGCTGCATTAAGAGCATGTATGTACATGAATGATTTATGTGCACATTCTTATTACAGGTTGGTGTTCATGCAAAAGTTGGAATAGGTCATATTGGTTGGTCCATGAAAATAGGATTTGGCTCACCAAAATAGATGGCAGGGATTTTGGCAAGACACCAAACTGATCTACTAGGATTCAGCTGACTTCTTTCTGAACCAAAAGGCAGTTAAATCTTTTCTCCTTTACCAGAGTTCAAAAACCTAACATGTGCAAATAGAAGATTTTGGGTTTATAAATGATAATTAGCCTCTAAATGAGAGGATTGGGACCACATTTTTGGAGACCCCTCCCATCATAATTGCACCCATTTGTCTAAATTGATCATCTCTCGATTGCTAATGCAATGTAAATGACAATTTGCTTCAAAACTTGAGAAATTAGCCCCTCTGTTATACTTTCTGTCAGCATCAGAGGGAATTAAGCCGTATGCTACGCTTAGTAGGGACTATGTAATGACAAGAGATTATTTAGCACTATTTTTTTTTCATACAAGTGATAACAAGAAAGGGGTTCAATACAAGACTTTGGTTGCAGAGTTTAATGTTAAATTGGAGAGATGAAGTATGGTTGCCTCATTATGCAAATCATTTGACAACCCGAAAGTCTTCCATCTAATTCTAAAGGTGGGTTCCTTCCAAAGCCACCGCTGCCTTCAATCAAATCACGGGAAAGATATGCTTAGACTAGAGATTGTGAGAGGACCAACTAAAAGCAATAACTCTTAGAAGAAAGAGGGCAACAAACAAAGAGGGAGGGGACCAACTTAACACAAAATTAATTTTGAGAATTATTCTCAGGTTCAAGTTTCAATAAAAAAAAAAAAAAAAAAAAAAAAAAAAAAAAAAAAAAAAAAATATAAATTTTGAATGAATGAATGTCTATCTGTCAATGCTGCATAAACTTTTTAGGAAAAAAAGATGGAAGAGAAGTGTGGATGTCGTTCCACTAAATAAGCTTGAGGTCATGTGGTATGGAACGACTCTGTTTTTTTCTTTTTTCTAGTGAAAACATTGATATTTCATGGGATAGAAAGGTGATGATTCTTTACATCTTCATGTAATCAAACCACTAAATTTTCACTGTTTATACTTCAATTAGAAACTTGCGTTAACGGTAAGAATTTACGTTCTATCATGTACATAATACCGCTTACTCGGATCAAATTAATGTCTGTAAAAGAAGCAATACATTCTATTATACCATAAGATTTTGTAGACACTTTACTGTGATGGTAAACTGTAATAATTCCCAGCACAGGAAAAAGTAGCAGCTATGAATATCCTGCACCGTTGAAGAAATTATGAGGGGAGGTTAACATCCTAACAAAGTGAAAGTCATCTCAGATTTGGTGAGACTTGCCAAAGAAGCATTTTATATCTACACCTCCTTGAATCACAAGAAACCAACCAAAAGAAAAAAAATTCATCATTTCAAACCAGAAAACAACTGGCAACATTTTAGGTCGGCTATCAATGTTAGTCTTGGACGTGGGCAACATCAGAGAACAAATTTGAAGGCCCATAAAAATAAAAATAAACGAAAAGGAAAGCAGATAATATAAATGGATTTTGTATTCTTCATATAAATTCAGAGACAGAACTGCAGTCTGCAGGTTGAGTGTTGTTATCAGGGGGGACTTAAGTCTCTGTTATCTTTAATGATAATTCATTTCTAATAATTCTCAAGTGTCTGATTTTCCTTTCATTTTTTATTTTTGGTTTTGGGTTTTACAATTGGGACACAGGCCCAAAAACAAAGCTAGTAGAAAACTGAAACTTTGCCTTCCAACACATGCCCAACATGGGATACCAGCTCCACATTCGAGCTCATCCATCAAGTGAGCTAAAGCCCATTAGCAATCATGTGCGATAGTTTAAAACTTACGAGTAGAGGGATTCGAATTTAGGTACCAGGAAATAAGTGCATTGCCATGATCAACTAACCTAACTCAAGTGTGTCAATCATGTTCTGTTCCGAGTATGTAGCAAAGCTCTTGATTTTTTTTTGAGTTATTATTGGTAATTTCTGTAGCATATTATAAGTATCATTTTGTGACAATGTGTTAATTGGTCGACAATCTAATTTCATTATAAATAAATAAATTATACTTTGGATTTTATTTTTTCAAAAATTGTGTTTCCAATGATAACGTTGAGAAAGTGCTCACACAATTGGCAGAGCCCTTCTCAAATCGTTTGTACAATAAATCTTACTCATTTGCAGAGGCACCATAAATCATCCCCAAACCCAAAAGAAAAACCCAAAAGAGTTTGAAAAATAATGATCAAACACCACCATATTTCTGGTTCTTAAAATGCCCCTACTCAAGCGTTGTATTTACAAGAGCCGTGGCTGGGGTCGGCGGAAGTAATCTGTCCCGTTTTCGAGAAATCACAGTTAAAATCGTGACGGCCGTTAGCCTGGTAATAGGCATTCATGAGGTAAGACGCACGGGCCTTAACATCGTTATCGAAGCAGGTGCCACCTGGCTGGATGGGCTTGCAGTCAATGCCCTTGCCGCAGACGTAGTCAATGTTTGCTTGCAGAGCTTGGTTGGTTGCTCCTGGTTTGGCCACGCACCACTTCTTGCCGCCTCCGGCTGCCACAGGCGCTGCTGGGGTTGCTGGTTTGGGCTTCTTGCCTCCTTTGACTGGTTTGGCTGGTTTGGCTGGTCCAACTGGTGCGGCTGGTTTGGCTGGTCCAGCTGGTGCAGCTGGTGTAGCTGGCTGTGTTACTGTTGTTACCATTGGTCCAGGTGTTGCACCACCCTAAACATTAATTATTCATACAACATTTTAGTATTAATAATAAAACATTAATTGTTCTCACAATAAAAACCATTTCCCAATATTTGTACAATTAGATTTGCAAGCCTGACTTATAACCTCTCTGACTTACAAAATTTTTTATCCCATCGATTATATAAGCATTAAATGTTTTTTAGGCGTGTATTTTGAACTTTATCGTAAATATTTTTGTTTTTTTTTTTTTCTTCCTTTTTTTTTTTTTTTTTTTTTTTTTTTTATAGTAGCTCCATTTTATTTTATTTTATTTATTTCGAGTATTTTATATTGAAATAGATGATAATATACTAAACTAACATACATGCTATGACTCGAACTCAGGATCTTACATGAGAAAGCAATCACTCCAACCCACTACATTTGGAAACTAGTGTGGTCTCAACTCAACCTCAACCCACCCGTTTTTGTTATAAATATTTTGTGAAACTCTTAATATGCCAACAAGGGCCTCCTCTTCAATCCTACGTATTTTTCTTGTTTTAGATAAATTTTCTACAAATTTAGTATACATATTTACTATTTTTAAGCAAATTCTTAAAATTCAAGAATTTTAACTTTTAATTGGGTTGATTCACTTAATTAAGGTTTTTAATCTTTCTCTTATTTTAATTATTTTTTGTCCACCTATGGTTTGTGTGGTCTTGAAAAAAGTAAAAGTTGTAAAAAAAAAAAATTATATATGTAATATTAATATTTTGAGATTGAATTTATATATATATTTTAGAAGCTCCCCACATGAAATTGGCTCCGTGACTCGTAAAAGCTCTCAATTTTTATTTCTACCTAGAACTTCCCAAATCGATGGACCGGCTTTGAAGATTTTTTTATTAAATTTTAATATAATAAACAACACGACGAATCTAGAAAATCAGACGTAATCTAAGGGGCATGTGCCCAACATTTAAAAAAGTTGAAAAAGGTATAGAATTTAGCAATTTAATATTATAGACAACTTGATGAGAAAAGAAACACGAAAGCCACCGAAAATTAATTACGTTAACCAACCTGTTGGTTCCGCATAACCCCTGCATTGTAAACCGGAGTCATGTCCGGTTTAAACAGCCCCCAGTTCTTCTCCGCGAGCGGACCGGGTTTCTGGTTCTCATTGAACAAGGCAAAGATGTAAGTGTCGAACTTCCGGTTCGGCATCAACGGCGTGCCCTTGCCAGACTCCACATGCTTGATCAAGTGCCCGTTGTAATCCACGGCGTTCTGAACTGAGCAGACAGGGAACTCGCAAGACGAAGGCCAACCGGTCTCGGCCGCCACCAAGTCGACGTCACCGAACCCGACCGCCTTGGCAGCAGAGTAAACCGCGTCCATCAACCCGTCGAACATGTTCGTGTAAGACTTGCCAGTGAACTGGTCGTGCACGCCCATGTTGGGTTTGAAGAGAGCGAAGTTTTCCTTTTCCGGCGACCACCCGAAATACGGGTACGGGTTGACCATAAACGGACCTTTGGTCTCGCGCAAGAACTGGAGCATGGGGGTCAGAAGCGGAATAACCTCCGGTCTGAACCGGCCCTGGCTCGGCGGTTCGGACGACAGCATGATCCCGAGCGAGTGAGGGGTGGAGACTTTGACGTCCTTGATGCCCTCGCGGACCAGAGCGTTGTGGAAGGTCCTCATGGCGGGGACGAGGCTGTTTTTAAGGTTGTCGTCTCCCCAGTGGAGGACCTCGTTGCCCATGGCGATGTAGTTGATTTTTGTCTGGGGATAAAACGGCTTGACATGGTCCAGGACCCACCGGCGTGCGGCACGTAGTTTCGTGAGGCTCGGGATTTCTCCGTTGGGGATGGTGATCGTTAAGGAGATGTTGGTGTTGGCGAAGGCCTTGATGATGTCCGGGTTGGCGTCGAAGATCTTGACCTTGTCGATGTTGGTTTGGGTTTTGAGGAAGTTGGCGACTTGGGCCGGTGGGGGGAGGTTGTCGGCGAGGGTGCCGTAGTTTACACCGATGGCGAAGGCCGTGGCGGCGAGCTGGATGAGGAGGAGGAGGAGGGAGAGGAGGAGCTTTGTGGTGGCCATTGTGTTTTGTTTTGCCCTTGTGGGGAATGGGAGTTGGGGTCAAGTACTTATAGTGGAAAATTAGAAGGAATTGAGAATAGGAAACAGGAGGATAAGGGACCAATGGGATTCGGACATGTAGTTGGTCAATTATCAATTTGACAGAGATTCCCTATTTACAGTTAAATTCTGTTGTTGTTTTCTTGTTTGAGACGATATGCTATTTTCTCTCCCATAAAAAAAGATATGCTATTTATTACAATGAACTCAGTCTTCTTAATTATCCATCAAAAACTTAAAATAAAATAGTTGTCAAAACTTAAAAATAACTTACTGATAATGACTTTGTCTTACTTCTTTCTTTACGTAATTAATTATGGCCGTTTTGAGTAAGTTACCTTGCCTATTTTCTAGTTCTATATACTTTTTTGAAAGAGCTCATAATATTTCAAAAAAGCTAAGGTTTCTATGCATAGAGAGAAGCATCTATGTTGTTGCTACATTGAAATGTAAATTTTTGGGGTTGGGTATGCCAACTCATCTCTGGCACTTGGCTATGGACAAAAGTAGCCGTTACTCTATGATTCAAAAGAGTTTAGTCATAATAAAATAAGTTAAAGACTGTATTTTAATTATTGCCAAATGGCAAAAGAGCCTAATACCACGAAATGTTTTATAATATCACTAATCATTCAAGGAATTTTATTTACTGAAACAAATTTATAAAAAAAATAAATTTGTGTCAATTTATTTCTTGCGTCTTTTCTTTTAAGGGAGTTTCACTAAAACACCCAAAATGGGGGTTGAAATTATAAAAAAACCCAAGCACTATTTAAACATATAAACACACCCAAAACCCATCATTACACACATTCAAAACCTATTTATAAACACACCCAAAAAGTTGACTTTGGGGTTGATTTTGGGTGTGTTTCTATGTTTAAATAGTGCTTGGGTTTTTTTATAAATACATGTCTAGAATTGGGTTTATTTATAAATTTGTATTCTTTTAACTCGGAGCATTGGAGACCGTGTCACTGAATGTGCACGTGTTTATTAGGACATTTATGACGACGCGTTGCAGTCAGAAAAACGGTAGGACCGTCAACTTGGTTTTGCATCTGATGCTTCACGAGCTCACAGTGAGCAAAAGCAAAAGCATCTCCAGAATCTCGATGTTCCAAGTGTGAATGCGACCCAACCTTTGGCCGAGTGGCAACCGTGTTCCTTTTTCATTGGCTGTCGACCAAAGAAACAAATAATTGTCTAAAAGATTGGGCGGCAATTGCGCACATTGATTTTGGCGGTCTTTTTCGCTTTGCCTTTTTCGTTGTCTGGAAAAAATCATTAAAGTGTTGCGTTTTGAGTGGTAAAATCAATGACGCGGTTTGCACACAACAAGAGGCTGTTATTCCAAAAAGAAAAAAGAAAAAAGCAATAACAAGAGGCTGACCGCTACGTCCAAGAACACACGGATGGGCAGGCAGGCATTAGCGTACCAAGACTGCAAGACACCTACTCAAGGGCTCCATCGGTATTTTTTTATACAAATTTCTTTGTTGTTTTGTTGTGGCCTTCAAAACGATCTTCAGCCCAGGCTTTAACAAATGCGGGATTCATTCAAATTCTTATTGAACTAAAGTATTAGCCTGTGGCTCTATGGGCTTGTGCTGCAACGCATGAAAACCTGTGATTTAATGGTAGTTTATGTTTCTTTACCTCACTCAAGAATTCTACAGTGAGGGTCTTATCTTAGGACCTTAGATGAGGCCTTATTTCTTAATGGTTGAATTAAATTGAGCAATAAAATTGGTTAGTTTATTGCTTAATCGGTTAGTCGTTGGATTAAATTGGTTAGTTTAATCTAAAGGTTAAGAGATAAAGCCTTTATCTAACTATAAAAGAGCGTATGGACTTCGGCAAAATTATTAGGTTCAGATCTTACCCAAATAATTAGTTTGGGTCTAGCCCAATGTTGGCTTGGATGGAAACCTATGTCTAGTGTGCGGCCCACTAAAGAAAGTCAAAAAAGTCAATCCAATTATTTGGGCTTTAGCCCGAGTGATGGCCGAAACGAGAGTAAAATAATGAGTTAGTATTAGAACACGTCCAAAGTTCTAAAATTGAAAATCATGGTAAGAACAGGTACTAGTGGCTTGCATGCCAACATTTAGTTTGTTTTTACTTGAATATTAACAAAAAATAAACATTGGTTGCATTAAGTATCAAAGCTCTTTAACTGCGTTAATTGCCAACTAATTCCTTGAATAAAACTTCACAAATGGCAGATATGCAAGTACACACCTTGGATTTTGTCTAGATAATAACAAAAATTACATATTGCATGTTTTCCATTTGTCACTCATTCACATGTTGGGGTAAAATGGTTATTTTGTACACAAATGTTAGAACAAGTACGCTAATAAATAGAATCCACCAGGTTCATAGCATCCTTTCATTTGCATATGCATACCAGTTCTTGTAAAACTTACCATTGATGAAACAATTTGTGGGCTAGCTAGTTTGGAAAAAAGCCTTTAATGAGGACAAAGACAAATACGCATACGTTGTCATTCTCTGACAGTAGTCTTATTACATGAGCAACACGTGATAGGTAAACACTAAAACAAAATTGTATTCAAATAAATGGCAAACATCTTGTAAAAGTAAAACCCTTCCGCCCACCCCTGACTCTCCTCTCCCTGATTTTTAAGATGTTGCGGCGGCGGCGTCCTCTACACTACCAACACTTACTGGTGTCTGATTCAGAGACGGAATCCGACGATCTAAGTGAACATTTTAAGGCTCAAACATCACTGATAAAAAGATGGGGAAAACGAATTGCAAAGGAAGGATCTAAAAGTAAGAGAAAAAATAAGGAAAAAGGCAATGAAGGAAGACGTGGGGGTGCAAAGGCATTGAAGGAGGATCCAGGTTCCAAAATGCTAATTTTCATTTGATATCTAGTATTTCTGAAACATCTTCTCTCCTTTCATGTATTCTATATAATACATATAATTAATTTCCCTACTTTTAGGTTACTTTTGGCTTTACCACATGATATATGTAGCTTTGTAATAATAATATTAACACAAATATATATAAAAAGAATAAATTAAATCATCGTATAAATAAATCTCAAAACACAAGCAATACATGCATGTACGCTCACTTCTGATATAGTTTTTTTTCAGTTTAAACTTCTCTCCATTACTATGAACCAACAAGAAGGATTTTGTAATGCAGAAGTTGTGCTGAAGATTGCAAAACATTATCAAGAACAGATGAAGCAGATTCCGATCCCGAGGATTCGCAGGAAGGACGCCATCTTCGTCACGTGGTGGGCACTAGCAAATTCCATGAAGCAGTTTTATGGGCAGCCATTGCACTACATGACTCAAGTTCTGGTAAAGCAGTGGGATGAGTCAAGAATTGGCAGTGTGGAAGAAGAGAAGCCAATGGACAACATTATTCATCCAAGGAGAGCTGAATCCACCATTTGGGATGTTGAACAAGTCCACAGGCAATGCACTTCTCACATTCATTTGGCCAAGCTCTGGCTTTCTGACCCCGAGTACCATGCTTTTGTTGATGAGGTCATCCCCTCGTCTAAGCTGGTTGCATGAATTTTTAATTTTCCATTTCGAATATTAATGTTAATTAGATGTGTGGGATTAAGTGTTGCAAAAACTCATTTGATGAAGAACTTGTTGGTCGTTGGAATATTTGTTGTACGGCTCTTCTATTAATAACATATATGTTTGGAATATTTCTTTGCCAATGCCGCAAGCAAATAAAATTGTAAATATTTGTTGTTTTGAGGTAATGTAAGAGTGATTGGGGTGCCAAAATCATCACCTTTGTATTATAGAAAAGAAAATATGTGTTTATCTTTCTCTTATGACATTATTGGTAAGCTGTTCGGCTTCCTAAATCTATTTGTCCTCTATACGGGTAACTAATTAAACACCCTTCTAGTGCATGTACAAGTACAGATTGTTTATGTCAGTGTGTGTGCATGTTAAGTGTGAAAGAAAAACAGGTAAAACGTGAGATGTAAAGATAATCAATGAACGTTATTGTCAAAACATATTTAAACGTCGTGACAATCAAAATCTAAATTGAATTTTGTCCATTTATGGCAGTGCTATTATCTCTAAACATTTTTGGATTCATGATTATCTCTAATTTTAAAAAAAACAAAAAGAAATCGAAATCATGAGAATCTTCAGCAAGCTAACGAAGTGCTCATGTTCACCAGAACTATTCATTCTAGTTGCAAGCTAAAGGCGTGAATTTTATCTGGATGACATAAAGGATTACCATATTGCATATGACTTTCACAAATTTGGGCAAAATGGTCATTTTTCGTACAAATGTCTAATATGCAAATGCACAACCTGAATTTTACCTAAATGATAACATGGTTACCATATTGCATGTCTTCCATATGTCATCAATCTTTCACAAATAAGGGCAAAACGGTCATTTTCCATATGCCATCTTGCATGTTTGCCATATGTCAATCTTTCACGAATTGAGGCAAAATGGCCATTTTCGTAGAAAGCTTTACATTATAAAAGAAACCACAAGGTTACATATCTTTTAAGGCGTGAAAAGTGAGATGAAGGGTGCATCCCTGCTCAGCAGCCGGGACATAGTTGGCCGTAAGGAATGCCATGGGTTACTCAGAATAGCTAAACTTAGAAGGTCGGGGAGAAGAATCTCTACCGGTCATCGGTGGCTTTTGAATGGTTGGATTGCTGAGAAGAGGACTCCACAATCACAAAGTCAATGTTCGGTAAACTTCTAATTAAGATTTTAGTCTATTTTGTTTTCGGAAAGCTTCATATGTTTATGTGTTCTTAACCCAGTATTGAATTTGTGATGGCAGCACTACCCTTCAGGTGATCGTCTCTGCAATACCAAACATGAAGTGATGATTCATGCTTGGCAAGATCAGGGCATCACCTTAATTGAGGATTATAAGAACCCGGTAATCGATCCAAAAAAACAATAAGAACCCGGTAATTATTTTCATGAACAATAATAAACTGCCTGCTGCAACTCAACTTTCAAAACTTAGACAAACAAAACACCAAACGAAAATCCAAAGGACCGAAATCATGGACAACAATAATGCACAGCAAGCTAATGAAGCTGCTCCTGTTCAGCAGCATGGCATGTCGTGGTGATAGTCCAAGAACGGGCACGCCGCAGGTGGAGGCAGCACCATGCCACATCCACCTTCTTCGACTATACATCCCGCGGGGTATAGCTAGCTGGCTTCTTCTGGGATGGGCGGTCGAAGAGCGACGGATGCCCGCCAGGAGACTCTATAAACCTTTTACCAAAAGAAGGAAAAAACTTGAAGTCACAGTCTCACAGAGAATCTTCTGCAAGCTAGTGAAGCTGCTCATGGCATGTCGCTATTGTCAACGACGGTACACAAAATAGAAGAACTAGCAAGACGAAGGGAGAGGAAGCTACCCTTTTCAGCTTTTTTCTTAGCTTTTGTTCATCTTTGATATAACAAAAGTAAATCCACCAGTCGATGTATATTGTTCTTGGATTAGACATGTTAAAAAAAAATTTTAAGTTATTGAATTGCCGTTTTCTTATAGATCACTTGGTTTGATCTATATTTACTTATAGTTTGGGTTCTGCACACGTCTTGAATGCCTATGCTTTCTGTGGTCATTCCCAGTGTTGGTATATAGACATTTCGACACAAGAATTTACACAGGTGAAGTTAAATTTTCAATTTCCTATTACCATCTGGCTAAGCTCTGGCTTTTCTGACCCGGAGTACTACGCTAACTCCTCATCTAACATTGGTTTATTAATTAATGACAACGGGTCTAGCTCAGTGAAAAAAGGTCTTGAATTGCAGACAAGAGGTCACCTCAGACTCAAACCCCATGGCATCATTTGTGTGTGTTTGTGAGAAATCTCATGCCCTCTAATTTAGACTCTCGCTTGTACTGAAAAAATAAAAAACAATGGTTTATTAACATAATAATGTTAATGGTGTATATATATCACACCAGCAACATGGAGACGGGACATACTTATATAAATGGTATATATCACAATTAGAGTATAATCCAAATGGTTTTATAATAACTAAGAAAATTAGTATGTGCTTATCTTTCTCTTATGTCATAATTGGTAAGCAGTTTGGCCTCCCAAATTTATTTGTCCTATATTTAAACACTCTTCCATTACATGAACAAGGACGGGTTGTTTATGTCAGTGTGTGTGTGCGCGCGCATGGTCAGTGTGAAAGGAAAAAAGATAAAAAGTGAGGTGTCTAATCATTTATGGTCTTCCCTTACTCTGGATTTTATCCGTTTTTGTAGTATTATTATTTGTAAACATTTTTGGATGATTATCCTTAATTTTGGTATGCTTTAAATTTGTACATTGTATCTATAACTTTTGCACGGGTACCCATTAAGTTTTGGTTTTTTAACAATTTGGCCTTACGGTTTTCTCTTTTCTAATAATAACCCATAACTTTTGCACGAAAAACCTATTTGGATTAAAATGCCTTTTCGTATATTTGTTAAGTATATTCATAGGTGGAACCGGTACCATGACTTATGAAATATCAAGCACAAAACTTTCTTTGAGTCATCCATTAAGTATACATGCATATATCATTGCATCAAACTAAATCAAATTAATATGGGATGAACATATATATATAAGTCAGGATCGAGGGATACTAATTTTATCAGAACAAATTATTTTAAAAATTTTACTTCTAAAGTTTATAGAGTTATAAATTAAATATATACGAGTGAGGGAGAGCGCGGGAGCATATATAAATTTAAAATGTTATATTTCTATGATGAACTAGAAGTTCCATGTTCTTCATATTGCATCGTTAGCCACATGCATTAACCCTTTATTACATGTACATTAATATATGATTACATATATTTTTACTTACATACATGATCGATAGAAATTTGGATCTACTTTTTTTTTGTTTTTTTATAATCATTCCATCCAAAGCAACTAGAGCTAAAGCTCATAAGCGCTAATTCATGCTCTTAACAGCCAGCAAGAGCAGCACAGTGATTTGAAAAAATTATATTACCAGAAGCACAAATTTTGGTCTCTTTTTGTTAGATTAATATAAGAACCCACGATTACGCAGATAAATAGTTTTCTGACCGTACATTTTAGGGTATTTAGTAGATAGAACCCTTCTGAATAATATTACCAGGGGCACAAATGAAAACGAATTTACAAGACTGGCTATATATATATATGTATATATAGGAGAGTTGAGCTGCTCAGAAGCATCACCTCGCGTACTGTAAGCCGCCTGCAAGTTTTCAACCTTCAAACCTTAGACAAAAACAGAACATGAACAACAATAATCCGCAGAGAGCTAATGAAGCTGCTCCTGTTCATGGGCAGCCTGCAGGTGTGTCTCCATGGTCAATGGTGACAGTGGAGATCGTCCGGGCACGGGCGCGCCGCAGGTGGAGGCAGCCCGATGCCACATCCACCTTCTTTGACTATACATCTGGCCGGTATAGCTGGCTTCTTCCAGGATGGGTGGTCGAAGAGCGACGGATGCCCAATAGCAGGCTCTACAGAGTAACCATGTCTCCATATACCTTCTTTTTTTCCATTGTTGTTTTGGTGTTTTTGTTTATGTGATAAATTTTTTTTTCTTCGGATAATTAAGGTTAAAAATAAAAGGATGACCAACCAGATACGAATGGGTAGTGGAATTCACAGATCTGATAGTTTATGTTGTTGGATTATTTTTCTTGTTGAAAATCATTTGCATGCATTGATAAACAAAACAAGTACAACAAATTGGGAGGTCCAATACCTTTTTTTTTGTCGAAATTACAAGACCAACAAGAGTGATTTGTTTGTGGATCTGATGTTTTTGTATCAAAAATTAAAGGATTGTGAAGGGAATTTTCTAAAATTAAAAGATTTTATGAAGGGAATTTTCTGAAATTAAAAGATGTTGTGAATGTAGTTTTGAGACACTAAATCATGAAGGGAATTTTTTTGAAATTAAAGGATCGTGAAGGGAGTTTTTTTAAACTAAAGGGTTGTTGTGAAGGGAATTTTTGTAGTTAGTTGTGGGGAAAATATTCTCGCATACAATTAGTGTATATAACGTTCTTTTTATAGACATACACCCTAACGTGTTGACCACGTAATCAGAAAAGAGGAGTGTAAACACACGTGGTATGCAAGAATTTCTTCTCATATGACCATATATATATCTCCTCCAATGCCCTTGTATATGTCTAACTTTAATTCTTACATTTCCTTTGATAAGATGTAGCTTGTCTTCTTTTTTGGTAGGCTTTATTTATGTGTTCTTAGCTGAATATTGATTGAGTATTCAAATTGCTGACTATTGAATTTGTGATGGCAGTACTATTACGACTCTTCAGGTCGTCTGTATAACACCAAATATGAAGTGGTTCGTGTTTGGGCACAGAATGGCATCTTCTTGATCGAGGACTGAAGATACTTATGTCTGTGTTTGATTCTGCAGATGTTTACATGACCAAGGACCTTCTTTCAGCTGTTTTTCTTCCTAGCTTTCGATCATTTAGAGTAGTTTTGATGTACAGCAGAAGAAAATCCACCAGTTCATGTATATTTTTCATGGAGTAGTTTTCAATTGCCTTCATAGCAACTGAACGGAATGGCCACAGAATTCAACCAGGCCAATTTGGAAGATCATAAATTTTTAGCTTAATGATGAAGTTTTTAACAACCAACTTAATTACCACCACATTATATGTAGGAATAGGGCAGTTAATTTTTTATTTTTTATTATTTTTACCAACACTTATGTTTTGTTTTGGATTAGTTGAATTAAATCCGGAAGTAAATATATAGCTTATAATCTTTTTGAATACAACATAAAAAGGTCAACTATGACCAAGAGGTTTATTTTCAGACTTTTTATCATCACGGGTCCATAATTTTGCTGAAGGCCTTCACTATCTATCTACTAACCTACCGAAGGTCCTCACTTTCACTCAACCTGCCGAAGGCAGTTATTTGCCTTGCCTCCCGAAGGCACATACACCTGCTGAAAGCCCTCGCCGTCACACATCATCCACCACTTCACATCTATTTTTATAGACCAGTTTTGGACATCAATATAAGTAGTTTACTATGTATGTGGCTTATTAATCCTTGGCTATAGCTAGACATCTGCCTGGAGTTGTTGAATTACACTCGGCAGGAACCCGAAAAATATAACCAGCTGCTTTACTTATGCACCAACGCAGTTGAAAATTTAGAAAATAGAGCATTATTCAAAAGAAAAAGTGAAGTATTTGATAATTTATAGTCATATCAAGGTATTTGCCCGGGTAATTCAAAAGTGCTAGCCTTAGTCTTTGCTTTAATTTCAGTGAGGCTCACGTAACATTTAAAACAGCAGACCTAAGACAACGTCTCATCTGCGGCTTTCTAAATGTTGATAACTTGTTTTAAGAAATTGAAAAATATGTTTGGTAATCAATTTTAGTTTTCAAAAAAACAGAAAAAATTGAAAATTGTTTAAAAGTTGTTTGGTAACTAATTTCAATTTTACTTTTACGTGGAACTTGGAAATTGAATTTTTTGAGGTCAAATTGTGAAATTGAGATCTTAAAATGAAAGTGTATGTGACAAAAAAGTTCGTAGTATTTTTCAGTGAATTTTGGATATGGAGGTCCCGAGGGTCGAATGCAAGAGTTGAGAGGTCCTGAATACCGATTTTTTATAACTGGAGTGCATTGCATGTGTAGTGTTGTAAAATTGGTGAATGAAAAAGGAGCGTAAATTTAAAATAAAAAAACAAAAATTGAAAACACATTCCAGTTTTTTTAAAATAAAGGTGATTTTGAAACCCCAAGCCACCCAATGAATATTTGTGTAAAACCACCACCTCCAATTGCTTGTGCTTAGAAAAAAAGATATGATTTTGAAAACTAGATTTCATTTTTCTGCAAACAGAAAAATAAATCTGTAACTAAACATGTTTTTAGTGTTTTTTTTTATTATTTAATGAAAAAAAATGGTTATCAAACAACCACTAAATATAGCATTTATTTTTATTAACTCTTATGTTTTGTTTTGGATTAGTTATATTTAGTTGTCTAAACTCAAAATAAATGTCCATTCGTTGTTCTAAACTTCTAATTAAGTACTTGATTCCTAATCAGTCTGGCTCAAAATGCTTAATTATGAATATCATTATATCCTTTTCTTCTTTTGTAAAAAGACTAGGGTAAGTTTGGAGAGCTTTTATCTTTCTCCGTTCCTTACACGCCGTCACTTTTCTCATATCAACCTTGTGAGCTTCTGAGCCGTGAGAATGGAGGAGGGTAAACAAGAACATGCGATAGGGATTGATTGTAATCTCTTTCTAATTGTCTCTACTTAGGACTTGTCCACGAGCCAAAAAAAAAAAAAATTACAATCAACCGTGACAAAAGAAGTTTGGGAATCGAAAATATAAAGCTACTTGGTTGATGAGTTTAAGTTTTCATGGGTCAAATTTGCTATATGAAACGTTGACTTTTCGCCTGGAAGTGTAAGTTTGTGACTATGCATGTGGATTATTAATCCTTGGCTGGATTTCTGCTATGTTGTGGCATTTAGATTTGCTTGAAACTCATAATTGAATTACACTCGGCAGGAACCCGAAAATACAACCAGTTGCTTAACATAGCATTTTAGTCAACAAGAGAGTAAAGACAACGTTGAGAACAAAGTCATGAGTATCGATTTGAATTAGATGAAATTACCATAATATCCTTAAACTCGTTCTTTTGAAACTCAAAAACATACAACTCCCCATTCCAAACCAAAATTCAAAACTCATTGACCAAACCCAAGAGAAAAGTTAGCCACTTGGGATATCTCATGTGACTAATACCTAACTCTTCTTGTATTTTATATGGATGATGAGAAGGTTACTATATATTGCATAAAATTCACGAATGTCTCATATGTAAATTCACGACCTAGATTTTATCTGGATGATAATAAAGTTACCATATTGCATAAATTTCTACAACACCAACCACTTCATATTTGGGCAAAGCATGGCCTCATGATCTTGATTGAGGACTGAAGACAAGCAGCTGGTAATTGATTGTCGTATAATCAGACTCACATATGTTTGTGTCTGATTCTGTAGGTGCTAGCTGCGAAGTTGCCAACCAAAGGACTTTTCGACCCTTTTTTCTTCTTAGCTTTCGCTCGTTTGGGGTAGCTTTGATATGAAAGTAATTCCACCAGTCGATGTATATTGTTCTTGGATTGTGAGTAGACATCTGTAGTTATCAGATGATCTTTCATAACAAGTTACAAGCTAATGCAGTGAGCAAGTTCGGGTTCGGCATACATCTTCAATGCCTATACTTTGGTCTTAATACATACACATTTCGACACAAGCATTCACATATCGGTGAGGTTAAATCCTCTTGTGATCTTTCAAATTTTCAATTGCCTATACATACCAACTAAACCGGAATGGCCACCAAATTCCCCATCAGGCCAGAAAACCATCATCTTCTTGGCAAGGATGGGACAATCATCTCCAATTTCTAAAGTCATTAGTTTTTACTTTATATGATCAATTCATTCTGAATCCAAGCAAAGAAAAACATCTAAAAGCCTACAAGCCCCTTCAGACAGGTTTCCCTCTTTGATAGCTCTCACAATGAAAAGGCACAGCAAGAACAGCAAAAAATCACACATCAACGTTATTATTGGGGTAAAAAATTTCATAATTCAAGTAAACATTCTGGTTGTTCTGCTGGGGAAGTTATGTAACTCAGCATTTGTAGAAAAAAGAAAGCGATACAATGACAAAACTTCCTTGGCCCACACAAAAAAAGGGGAAAGGGATACATTTATGAGGATATCAAAGAACAACAACAGACTCAATAAATTTTTTAAAAAAAAGTGATGCACCGTAGTCAAGCAAGAACTGAGTACCATCAAGTTCGGCTGTTGATGCTGCTGGACTGAACCCGCATCAATTCCAAAACTCTGATGGTGCTGCTTGATGTGAGCGCAGAGTACGTAAAAGAATAAGGTATGACTCCCCAGCAAGAACGAATATTGAAAATTCCTTCACTATAGCATGCCTTATTGCTATTCATGTTGGCTATATGAACTTGCCTTCATGTTCTGATTCACACTTATTGAAGGTGGGAAAAAAAATTATGAAAAGCCGCATTACAAGTCTCTCTCCAAGAGCTCTCTCATCTTAAGAGGCCAAAATCTGTACATCTCAATGAGTCCTGAACAAAGAGTGCCTCCGCCTATCAGGCTTGTGTCTCCTAATATGATCATTGTTTATGGGCTTCAACATTCTATCTGTTTCAATTTCAGACTGAAGCAGAGACTGCAGCATCTTCAACTGTCCACTACATTGCTTGTGGTCAGAAGAGTAGGCACCATTAGCATTCTCTTCATCTAGATTAAACTCTCTCTGGTAGGGTGACTGCCATTTCGCTTGCAAATAAGCAAGTGATCTCCATGGAGGTAGAGGCATTGAGTTCTGCTTCAGGGAAGATCTAGCAGCTTCAACCATAACTTGAAGAAACTGTTTCATCCTAGTCAAGGAGCCCACATAAACAACCGGTAGTGAATTCAATATTCTATCATACGAGTGAACAGCTCTAGCTATTTCAAAGTGGCTTCGGAAATCAAGGTCAATGATGAGACGCTCCGAGCTCCCCGAATTGTTGTAGTTGACCACATCAATATATTCATGATCCCCTGTGAAATGACGTTACGAAAACAAAACTTTCAAAAATGATTGAAGTTGAGAATTCCCACTCCTCAAATAGAATCAGAAACCCTACAAAACCCAGTTAAATTAAGCAGCACAAGCCCGCCTGCCCATTTTCATTTTGTGGAAACAATGTTGAAAATAGTATACAAACTATATAAGAGACATTCTAAACAGATTGCTTACTAGAGTGTGTGGGATCATAGAATCGATATAATGGTACACTCTGGGTTCGGTTGACATCCAAAATAGGAAACAGATATAAACAGAGTGTTTTATGCACCCAACAAAAGAAAAACCCGAACTCTATAAAATAAAGGTTTTGCAGAATTGAGGTGAATGGCATACCTCCAGGGACCTTGCCACTGCCCTGCCATCTTGCCACACACACGGCAGCATCATAACCAGAAAGCCTCAGAAGCTTAACCAGAGAAAACTTGAGGCAGCTGGCATTGCATGGACCTGACTTCACAAAATGAAGATCGTTCTCACTGATAGACAGTATAAGAGAATGAACCACTGACGTCAAGTCCTTTTCGTACTGAGCCACTGAGCGCTTGTAAAACTGCCATAGAATGCAACACCATCATTCAAAATTGGGCATAAATTATAGTTAAGACATGAACACATGAATGAAATTGCACAAGTTTAACAAAAGCCCAAAATTGCACATAAGTCGTAGGGTGCAAAAACAATCACTTCTGAATTCGAAAAGCTAAATTCAGCTTCCAACTCCTAAAGGTTGGAAATTTATCGAAAATTCAACAATTTGACTCAGAATTTAGAATTAGTCAAAATAACCAATTAACAAAAAATAATTAGTTACAACTTTAAAGTTCAAAAATTTATAAAACAAGTTAATGAAAATTAGTCGTACCGGAATTTTATCAGCGAGGTGAGCGAGATCGGAAAGAGCAGAATCGCTGTCGCTGCTGCACCAAGACTCAGCTCCGGCGCTACCATTTTCCCAGAAATCTGTGACCATTAAAGCGAGGTCGTGCTCGCTCTCATGGCTGAAATTCCCTCCGATCTGACCCCTCATCCACACGTCACCGCCCGCCATGCACACCCGGCAGTCCATTTCCCCAACCTCAAACGGCGCTGTTTCGGTCCTTAGCGATCACCACGACCCTTCCTCTTCCTAAAGCGTGGCAACCATCTTGTAATTCAATGTTGGAGCGCGACACACCCAATCATTTCTCCAAGCCCTAGCTCGCCGCAGCTCAAAATTAACCCAAAAACAAAAACAAAAGCTTCGTAATTTATAAAACAAAAATGAAAACTTAAAAAAAGGGGTTCGAATTCTGTGCTTTCGTTCTTGTTTTTGGTTTTGTTGACTTTCTTTGTTTTGGCAAATGGTGATTGGTTTTCAAGAAATGGGGTTTTTGGCGTTTGATTTTCGGAGGGAGAGAAAAGGGCGTCTATGGCTTTCTCTCTCTAAAACCCACAGGATGGAACGAAAGCAATGGGATAGGAGACTTACTTATAAAGCGGGGGGAGGGGAGGGGGAGAGGGTGGGTGTGTGTCAAAGGACGAAATTACCCTCGTTTGTTTGCTTAAGCACCAAGAAATTCTCTGGCTAAATCACCACCGAAATAATCGAAGCAGTGGATAAGGTGAAATTGTATTTGGACGGTAATGAGGTGTGTGTTCTTATGAACGATCGGTGCTTTCTGGATTCGTTTCTTAATTAACACACATAAATATCTGTCATTAACAATTTTCACTTCTTAATTGGCTTTCTTGTTGTTTGTTGCTCATATTTTCAAATTTTATACCAACCTTTTTTCTATTTTTTTTTCACCGGTTGGTATTTGTTGGGTAATAGGAATATCCTAACCTCCTCCATTTCACAATGTTAATTAAACTATTTTTTAAAAAATTAAGAATAATATAATTTTTCTTATGTTTAACACGTGAATAATATAAACAGAGAAAAGTAGAACAAAGCTGAATTTTAAATTTGATTATAACGTTAGATGGAAACTTCTTGACGGCCACGTAACAGGATGAGTGACATACATTTATGAATTTACAATTGCTAATAAAGCCGTTCCAACCAATCAGTCTCAATAATTGCATGCTAAAATTGCTAATAAATCGTGTAATCTAACAAAACCCCCTTTTAGTATGAGGACTGAATTGATATTGACATGGGCATAATGGGCATTCCGTCAATGGAAAATAACATTATATCCCTTGGGGACCAAGTCTCCAATAAAGTTGAAGAACACTCAGAAACTGAAAAATAAAAAATTGCCACGTTCGCCGCCTGGCTGGAAGATGACGTGAGCCGTGAGTTACACGGAGATATTTCCCATTTTCTGGATCAAATTTGTTGACAGATACTTTGCCTCAATTGAATTATTTTATAAATGGACTGGTGCTGCCTTGTATTTTTGCCACCTTTAAGGATAAGATTTCCAAAAGTATTCAGCTGTTATATCTATTTATTTCTTTTTTCAGGGAAATATGTTCATATTATAAAGGGAATCATTTTCATGACAACGATACATTTATCATTTTAAAACATACATCATTATCATAAAAGTCTTTGTAACACATAACATTCTAAATATGTGGATCAAAGTTTATGATCAAAATACATAATTTTAGCAAATAAATTAGGATATTATAAGATAAAATTCACGACAAAGATATATCGTCGTCTATAAGTTTGAAATTGAGATCTATTTTAATCAAGTAAAGATAAATATCGCTATATCTAATTAATTGATAAATAAATTTATTTACATCGCATAATTTTAGGCTCTATATGACAATGTAGATATATTTAATTAGATTATTATGCTACTCAAAATTACTATGGGGGTAATTTTTATTTTTATTTTCTATTTTAGAAAAGAGGGTCATAATCTATTTTCGAACAAAAACAAATAATATTTTGGCGCTAATGAGAGCAGAGGCGCCAATGCGGGGACCACACGCCGTGAAGCGGTATCTTTCGCTTTCTGGCACTTATTAAGTGTAGTTTGAAAAATGACAGAACCAAACTCGCGCTTTTCGTATTGGGTGGTCGGCCAGTTAGGACCAGCAACGTAGGAAGAATCCCGTGGCTTTCCTCCCTCCTCTCGCAAATCCAGGACCACTTTCACCCACATTCACGTGGCTGACGCGCCCGCCACTCTACGCTCTTTCCCTTTCTTTCCAAGGCTCTGTATTTTTGTTTCCTTTATCCAAGCAATATAGTAAGAAAATAAGAAATGAGACAACACACCATACGAATGGCTTTAGGTTGGAAGAGTGTGACGATAAGGTTGATCTGTCAAAGATTTTAGAGTATAGTATCACAATATAAATTGTGATATAAATGGTTTTGCAACACTACACAATGGTGTGACTATTTGATCGGAGAATTATTCTACACTATTACAATAGTGTGACTATCTAATCGGAGAATTATTCTATATCGATCAGAAAAATCTAACTTTGTTTTTCTTTTTATTGCCAAAATCTAATCAAACATTGTTAAAAATATATGGGTACAGTCAAAATCGAGCACTGGAATAAAATAAAGGTGAAGCACATGCCAAACTTTTATTTGTTCTAATTAATTAATTGAAGTCACCATCTTGGAATTCAACGACAAAACATAAAAATAATACCCCCAAAAAACATTCCACACGTTTTCTTCAGATTAATGAACGAAAAGAAAAACAAAATTTACAGCAAAAGTTGTGAAAGCTTTAACCGGGTTGTATAAAACATTGAACAGGTTCATGGTATCATGTTGGATCCACTCAGGTTGTATAAGACTATGCAGATAGTAGATTTTGACCAATGTAACCAAATCACTACGTAACATCCTTAAACATAAATAATAATAATAATATCAAGTTGTAATGTATCTAACCATTGACTTATTCCACAAATACTACGTTTATGATCTGTATATATCTAACCATTTTCGAATTTAAAAACACTCACAGCTTCAACTGTTGGCCATTGGCCAGGCTGGAGCCCATGGTAGCTAAGCATATGCAACGGCACACTGGAACTAAAAATACTTTTTAAATATCAATCTGAAATCTCTATCAAAGAGAAGCCAACGATTGAAAAATTTGGACCTCAAAAGGGGGAACCCAATCATGCACAATAAAATAAGAACTTGGGATTTTTATTAAAAACTATAGGGTTCTGCAACAACCAGCATATATCCAAATCATGCATTAATTTATGAAGACTATAAGTAAGTTGAAAACACAGCACAGCAGTCAGCCCCTTTATAATTTGAGCTCAACTATGTATCTACTCTGTTTCTGGGCGTACATTGGCCTAACAATGAACACAAAACTGGACAACAACTAAATGCATGTGGCAAACAGAGTATTATAATACTTCCATCTAGAGTGGGGGCAGAGGGAACATGAGGCATGTTATAGCCCAATCTAATTGGACCACTAAGGAATATCCAAATGCCCATCCACCCTTTTTTAAACAAGATCCTCTCTGATGATGATTCTGGAAAATACATATAGACATCTAGGAAATAATAATGTAACTAAAAAAAAAGGAGATGCTGCAGACACAATTATTTTTCAATTTTCTTTTTATTCTGACTGTTCAATTCTTGTTTATTTGAGTGTTTGCACAATCATTACAGCTCATCTGTTTCAGAACTTGGAGTAGCAATTTTTCAAAGTGCGCGAGAAAGCAAAGTATATGCTAAATGAAACTCATAACTGCATACAGAAGAAAAGCATCAATAATACAGTTTTCAGGCAGAGAGTATTTGTGGACTGCACAAAACTGAACCATGAAACCAGTTAATAGAATTCCAATTAAACTGTCCCCAGAACAGACCCAACCATCAAAGCATCAGAAAGATATTCTTGTATTGTATGACTATTGAACTAAACTACCCTATAACAGAGCTTTAACCGATAGTTTGGGTATAAAGTTAAACGTGTCTGAATACATGAGTACTACAAGAAAGTATAACATTAGACCAACAGAAGAAGTAACTCTGTATTAGAAAAATGTTTTATTAAATGTAACAAGATGACGTTACTCTGTGACGGTTCAACAGAAAAGATTAAATAACTACAAGGATTCTACTAAAAATGGTTTTCAAGGAAAGAAGAACTACTTTGCTTGTGAGCGTACTGAAATTAGTGTTTCTGGCTGAATTCAAAGGTACCTGTCGTCACCATGAAAGCTTTTACCGTCTCCGCAGCGGGCGCTGAAAAACAGAAAATATAGTTAATAAACCCTTATTAACTGTATGTCTTGTGGGGTATGTGTGTGTGTGTGATTCCTTCATTAGAGAAGACTGGCAATCTCTTTGTTTGATGACAAAGCATGCATATCTTACAAACATAAAACACCTAAGATATCCAGGGCGAAATAATCAAAAGGAAACTTCACAGTTGGAAAAATGTAACATTGTCACAATTGTTAATAGAACAAATTGTCACTACTGTAGTTCCACCTTCATTGACTTTATTAAGCAAAGAAAACCAAAGAGTATGGATCACAAAGGAACATATTCCTTGTGTGTGTTTGTGCCAAATATCTTTTATAGACAAGATTGAGTAAGTAACTAAGATTAGTAACCAATTCAGGACCATTAGATCTCTTTTCTGGGCCAATATTTTAGTTTTATTTATGGGAGTGCTTCACCTTCCACAATCCAACTAAGAAAAAATAAAATAAAAGAGTACTGGGGGCATAAGCACATACTCTTTGTATGTTATCAGTTGCTTGTGGCCGTCTGGCAGACATTGCCTCTGGATTCGGAACCAAATCTGGACTGCCATGCTTATAAAAGGACTGTAACGCTCTCCCAACAAATGGGCGAACAACATTCACTTCCATTGCAGATAGATTTTTGACCTGCAATTACAAATCAAATCAACTTAGGAACACCAATCAAAAAGGAAAAACAATGCATCAAAATACGGAAATGATAAATTCTACCGTTAAATCCCATCATGCTGAAAAGGTTAGTCAGACAGAAAATTTTGTAAATCCTAATACTTTAATTTTTTTTTCAAATCCCATCTTGAAAATTCTCAGTACTATCAATTAGCTCATCCAAATGCACCATAAAGAAAGACATATACCTTCACTGCAGAAGAGCGAGCATCCTCGAACGATTCTAAACTACTTTCAACCTTAAGAAACCTCGCATCCCTTATGTCATTAATAAGAGACCTCACCTATTAGAAAGAACTATAATGAGGCCATTGCAAAATACCAATGAATAGTTAGATATAGGTTGAAAGAATCTTCAACTCACCATATATAGGTCAGGAATGTCACCAGATGCACTATCATCAAGAAAAAAAGTTAGAGCTGATATCGACATACTTGTACAATAAAATATAGAATATGTACAATGTTCAGTACTTACTAATCAAAAAGAAGGCTTGAGATTTCAACATAATGGAAAGGCAGGACTTGAAATGCTGCCTGAGACTCCCGCTCCGCTTCCAAAATCTGAGTCAAGTTTTCTAGTGTCAAAACAAAATCATGAGTTCACTTAGACAAATGGAAATGAAAGTTTTTAAAAAAATAAACATATCAAATACACATTGAGAACTAAAATGTAAACAGAAGTTGCTTTTGGCAATTATCAAAACCCAAAATCAGTCTGATATGGGTTACAGAGTTTAGTGCTTTTCGATTCTCAGAAGTGCTTTGTTAACTAATGCATTACATAGAAAATTATAAAACACCTGTCATTTACACTCTCAACTTTTATAGTGGTTAGATGAAATCTAGGTAGTGATGTTGTTATCACCCCTGATCATCCCTAATTCTCATGACTTCCTTAATTGCATAGCATCTGAATGAAACACCACCAACAATTCCAACAAGTAATGTTGAGTGACTTTGGCAAGAGAGTCTCAATTATTCAGTAAAGCATTACTAATTTGATCATCTCTTGAAGTCATTTATTTTTTGTAGAAGGATAAACCTAAAAACTCTTAACATATAACTGCTGATACTAAGACTCACATAAAGAATTCCAACAAAACACACATTACTCTATGGCAGCCAAAAGAAGCAAAACATATTTTGAATATTCCCCAGGAAAAGAGTAGTGTTAATGGAACCCATAATCAATCCAAAATCAAAGCATAATAACTTTACTAGACCCAAACAATCTATTTCCTCGAAAGTCTAGAATAATGGGTCGCAAACATGGAACCATAAATCAAACTAATGCTAAAGAAGCAAGACTCACCGACGGACATCCACTCTGGGGGTCGAATTGTACATTTCCCTCTCTTCTTCAGAGCAATTGCCAGCCACATCGGTACTTGGGTAGCCATTTGTGGGTAGAATGGACCAAAATCTCCCTGTAAACCATGATAAAAGTTACCCATCTGCATAAATCCACTTAAGCTGCGATATAAGAACATGTGCAAAGTGAAGAACATACACAGAGCATATTGAGAGGCTCCATTCTCATATTGGGGACGATCTCCACCATTTCATCTTCAGCCATAAACTCAACCTGAGCTTTTGAAATTTCAAATTAATTTCACAGAAATGAGCGAAATAGAAAACAAAACAACCAAATTAAGCCAAAATTACAGATGAACACATAATCGGAGAGAGCTAAACCTCTTCTCCGGAAAATATAGAAACATTTGGATCAGATTGGCCGGCCATCCCTTGAATTATTCGGTCCGATGAATATTTTACACTAATATCGGCTCAATTTGAGTTGAATGAAGTCAAATAGGGTCGAAGATTGGGCCTATCTGCTGGAATTGCACAGACGCGTGTGTGATAAATGGCGGTGCATAATTGGTACTTGAGAGAAACCCTAATGTCTGGTGGCGGGAAAATCGATTTTTTCGTGCTTAATAGACTTTGAGTTTTGTTCGCTTTTGAAATTTTACAATCGACTGGCGTGTGCTGGCATGCCCCAAACCAAAATTTGGACTTTGGGTCGGGCCGAACTAATCTTGTCGGACTTCAATGTTTTGAGCTGAGTTAAATTAGTTAGGGGTGTGAAGGGCCCAAATCTTAAGGTTGGTGCGTTGAGATTAGGGGGTTGGAGAGGTGAATTAGGGTTTAAAAGGGGATTCACAATCTCATTTTGCTAAAGTGATTTGTCTAGATCTAGGGTTCATCTAGTAACGTTTTATGAATCTGTTCTTGAAAAACATTTTCATTGTAAATCTATGTTAGAATGGAGTTTTAATTTTAAAATCTCATTTTAAGTTATGTATAAATTCAACAACAACAACAAAAAGTTTCTTTTGAGATAGGTATTGCTTCAAAAAAAAAATTGGTAGTTTCATTACAACATGACTCAGTTCAACTTCAAGACTAAGACATGAACTTAGAATCATAGACCTTGACAACCATGATGCATACCTAAACTCTTCTACTCTATAGGATTGATATCAAGGTCTAAAATATCGATAATTTCAAAAATATTGGTGGTCTGAAACCACATAAATTTTGATGGAAATATCAAGAAGTTATCAATATCGATAAAAATTGAATTAAAAACATGGAAATTTTTATTGAAACTTTGGAGGCCATTTATTTATTCAATTATCTATTAGTTTATCACACATAATTGGAAGAAAATGCATTGCATGATGAGTTTAACTTATTTTAATTGATTATATAGTGAGCAAACATTGTGAGTGTAGAAAGTATGTAGTAATTAAAGAAAGAATATTAAACACACCATAATCATTTATTTATAATGATTTACTACAATATTTTACATTTTATACATTGCATAGTAAGATAAATCATACATGAGTGACTCAGTACCACATAGAGTTCCTATGAGTGACTTAGTATCACATAAAGTTCATATGAGGTTCAAATTTTTCACTGTCTTCATCATATCAATATTATCGCGATATTTTTGCCAAATGTTTTTGAAGCATGTGAGAAATTATCGATGTTGATATTTCCCAATATTATTGATAATTATATGATATGTGTATGGATATATTCCAAACTATCATAGACCCGAAAAAATGATAATATCAGCAATATTTCATCGATATTATTGATTAGTCCTTGCTTACGAGTCACAACTATACCCACAAATCTCTGTTAGAAATTGTTGTTATGGTTGGCAAAGAGATTGCAAAATCACCATCTTGCGTTTTTGTTCCAACAAGTAAAAAATAATCTTAGCCTCTCATATTCTTTCATAGTTAGTAAAATGAAACAGGAAAAATATGAATAAAAGATGTATGTGTTTTCTTCTGCAAAATTTTGACAAATTACAATTGAAAAGTTCGGCCATTATATAATATTTTTATTCAATAATATGTGAAAATTATGTATATAATTTGTGAAAATGATAAATTCTTTATGTGGATAATAACCGTGGACAAAATAAAAAATCAACAGGGGACAATAGAGACTCGAGTAATGGCCTAATAGTAATGAATAATGTTCTATACTACTCTTATTGATAAACAAAAATGGGAGAAAAAAACCAAACAAAATTAAGTTTTATCACGATGATAGTTCAACTAAACAAATAAATTTATAAATATTTGAAGAATAAAACTCATGTGACTTGAAGTGTGCACGGTCTAATCAGAATGGGCGGGCTTATTCTTGATCATATAGCCCCAGGGCATGCTTGTGGACCTTGGATAACATAATTGCGGATATTAAAAGCATAGATGCGTGGTTATATTATATAAATATAATATTTTAAAAGTACATATGAGAATTATTTGTATAATACGTGAATTTTATGTGTTTTATTGAAAATTTTGTACAAAATAAGTGTATTAAACATGAAAAATATGTACATACATGTACAATACGAGTATTGTATGCTTGTTTTGTTTTGTTTTTTTTAAACATAAATTTTACCGAGTCTTTAAGAAGTGTACAGAACATGCATGTATTATTGAAAACTACATACGTACATGTATAATAGAGTATTAATCCTGAAAGTTCTAAATTTTTTATACAGGTTAGAAAAATAAAAATTAAAATGGGATAATAGAGACTCGGGTAATGGTCTAATATGAATGGATAATGTCATAAACTACTCTTATCGATAAACAAAAATCGGAGAAAAAATTTGAAAGAAAAAAAGATCCCAATATATATAGTATGGCCGATCGGCTATACTATTTATTAAAAGCAAGTAAAACCAAAAAAGACCCAGTAATGCAGCGCGGTTATACTATTGTTTTGAAAAATTAAAAAAATCGGGTATAGCTGCGCGTCTATACTATTTATTAAAAAAAAAGGCTTATTATCACAAAACGTCCATAAGGTTTATGAAACTATCAGATTGCATCATTAATATTTTTTTGTGTCACTTATGGTCCTTAAGGTTAGTATGTGCAATCACAAATGGTCCCTGCCGTTAGGTTATGTCAAAAACTCTATTAGTTTGTTGATGTGGCATACATATATATCACAAAACATCCATGAGGTTTACACACTTATCACAAAATGGTATTTACAAATTTTATTTTATATTTTAATTTAAAATTCATAAAATTTTGGTTTTCTTTTTAAAATTATTTATAAATGAAAAAACCATTTATATAAGGATTTTAATCTTGAGGACCGTTTGTGAACCCTAAACCTTTAGTTTTTTTCATTTTTAAATTTTATGAATTTTAAATTATTTTTTAAAAACGTGATTAATTTGTTGATGTGGCATATATATGGAGCCCACATCTACAATAATATAGTGTCACATGTATTTAAAATTTAATATATTTTTTAAAATAATTATAATTCATAAAATTTTAAAAAGAAAAGAAAAATGTTATGAATTTTAAAATTAAGAAATTAAAAATTTTCGTAAGGACCATTTGTGATAGGTGTGTGAACCTCAAGGATGTTTTGTGATATACATACATGCCACGTCAGCAAACTAACAGAGTTTTTGACGGAACCTAATGGCAGGGACCATTTGTGATCATGCATACTAACCTTGAGGACCATGAATGACAAAAAAAAACATTAAGGATACAATTTGATAGTTTCGTAAACCTTAGGGACGTTTTGTAATAATCAGCAAAAAAAAAAAAACAGCAGCTGCACGGAAACTAGGTGCACACGTGGTAAAAAGAGTATAGCTGGGCGGCTATACTAAACCGCGTAGGCTGTTTTTTTTATATTTTTAAGTGGACCCCATGGTGCCACATGTCAAAATAATTGTAGCCGAGCAGCTATACTATTTTTATGAAAAAAAATCCTAGTATAGCCGTACGGTATTTATAAAAAAACATAGTAGCCGCACACGTTAAAAGAAGCATTGCTGAAACCGAGTATAGCCGCGCGACTATTTTTTTATATAAAAATAATAATAGTTTAACCGCACGGATATACTGTTTAAAGACATTATGTTTAAATGGTATTGTAACACCCCGACCCCAAATTTATCCCATGTTTTAATTTATTTAAGTGGAATTGAGAAATTACCCGTGGGATAGGGGTATTTTAGTCATTTTCTTACCAGGAAGGAATTTGGGAATTTCGGTTGTACCGTTGCGTAGAGCACGGTGAGATGAGTCCGTAGACACGTAGTGGGCTCGAATCGGAGTTGTAACGAGAGAGATATGATCAAATGAAGCTCAGTGGCATAATCGTAAATATTTGGAAAATGGATTTTTGGGTTAAAAGACGGAATTGCCCCCGTCTCTCTCACACACTCTCTCTCTCTCCCGCGCGTCTCTCTCTCTCCTCTGGTTCGCGACAGCCACCGTGGCCGACCACGTTTTGGCCGGCCGTTCGCTCGTCCGGCCACCAAAGTCGACGGGGCCGGTACCAAAATGACCGGGCCGCCGTCCTCTTCCTACCCCAGCCAGGTCTCGCCGTCAGCCGTCGAGATTTCGTCGGAAAATCGAAGAGAAAAGCTCGGTTTCGCCCGAAACTTCGCCGGCTTCGTTCTCCGTCGTCCGGCCGCCATTTTTGGCGATCAAGGTATGGAAATTCATCCCTTCTGCATGATCTAGCTGATGGTTGGGTAGGATTGCATCGATTTTGAGCGTAGGATGTCTGATCTTCGAATTGGGTTTCGGCCGGATTTCGGGATGAGATTCCGGCCACTTCCGGTCAGTTTTTGGGGTACGTCCAAGAACAAAAGTGACTCCAAATTAGGTGTATTACCTAGGGTGGGAGTCTGGGCTCACGATTTGGAAGTTTTCCGGCGATGGGTATCGCTTTGGACACCCACGCGCTGCCGGCGCGTGTGGCGGCGCGTGGGCACTGTAGCTGAGGGGCATTTTTGTCCCACTGTGATCCTCTCGATGTCACGAGTGCGCAGGTGTGCTCGGATCTCAATTTGGATATTGTTAGAGTCCCGAACGGATATCGCATATCGCGTGTTTTCCGGGTTCGCTGGGTTTGGACCGTTGGATGGTCCTTAGATTATAATATGTTGATCTAGGTATTACCAGGATCGTATAGGATTCGACGGATCGTGAAACGGAGTCCCGGATACTCCGGAAATGCAAACCCTGGGGTTAGGGTTTTAGTAACCGTCCGATCGTGCGATCGTGAGCGATCCGACCGTCCGATCTAGACCAAACTTGCAGGACGTGCATCCTAGAGCTTGTAGAACCTATAGGAACTTTCGGATCGGAAATTGGAGGTCGTGGGCCCCGCGGGCCCGTTTGACCAAGGTTGGGTAGTTTGACCCTGGTTTGTCTGTGGGACTTCCTTGGTAGTATTACATTCCTAGGAAGATTAAAATGACCGTGGTGACAGGTCCTGATGTCATGGGGATTATGGGGGATTATCGGATGCTAGTTGTTTGTTAAGGTGTTTGTATGATTAGAAATTATATGATATATTTAATTAATTGTGTGGATGTATAATGATTTATAAGGAGATTGAATGTTAGTTTGCAGTGCTATACGCACTACCCCACGTACCCCTCATATTGTGATTATGCTCAGGCCCAAGTGATAGTGTGAGGTCGCACGCGTCTTTGGATTAGCCGGCGTGTTGACAGACCCCGTACGTGGCCGGGTACGTCCCGACGTATGAGTGGGAGATATGATGGTATGATGGCTGGTGAGAATGTAGCCAGACCCAGTGTGAGGTCGCACGCGTCTTTGGGTTAGCCGGCGTGTTGACAGACCCCGTACGTGGCCGGGTGCGTCCCGACGTATGAGTGGGAGATATGATGGTATGAGGGCTGGTGAGAATGTAGCCAAGCCCAGTGTGAGGTCGCACGCGTCTTTGGGTTAGCCGGCGTGTTGACAGACCCCGTACGTGGCCGGGTGCGTCCCGACGTATGAGTGGGAGATATGATTGTGTGAGGGCTGGTGAGAATGTAGCCAGGCCCAGTGTGAGGTCGCACGCGTCTTTGGGTTAGCCGGCGTGTTGACAGACCCCGTACGTGGCCGGGTGCGTCCCGACGATGAGGGGAGATTGATGTATGATGGCGGTGTGAGAATGTAGCCAGGCCCAGTGTGAGGTCGCACGCGTCTTTGGGTTAGCCGGCGTGTTGACAGACCCCGTACGTGGCGGCGGCGTCCGACGTATGATGAGTGGGACAGGTGGGTGGTGGGGGTGGAAAAAAAAAAAGATGGATATGATGATGGGATGAATGGCTGGTGAGACTGTAGCCAGGCCCAGTGTGAGGCGCACGCGTCGTTTGGGTAGCCGGCGTGTTGACAGACCGTACGTGGCCGGGTGGCGTCCCGACGTATGAGTGGGAGATATGATTGTGTGAGGGCTGGTGAGAATGTAGCCAGGCCCAGTGTGAGGTCGCACGCGTCTTTGGGTTAGCCGGCGTGTTGACAGACCCCGTACGTGGCCGGGTGCGTCCCGACGTATGAGTGGGATATATGATTGTGTGAGGGCTGGTGAGAATGTAGCCAGGCCCAGTGTGAGGTCGCACGCGTCTTTGGGTTAGCCGGCGTGTTGACAGACCCCGTACGTGGCCGGGTGCGTCCCGACGTATGAGTGGGAGATATGATTGTGTGAGGGCTGGTGAGAATGTAGCCAGGCCCAGTGTGAGGTCGCACGCGTCTTTGGGTTAGCCGGCGTGTTGACAGACCCCGTACGTGGCCGGGTGCGTCCCGACGTATGAGTGGGAGATATGATTGTGTGAGGGCTGGTGAGAATGTAGCCAGGCCCAGTGTGAGGTCGCACGCGTCTTTGGGTTAGCCGGCGTGTTGACAGACCCCGTACGTGGCCGGGTGCGTCCCGACGTATGAGTGGGAGCTATGTGATTGTGTGAGGGCTGGTGGGAATGTAGCCAGGCCCAGTGTGAGGTCGCACGCGTCTTTGGGTTAGCCGGCGTGTAGACAGACCCCGTACGAGGCCGGGCGCGTCCCGTCGTATGAGGGGAGCTATGTGATTATGTTTGGTGTGTTGTGATGGTTTAATTGATATCAGGAGCCAGGATTGATAGGAAAGAGCTACGTGTGGCTTGATCCCTTAGTAGGGTACGTAGGCAGCCTGGGATAGCGCCTAGGTGCAGCCACGACCTAGACACCACTTAGGTGGTTTTATTGAGTATGATGCGGACCCCGCGGTTGGTCCCGAAACTTGGTTGAATTGAGGCTTGTCCGGTGGACTGAGTGAGTGAAGGTGGGTATGGATGGATTTTGAATTGGTTATATGCATGTGTGATGCAGTTTGTTAGAATCATTGAAGGCCGGAGGCCATTTATGTAAATTGCATGAAATTATATTGTGCGTGCTGCTGGTTGGGTTATAAAATGTGTTTTATGCAGGTGGAAATTTTGGGGAATGTTCAATTTACAGGGGAGACTCTGCCGAAATTTTGGCAGAAAGTCTCGTACCCTAAATCCTCTCTGGTAAAAGAGGACATAGTTTTAAGGAGTGAACCCGGCGTGGGTGTGATGCCGGGGTCTCCGCAGGGTTCGTCTCGGGTTCTGGGAAATTCGGGGCGGGTCCTGTCAGGTATGGCTATACTATTTAATACTATTTAAATACATTATCTTTAAACGTTACATTAGTTTATACTTCATATATATTAATTTGCTAGTTTCAACATATCCAAAACAGATATTAATCGGCCACTATATAATTTGCTAGTCTCAATCAAAACATAATCTCCTAGAATTGAATATGTTACCCTTTGGCTACTCTATATGTAACATAGGCTATTCTGTTAAGCAAACTCACAAAATGCGTAGTTTGCATTTTCTCTAAGAGCTTTGTGGATAAATAAGTGAAACTAACAGACATCAGTAATGACTCAACTAGAAAAACAACATTCAAGAAAAGGAAGAAGGGTTTGATGAAGAAGGTGAGTGAATTCCGAGTAGGTTTTTCCGTTAAGCAAACTTACAAAATCCCTAGTTTGCATTTTTCATTTCATTTTCGTTGAGAGCCATGTCTAGAAAGAAAGTGAAACTACCCTACATCAGTCATGACTCAACCACAACACACTCAATTCGGGGAAGATGGGAAGGAAATGAATATTAGCAAAGACCGGAAAAATTATGGTGTAAACAACAATATGGAACATCCAATATTGGTTTAATATACAAAATGAATAGTTGACATGCTACAAAAGCAAAATGTCAAAGATGCACATAGGATAGGAGGAGGATGACAACACACCAAACGCATGTACCAACCTGAAGCATGATATTCATCTTTAAACTAAGGAAAACAAAAAGAACCTTAAGCATGACTTGTTTGTGGATATGAAATTCAACAATCAAATAAAATACATGAATTTAAAACTCGACGCATGCGTTTACAAGTAAGCAGCACCCAAGCCAAGACTGGTCGGTGTAACTAAACACAAAGGCATGTCCTACAACAGGAAACCCCGCATGCGCATAGTGCAAAATTCAACGCATTACTTAAACAAATTATATAGAAAAAAAATATAAAAAAGTCATTTTTACAAAGAAGAAAATAAGTTAACACTATGTGGGACGATTAGAAAAAATACAAAGACTATACTTTCATTATAGTTACTTACAAATAAAACCGTTAGAAGGTCAATGAGATATAATCCAGTCGAAAAGGCATTAATTTAAAAATCATTGGTGTTATGTTTGAATCCCTATGAATCGATGATATCTTAACAGTGAAATGTGACAGGTTAGGGCAGTTAGTCAAAATAGTAAATCCATCTCCTCACACCCAAGTTTGACCGCCCTCGCCATATATTAGAGTAGTTTCGAACATTGCATTGTAAAAAAGGAACAAAAAAGAAGGTTTTTTGGCAATTTAATAAAGAGTTAACATTTTGCAAGCCCTTAGCCTAGGTTCGATGACCGGTGGCCTTATGTGGTTGGGCTGTGGCCCATATGAATTACTGTGTACTAAATCCATGGACTGAGCTTCCCTTGGCTCCACCTAATCCGCTAATAACCACCCACGTCTTGTGCCGCAGGAACAAGAATACCCGTGGGCCATCGCACTCACCTTTTTAAGACCACATCTCGATAGACGAAGCTGTCCCTCATCCATTAAGCATATTCCAGATTCTCTTGGGCCACAACCGTAATTTCGTAGGATATAGTGGGTCATAGCACATAGAATCCACTAATAATAATACCCACCCTTGGGCACCAAGAAAAAGCCGCAGTTAAAAACCAGACCCGGAAAGCGAAAATCACACACACATACACACTCTATCTTGCGATTTCGTGAATATCGATAAAAAAAATGGGCAGGAAGTTCTTCGTCGGCGGCAACTGGAAATGCGTGAGTATCCGATTCGCGATATCCTGTTTTCCTTTTTATCTGTTTGGTTGCTGAGAAAACCATAGAAACTAATGGAAAAATCAGATTTTGAGTATTTTTTTGCCGTCTTAATCAACCGATCTGTTTTATGTTTTTCGTTTTCTGTACCCTGCGCTACTTGTTGATCAACCAGATCCTTGTGTTTTGTTTTCTGATTTGATTTGTGCTTTACGTTTGATTGAACTAATTGCTGATTTACTTAAATCTGAATCTGCGTGTAGAATGGAACCTTCGATGAGGTGAAGAAGATTGTGAAGATACTCAATGAGGGACAAGTGCCATCACAAGATGTTGTGGGTGAGTCTGTTCTTCTTCTGATTTGGATTTGATTTACAAGTTTTTTGTTCTGCTTCAGTGCTCCTGTTTATCTCTATGAGACTCTGCCTTCAAATCAAATTTATGCCAATATTCCTGAACTTATGAGATTTACATATTTGTAATTCTTCTTTAATGGGTAGTGATCTATATGAGTTATCAAACTGTTAATTTGTTTTTTGGGTTGTTCTTATTTCAGAGGTTGTGGTGAGCCCACCATATGTGTTTCTTCCAGTGGTGAAGAGTTCGTTGAGGCCTGACTTTCATGTTGCGGCTCAAAACTGCTGGGTCAAGAAGGGTGGTGCCTTCACTGGTGAAGTTAGGTGTGTATGTTTATGATTTAGAAGTATGTTTCATTGCGTCAAGATGTCGGCATCTAGTTTCAAATTGATACATAGTAAAAAATATTATGTATATTACTGATATTTTGTAGAGTTAATGATTTAGGTACTGTGGTCAAACCCTTAATACTTTAGCAATATTACTGATAAAGGAAAGCTCAGAATATGAGGATTCTGATCTGATTAAAAAAAGAATGCAACTACAATGAAAGCATAAATCTGCGAAGATGGTTTGTTTTAAACTGGTTGTGACAGGATCACAGGATTTAATGAGCTAAATACATATAAGTGTATACATCGAATGTGCATTTTATGTCAATCTGGACTTTTCCCTTGTTAAGTTGATTTGTTGTGATATTCAGTGCTGAAATGCTGGTCAATCTGGAGGTTCCTTGGGTCATTCTTGGTCATTCTGAGAGAAGACTTATTTTAGGCGAATCCAATGAGGTACTCTCTCTCTCTCTTGATCAATTTATCATTAGCTATTGCTTAATAGTTTCTCATTATGCACACATTTTGTTTCAGTTTGTTGCCGATAAGGTTGCATATGCACTAGCTCAAGGTTTGAAGGTGATTGCTTGTGTTGGTGAGACTCTTGAGCAGCGAGAATCTGGCTCGACCGTGGAGGTTGTGGCTGCACAAACCAAGGCCATTGCAGGTGCGTTTCAAAATTCCAAGTTCTTGCTTACTGTTAGTGTGAAAGAATGTTTGTTGAGTGTTGTGTAACTGGATTAATTTCTTTATGTACTTATTTAAAAGATGTTTTTTTTGCTGCAGCAAAAGTGTCAGATTGGACCAATGTTGTATTGGCCTATGAGCCCGTGTGGGCCATTGGAACTGGCAAAGTTGCATCTCCAGCTCAGGCTCAGGAAGTAAGTCATGCCTTTCTGATTCTCTGGATATGGTTTTTTGGATTTATTTGCTTTAGTTTGAACTGAGAGCTCTTTATGTATTATATTTAATGTTCAGCAACATCAAGAATGTTATAATTGGTAAAGTGAAATGAGGATAATTGATGGAAAACAATGGAGAGCAATTCTAATTATTTTCTGTCTTCAAGATTTCCTAAAACTAAAGTAAAATGAGCTTGAGTGAGCAATTCTTTCTGAACTGTCAACTACCCACCTTTTGTGGTTGGGATTTCCCGAGTCATATACTCATTATGCATGCTAGTATGTATGTGCGTCTGTATGCATGTATGTTTATCTACATATTTCACACTGCCTGTGTTTCATACGAACTTTTCTCCACACAACAGGTGCATTTTGAATTGAGGAAATGGCTTCAAGCAAACGTAAGTCCTGAAGTTGCTGCAACAACCAGGATCATTTATGGAGGTATCTTTCTACATCTGTACACCTCATTTCGTAGTTTATCTGCTTGTGGATCCTATCCTTTTCTCAATCTATATTTCTAGTTTCCTTATTTTGTTGACAAATAATTTTGAAGTAAGATTAGTTCTTTTTTGCTTAATGATGATGAGCTTTTTCTCCCCTCCTGTTTGGGTTTTTTACTTTCATTTTTTTCTCAATCATCAACTTCGTTGTAATCAGAAATAGAGCGAGGCAAGGAATAAATGTCTATAGATACTAAATTACTAAGTTGTTACTTTCTGAAAAACTTTATAACTCCCACTAATGCAGCATTCTGACAATTTCCCTTGTCAATGTATACAAGAATGAGTTTGACAAAGGTAAAAAGCAAGACTTATTATACAAGAATGAGTGCTTATTAAAAATTACTTTGACTTTGGGGTGAAAGATCGGATAGGGCAAGGGTAGGCTGGCATATGCCAACCTGAGGTCAACAATCCATCGAAATCATTTCAAATTATAATTATACGTTTCTCTTGCCAAGAATCTTGTGCCAATTTTGAGTTATCTAATTTTTGAAAGGAGTCCACTCAGTTTGCATGGTATTCTATTGACTAAGTTCACGCTTTTCCTTTGTACATGAAGATAAGCAGGCCACTTATCTTTCTTCTCTGTTGGCTTTTACGTTACTTGGCTTAACTAAATACCTTTTATCAGGGTCTGTGAATGGTGCAAACAGCAAAGAGCTGGCAGGTCAGCCCGATGTTGACGGATTTTTGGTTGGTGGAGCTTCTCTAAAGGTAATGATCATAGTTTATGCCCATGCTGATAATACAGCCGCTGTAACTTTCTGGTCAAAGAAAGTTTTCTTATTATCCCTTATTTCTTACATGTGTGCCTCTGTGGCCTTTCTCTCCAGCCTGAGTTTATTGACATTATCAAGTCTGCGGAGGTGAAGAAATGTGCCTAAAGCGTTGAACCTGATGAGAGTAGTGTGACTTTAGATCTCTTGTCTGGGAGGTAGAGAATCTATTCCGCACAATTTTACAGATACTCTTTTGAGGAAATAATTATGCTTTTTTTCCCCTTCTTTTTGTATTCCGATCAGCACCTGGATTTGGGTTTTTCTGTATTAATAAATTTTCTTAAGTGCCAAAGCTTTCAAGTATTTTCGGTCAAGAGTTCCGAATTTTCAATATATGGGATCAAAGAAAAGCAAAATAAGGCTTGAAAAGAAAAAGAAAAAACACCATAATGGGCTTGAGAGAGCCTTTTGTTCTACCCAGAAAGTACCCATCTAATTAAGCTTTATAATTCCATGCTGTTGGGCCAAAAGGCCAAGGTTGCTTATTCATACATCTTCGTATTCAATAAAGTTTCTCGAACTTGTGACGACATGTATGAAAATTCACGTGTTATGACATGAATGAATTGATATAATGATTACATGGTAGTTGGACGACATAGGTGAATGGATTGATAACATTATATGTGACACGTGCTGATGTCAATGGATTGATAACATTATATGTGACAAGTGCTGATGTCACGACCTCTCGGAAAGATTACTTTTACTCCCAACAATGAAGGAGCACCACATCATCCGTCATGATTGCCACTGACTCTGGTGCTCCCCGACTATCTTTGTACAATATTTGGAGTTGACTCATGGGGCGCATATGATATGAGAGTGAAACATTTACCATTCTCTCTGTCTTTCGTCGTTGCAATGATCTTTCACAACAAGGATCCAAAAGAATGGCAAAGACTTGAATGTTGTAATTACAGTGAGTGATGAAAGTGAGAAAAAAAACAAAGGGGCATTTGCCATTGATGAAGGTCGGCGTGGCATTCATTGACTTATTGTGAGTACTTACTTTTCCTCTGTCCCTCTCAACCCTAAAGAAGATAGCTAATGGCAGGCGCCCCCCGTGAAGCCATTTCTCTTACGAGTTGCTCTCAATTAATATTCTCCATGTGAACCCTTTTTTTCTTTTGTGCCAATTGCCTTGAAGAATATTAATATTAGATTAGCATGAGGGTCAAGGATTACCAAACATAAGCGACTTGAACCAATCGTTATAATCACAATGATATCACAACATATATTTTAACATGCCTTTTGGACCCTTTGGAAAGCCAAACCTTCATGTTGTATTTGGGCTGGGAAAAGTCAAATAATGACTGGTTTTCTTGCGTTTTTTTCCTCCTTAAATTCGTTCATTTCCCACTAAGCCTGGAGAAAACTGCTTCAAACAATTGATTGTTTTCAAGGCTGCCAGCCATGGCTTTTGATGTCATCGGCCATTATTTTAGTCATGATTACAGTAAGATCTGTCCGTCTCTAATTGTAGAACATTGCTCTTTACTAGAAACAAAAAATGTTTTTTATTTGCAACAATTCATAGGTTATTCTTGGTTACGTACGTGGATGAAACCCTAAAAGTATTTTATGATTATAGAGATAAACAAAATAAATATTTGAATGCCTCTTTCTATTTTCCACCCACTTGTTCTGACTTTACGAAATGGGGACTTTTGTATTTGCTAATTTCATTAACTTGTAGACTTTGCCGCATATGTGGATTATTAGCAAACTCTCTTTTATCTCTAATTAAATTTTAAAATATTTAATTTTAAATTAAAACCATAAATAAATAAATAAATAAATAAATAAATAAATATATATATATATATATATATATAAATAGAGGGAGAAAGAAGGTGCTGATGTCGGGTAGCTAAGAGAGAGAAACAAGCTGATGTCACATAGCCAAAAGAGAAGGAGAGAGAATATATGAGACCAGCATGTGTGTAAGGTTTGCTTTTAATTTTTTTAATTTTGGACTGGGCTTATAACATATGTAGGTATTTTTTTATATAAAAAACAAAATTGGGTCGGACGGGCGCCCAACCTGTCCTGTGCACAGAACTGCCCCTGAGTCCAATGAAAAAGGGTCTTGACTAACAAACAAGTGGCCTCAAGTTCGAACTCTCATGACACTTTGATAGTGTATGTTAGAAACTCTTATCCTCTTGTAATTTAGACTATTGTTTGTATTTAATAAATAAAAAAAATGAAAAAAAGCCCAAAACGCACAGCAGCGGTGAGGCCATGCAAAGCTGTCAAACGCATGATGAGAGAGGCAGACAAAGAGCACGTAATCTGGATAAGCTTGAACAGTCTTTTACAATTTTTCCAAACCTCTCTCTGTTTCTCTCTCTCTATCTACAACTTGCAGATAAAGAAACTCAAATGGGGAGGCCAAGTCAACCCTTTCTCACTTTTGTCCTTCCCGAAGGTCTGATAAAAGAACTTTCCCAGAACCCAAACACCTCACATACCTCCAAATTTCCATGTTCAAAAGCAAATAGCATCCGCCTCTCTCTGATCAACCTTTCTTTGGTTGGTCCACTTTCTAGTATTCAATCGGTGGGTTATGCATGCGGGTGACAGCTAGGTGTTTGTAAAAAGGCCCGAGCTTTCACACACATTTGGGATTTCGTCTTTGATTCACGGGCCTTGCTTTGCTTTGCTTGCTCTGTTCAACTTGTTTACACTCAGGTTTCTATTTCTTCCTCCTCTTTGGCAGTTGGGTTTGGCAAGAGGAGTTTTTGGGACGTTTTGTGCTGATGGGTTCCTGCTTCAGTTCTAGAATCAAAGCTGACAGCCATCTTCATAATGGTAATTAAGTTTTAAGATTAATCAACTGTTTTCTGCTTTACTATGCTAATTAAAAGTTTGGGATTTTAATTAAATTTGGTTGGCTTTGATTAGTGAAACATGGAGAACTGGAATCTACAGCTGCTCTAGCTAAGCTTGCTGTTTTCTGTTTTGTTTCCATGAAGAACATCATTTGGTTGGGATTTTTGTTTTGATATCTGCCTCTGAACCATTTGCTACTGTTCTATTGAATCCTGCTTCTGGGTTTATATGATTGTTACTGCTCTGATTGCTCATAAATAAGAAAGCTAAAGAAGAATAAGAAGAAAAACTCAAATTTTACTTCTAAGTAATGGTCACACACACTCAAGTTCAACTTTGAATATTCTATTTGTGTTCTGTTTTACTTTCTTCAATTGGAAATGATTGCCTCCCATTTTCTTTAGCTAAGTGGAGGGATATCAAGAGGTTAAGACCTTTTCAAACCAGTACCTTTCTCATTTGAATTTTGTATTATTCTGTAAGATTCATCCAATGGAGCTTGTAGTTAGGATCAATTTTAAATCAGATTTGCATGGACAAGCTGGTTTTTATTACACCTGATTGTCATGTACTACACCACTTAGAAGGAGATTTGTATTCTTTTTTATATAAGACTAGTATCCTGACCTGTCTAGGATTCTTTTGAGCATTATTTACAAGTTATATGGTATTTGACATGTCTAGGATTACATTCAAATAGCAAGGTGTCGTCTGTCTCGGTGCCTTCAACTCCTCGCACGGAGGGTGAGATCTTGCAGTCCTCCAATTTGAAGAGCTTTGCCTTTAATGAACTGAAAACAGCCACCAGGAACTTCCGTCCTGATAGTATGGTGGGTGAAGGTGGTTTTGGTTGTGTCTTTAAGGGGTGGGTTGATGAGAATTCATTGACAGCTGCCAAGCCTGGTACTGGCATGGTTATTGCTGTGAAAAGGCTCAACCAAGAAGGTCTCCAGGGTCACAAGGAATGGCTGGTGAGTGTCACTTCTATCCTTCATTTGCTTACATGCACTTCTGCAATATCTTGTTGATTTGTTTTTGGTACCCTACTCCTAGCATTTGTTCATATTAGTTGAGCATGTTGCAACAAATATTTGAGAATCTTATATACATTGATGATCAGTTACTCAAAGCCCCCCGAGAGGAATAGATGAGAGTAGTTGGAAAAGCTAATATATTGAAACAATCTTAATGAATCTTGTTTCTTAACGTGTTACAAATAGATGATGTAACATGTAATATTTTCAGAGAATAATGTATTTACTTTGTGGCGCCTCTTGAACTCTAGACGGAAATTAACTACCTCGGGCAGCTACATCATGAAAATCTTGTGAGGTTGATTGGTTACTGCTTAGAGGATGACCACCGGATGTTGGTGTATGAATTTATGCCTCGCGGAAGCTTGGATAATCATCTATTTAGACGTGAGTTATAAACTTCCTTCACTGTTTAGCCATTTGATCTTTTAAACTAAGCAGTACCATTGATAAAGAGATCAAATATTTCAATATGAAGTATAATTAGGGACTTAAACTGTTGTTGGTGGAACAGGGGCTTCTTACTTTCAACCACTTTCGTGGAACCTTCGTATGAAGATTGCCCTTGGTGCTGCTAAGGGTCTAGCATTTCTTCACAGTGATGAGGCCAAAGTGATATATCGGGACTTTAAAACTGCTAATATCCTGCTTGATTCAGTAAGTGAAACATTTAACTGTTGAGTTTATGCTTCTAGAAGAGTTATGACAGACTTGCTCACACATCTTTTTTTTTTTGAAACATAACAGACCTACAATGCCAAACTTTCTGACTTTGGTCTGGCCAAGGATGGGCCAGCAGGTGATAGAAGCCATGTCTCAACCAGGATCATGGGGACATATGGGTATGCAGCTCCAGAGTACATGGCCACAGGTAACTTTAGTTTTACAGGATCTTATGTACAACTTTAGTTTCACCTGTGCTGCAGTAGCCATGATTTTTTTTTAAATGTTAAATATGATCAAGTATGCATGCTTCCTTCTGATCCTTGTTTCATTATTTTTGTTCTTTTAAGGTCATTTAACTGCCAAAAGTGACGTGTATAGTTTTGGGGTTGTTCTGCTCGAAATGTTGTCTGGCAGACGAGCTGTGGACAAAAACCGGCCATCTGGGGAACACAATTTAGTTGAATGGGCGAAGCCTTACCTTGCCAGCAAACGCAAAGTTCTCCATATCTTTGACGCTCGTATTGAAGGCCAGTACTCTGTGGGTGGAGCTCTCAGAGCAGTTAACCTTGCAATTCGATGCTTAGCAGTAGAAGCCAAGTTTAGGCCAAACATGAATGACGTTATAAAAGCATTGGAGCAGCTTCAGGAACCTAATGATACGGAGGGATCCGGTGTCTCTCAAAACGATCCTCGCCCGAATCCTCACGCCAATTCAAGCCATGTTCCCAAACAACGCAGGAATAGTATCAACGGGATCGACAATGCAACTCCTCCTCATCCCAAGGCATCTGTTCCCCGCAGCTATGCATGAGACATTCACCCTTCATTCATGCTTCACTATTATTTCCATTGGTTCAAAGGAAAATGAGGGGAAATTCAGGCCACGAGGGAGGGAGAAGAAATAGGAAGGGGAACGCGGATGGCATGTATATTAAAAATTGTATCTTGTAATGAGCATGTACTGCTACAGTTGGTTATATTGTATAGTTTTTTTGTTCAGTGAATGTCTTCATGGGTACTTTCCTCTGAAGCATATTTTCTTTATGTACCTGGAATTTGAGGCCGGAATTGTCGACATGTTTCTTAGCACTTTGTAACATATCCTGCTGCAGAACAAGACTCTTCTAGTACAGAATTGTTCAGTGTTGGAAAAATCGCTAGGCAGTAGGCGGGCGGCTTCTAGAGGGTAATTGGGGCCTAGACTCTTTTTTTAAAAACTTTATAATTATTTTGTACTATAAATGATAAATTTTTACCAAAAATCATGCAAAATAAAAGGATAAAACCTAGGTTTTCTTTAAAGTCAAGAAAAAAAATTATTATTAATAAAAAATAAAAACCCGCCTAGCGCCTAGGCGGGCGCCTAGCTCCCAGGCGGCCGATTTTTCGAACACTAACTTGTATAATGTTTATTTTGCACATAGGTCGGGCGTTGTAGCATTTCTGCACTGGGTTCTAGTATTCCATGTTGCCGGTAGTAAATTGTAAGTGCCCTTTTCATTTTGGCTTCAGAGTGAGTTTGAGGAGGTCATAGGTCGCGGGTCGCAGCCTGGTGGTGGTCGTCGCGGGTGGAGGCCTGGTGGTGGTGGTCTGTAGTGAGAGATAGAGAGGGAGGGAGGGAGAGAGAAAGGAGGTGACGGCTCAGAGGAGAGAGAGGCAGCGTGAGGTAGGCTACCCGACCAGACCTGCCTAGGCGGACGCCCAGCGCCTAGGCGGGCGCCTAGGCAGATTTTTCAAACACAAATGTTTCACTACATATAACGTAGCCTGTCATTAGACCTGACAGGAGCACACATACATGAAAAGGTAAGTCATGTAAATATGTACAACTTCTGGAGGGATCGCATAAGACATGAAGACTTCAGAGATTCAAAACAGAAATAAGAAAGAAAAAAACTTTTCCAGGATTTATGAATGACAATAAACTTGTCTGACTTGGTCGTGAATCAGCTTCAACAAACTGGTAAGGTATTATTTTAAGAAGAAAATCATGGTTATATTAGTTCTTCGTCAACCGTCAACGACCTACTTCTTTACCTCTGTCTCCTCCGCTTTCCAAGAGCTCTCTGTCTCTCCTTCTTGCTCCCTCGTTGATTTGTAAACTTCATTATCATCATTTGTGAGTTTTTCTTTTCATTCATCAGCCTTACTTTTTTTTTCACTCCGAGTACTGGTTTCTTTCTATATCATGTAAGTTTATACTCATCCATATTTTTCTTAGTTTTATATCATGATCATCTTTGAATTAAAATTCCCTGGAAAAAAAAGGAAAAGAAATCATGGGTTTGATTTGAATGAGTCTTTAGCTTCTGATACTGCTAGTAAGTACTGATTACTTCAGCTTCTGATGGGTTTGGTTGGTTTCAGTTGTTGACAATTTAAATAGTTTCTTAGCAACAGAAACTATGGGTGGTAGGCTTAGCTCGAACGTGAAGAGGCACACTGAAAAATGTCACTTTGGCTGAGATCTTGCAGTCCTCCAATTTGTAGTGCTTCGGCTTCAATGAACTCAAAACAGCCACCAGGAACTTCCGTCGTGATAATATGGTTGGTGAAGGTGGCTTTGGTTTGGTCTTCAAGGAGTGGATTGATGAGAATTCATTAACAGCTGCCAAGTCTGGTACTGGCATGGCTATTGCTGTGAAAAGGCTTAACAAAGAAGGTCTCCATGGTCAGAAGGAATGGATGGTGAGTTTCACTTCAATATGCAAAGTCTATGTTTCATGCTCAAATACACTTTCTCTATCTCTTTTTTATCAGCTTTTTGTATTGAACCTAGCATTTTTTCATCTTAGTTGACTATGGAACAATGTCAAGCAGTTGGGAAGCTAAAGTAAAGTTACTGATGTTCAATTGCTCAAAGTGCTCCTGAAGCAAAGAAGGCCAAAATATTGATATCAAAATAATCTTGTTGGATCTTGCTATGTTGTGTGTGCAGTATTTTCAGAGAAATATTTAATCGATTGACTTTGTGGAGCTTCTCTTGATCTGTAGGCAGAGGTTAACGCCATTGGAAAGCTGCATCACCCAAATCTTGTGAGGTTGATAGGTTACTGCTTACAGGATAGCTGCCGGTTTCTGGCGTATGAATTTATGCCTTGTGGCAGCTTGGATAATCATCTATTTAGAAGTGAGTTGTAAACTTCCTTTGCTCTGTAGCCATCTGAACTTTTAAATGAAGCAATACCATGAATCTGGAGCTCAAGTACTTCGATATGAAATATATTTTATATTCTTTTGGAACAGGGTATTTTCAGTCTCAACCGCTCCCATGGAGCCTTCGCATCAGATTGCCCTGGGTGCAGCAAAGGGTCTAGCATTTCTTCACAGTGTTGAGGCAAAAGTGATATATGGGAACTTCAAAACTCCTAAGATCCTTCTTGATTCAGTATGTGAAATCTTTAGCCGTTGAACTTTTATGGCTTCTAGAAGAGATCTGTTAGACTTGCTCACCTATCATTTTTTTCATTGTTAAATAACAGAACTACAATGCCAAACTCTCTGGTTATGGTTTGGCCAAGGAAGGGCTTCAGGGTTATAGTATGCTTCAGTTATCCGATTGTTCGTGTTCAAATAGCAGTAAATTCTACCATGAAGAAGGTATTTTTTATTTATCACCACTGGCCTTCATAGAAACATGCAATCTTATGACATGTAAAATCTCTGTAGCAACATTTTTTTCCTTGGATTATATCTCAGTGCCATTTCTATTAGCCATCAAGTTCCATCCACTTTTAATTAAAGCCCCCTCTCATCTCTGCCTCTATATCATCTTCATCAGTTCTGCAGTATCCATCATATGATCAAGCATATATTTATCCCTGCTCCCATCTGATCTTTTGTTCATTTTTTTGTCTTTTAAAGAAGACTTAAGACCCGAAGGTGATGTATACAGTTTTGGGGTTGTTCTGCTTGAAATCTTATCCGGCAGACGAGCTTTGGAAGCTAACAGGCCATCAGGAGAGCAGGATTTAGTTCAACATGCCCGATCTGCCAAAAAATGCAAACTTCACCAACTTTTTGATGCTCGGATTGAAGGCCAGTGCTCTTCTGATGAAGCTCGCAAAGCACTTAACCTTGCAATGAAATGCCTGTCAACGGACTCTTAAGTTTAGGCCAGATATGAATGAGGTGGTAAAATTATTGGAGCAGCTTCAGTCTTGTAGTGAGATGGAGGGCTTGGCTGCTAGAGCATCTCTCAAATCTTACCTTGCCAAATTTGTTATGCCAATTCAGGCGAGGTATGGTCCCAATCATCGCCGGAAAAATGTCAATCGGATCAGCTGTGCAACACCCACTTAGGCCATCCGTTTGCCGCAGTATTTGACATGTTTCATAGATACATATTCTGCTGCAGAACACAGAATTTCATTATTTGACTTTTGTAATTTTACATTTTCAAGTAATTATTTGCATCAATTTTTATAGTGTCAAGTATTATAAAATACTGGTTTAGGGTAATCATTACTTGAGTGAAGGCATCCCTTTCGTCCCCAAATTTGTTTATAAAATGATGCAACCACAGTCTACATGCAGAGTCTCTAAATATCGAGTAAAAATATTTACGTACTAAATTCGAAACTATTTTTGAATCAATTTTTTTCAATAAAACCGAGTATAGCCGAACGGCTATACTATTAAAATAAATAAATAAACAAAAACACCGAGTATAGCCCCACAGATGGACTATTTTTTTAAAAAAAGTGGCCTGCCTAGCGATTAGGTACCACGTGTCAAAATAGGTACAGCCGAGTGGCGATACTCTTTTATTTTGTGAAAATCGTAGTATCGCCGCATGGCTATACTGTTTAAGTACATTATATTTAAACGGTATATCCGTGCAGCCATACTATTTTATTTTTTATTTTTTAAAAGAACCCTCCTAGTTGCATTAGTTTATACTTTATATATATTAATTTGCTAATTTCAACATATCCAAAGTGGATATTAATCGGCCACTATATAATTTTTATTCAATAACATGTCAGAATTATTTCTATAATACGTGAATTTTGTGTGTTATTGAAAATTGGGGAAAAAATTTATATATAAAAAACAAAGGATCCAAATATATATACTAAAGGTATTTAAAACAAATAAAACCCAGTAAAGCAACTTGGCTATACGATTTTAAAAAAAAATTTAAAAAATCAAGTATAACCGCACGGCTATACTATTTATTAAAGAAAAAAAGAAGTAGCTGCACAGCTCCTATGCGCACAAGTAGTAAAAAAGTATAGCCAAGTGGCTTCTAGAGGGTAATGGGGGCCTATAATTTTTTTAAAAAAATTTATAATTATTTTGTATTATAAATTATAAATTTTTACCAAAAATCATGCCAGATAAAAGGATAAAACCTAGGTTTTCTTTAAATTCAGGAAAAAAAATTATTATTATAATAAATAAATAAATAAATAACACCCCCAGCGCCTAGGCGGGCGCCTAGCTCCTAGGCGGCCGATTTTTCGAATACCAACTTGTATAATGTTAATTTTGCACATGGCTCGGGGGTTGTAGCATCTCTGCACTGGATTATATTATTCCATGTTGCCGGTAGTAAATTGTAAGTGCCCTTTTCATTTTGGCTTCAGAGTGAGTTTAAGGAGGTCGCAGGTCGCGGGTCTCGGCCTGGTGGTGGTCGTCGAGGTTGGAGGCCTGGTGGTGGTGGTCTGTCGTGAGAGATAGAGAGGGAGTGAGGGAGAGAGAAAGGAGGTGACGGCTCAGAGGAGAGAGAGGCAGCGTGAGGTAGGTTACCCGACCAGACCTGCCTAGGCGGACGCCCAGCGCCTAGGCGGGCGCCTAGCTCCTAGGCGGCCGATTTTTCGAATACCAACTTGTATAATGTTAATCTTGCACATGGCTCGGGGTTTGTAGCATATCTGCACTGGTTTATAGTATTCCATGTTGCCGGTAGTAAATTGTAAGTGCCCTTTTCATTTTGGCTTCAGAGTGAGTTTGAGGAGGTCGCACGTCGCCGATCGCGGCCTGGTGGTCGTCGAGGGTGGAGGCCTGATGGTGGTGGTCTGTCGTGAGAGATAGAGAGGGAGGGAGGGAGAGAGAAAGGAGGTGACGGCTCAGAGGAGAGAGAGGCAGCGTGAGGCAGGTTACCCGACCAGACCTGCCTAGGCGGACGCCCAGCGCCTAGGCGGGCGCCTAGGCAGATTTTTCAAACACAATTGTTTCACTACATATAACGTAGCCTGTCAGACCCGACAAGAGCACACATACATGAAAAGGTAAGTCATGTAAATATAAACAACTTCGGGAGGGATCGCATAAGACATAATGACATCAGAGATTCAAAACAGAACAAAGAAAGAAAAAAACTTTTCCAGGATTTATGAATGACAATAAGCTTGTCTGACTTGGTCGTGAATCAGCTTTAACAACTGGTATCACTTTTCAACAGAGAGAAAAAAAAAGGGACAAACTGGTAAGTTATTATTTTAAGAAGAAAATCATGGTTATATTAGTTCTTCGTCAACCGTCAACGACCTACTTCTTTACCTCTGTCTCCTCCGCTTTCCAAGAGCTCTCTGTCTCTCCTTCTTGCTCCCTCGTTGATTTGTAAACTTCATCATCATCATTTGTGAGTTTTTCTTTTCATTCATCAGCCTTACTTTTTTTTTCACTCAGAGTACTGGTTTCTTTCTATATCATGTAAGTTTATACTCATCCATATTTACGGTTTTCTTAGTTTTATATCATGATCATCTTTGAATTAAAATTCCCGGGAAAAAAAGGAAAAGAAATCATGGGTTTGATTTGAATGAGTCTTTAGCTTCTGATACTGCTAGTAAGTACTGATTACTTCAGCTTCTGATGGGTTTGGTTGGTTTCAGTTGTTGACAATTTAAATAGTTTCTTAGCAACAGAAACTATGGGTGGTAGGCTTAGCTCGAACGTGAAGAGGCACAATGTGAAAAATGTCACTTTGGCTGTGGACACAGTGCCCGAGACGATTGAGAATGAGACAGTCAAGAGCAAGGTGCCATCTGTCTTGGTGCCATCAGCAGAGGGTGAGATAGTGCAGTCCTCCAATTTGAAGTGCTTCGGCTTCAATGAATTCAAAACAGCCACCAGGAACTTCCGTCGTGATAATATGGTTTAGTGAAGGTGGCTTGGTTTGGTCTTCAAGGAGTGGATTGATGAGAATTCATTAACAGCTGCCAAGTCTAGTACTGGCATGGCTATTGCTGTGAAAAGGCTTAACAAAGAAGGTCTCCATGGTCAAAGGAATGGCTGGTGAGTTTCACTTCTATATGCAAAGTCTATGTTTCATGCTCAAATACACTTTCTCTATCTCTTTTTTTATCAGCTTTTTGTATTGAACCTAGCATTTTTTCATCTTAGTTGACTATGGAACAATGTCAAGTAGTTGGGAAGCTAAAATAAAGTTACTGATGTTCAATTGCTCAAAGTGCACCTGAAGCAAAGAAGGCCAAAATATTGATATCAAAATAATCTTGTTGGATCTTGCTATGTTGTGTGTGCAGTATTTTCAGAAAAATATTTAATTGATTGACTTTGTGGAGCTTCTCTTGATCTGTAGGCAGAGGTTAACTCCATTGGAAAGCTGCATCACCCAAATCTTGTGAGGTTGATAGGTTACTGCTTACATGATAGCTGCCGGTTTCTGGCGTATGAATATGCCTCGTGGCAGCTTGGATAATCATCTATTTAGAAGTGAGTTATAAACTTCCTTTGCTCTGTAGCCATCTGAACTTTTAAATGAAGCAATACCATGAATCTGGAGCTCAAGTACTTCGATATGAAATATATTTTAGGGACTTTAATTCTTTTGGAACAGGGTATTTTCAGTCTCAACCGCTCCCCTGGAGTCTTCGCATCAGATTGCCCTGGGTGCAGCTATGGGTCTAGCAAAAAAAAGAAAGAAACACCGGTTATAGCCGCGCGGCTATACTAAAACCCGACCGATTACGTTGCACGTGGCACGAATAGGTATAGCCATTCAGCCATACGATTTTAAAAACAAAATAAATAAATGCACCGAGTATAGCCAATCGGCTGTACTATCGTTTTTTTTCAAAAGAGGACCCCTATCGATTAGGCGCCACGTGTCAGGATCGGTACAGTTGCCTGGCTATACGATTTAAATATTTAAAAAAAAACCCACTCTCAGTTGCATTAGTTTATACTTTTTTTTAAATATATATTAATTTGTTAATTTCAACATATACAAAATAGATATTAATCTCTCACTATATAATTTTTTTAGTATATATTATTTTTATTCAATAATATGTGAGGATTTTTGTATAATACATGAATTTTGTGTTTTATTGAAAATTGGGGAAAAATTTTTTTTTAAAAAAAGGATCTCAATATATATATATATATATATCGCGTATAGCCGCTCGGCTATACTATTTATTAAAGGCAATTACAAGAAAAAAAAGCCCAGTAAAGCCGATCGGCTATACTGTTTATTATTATAATAAAAAAAATAAAAAAAAAGTAGCCGCACAGCGCCTAGGTGCCCACTTGTAAAAACGGTATAGCCGCGCGGCGATACAATTTTTAAGAAACATTAATAAAACCGAATATAGTCGTTCGGCGGTACTATTTTTTTAAATTATCAAGGAAATAAGATTCGAACTTGGGATTTTTTTACCCGTAAGAGTTACGTTTTGTGCTCATGGACTACTACGGGCTTGAGCTGACTTGGGCCTGAAGGCCATTACAACCCAATATCTAATAAACCACAAAGCTAAGGTTTTAGCTACTATCTCGCTCTCTTCCTCTGCTTCATCTTCTTCATCTTCGCGAAGCCAAAACCCAGCAGCAGAATGATGACAGCCACATCATCGTCGCTAATTCAGCGCGTATGCTCCGTGCCTCTCGCACGTGCGGTCCGTACTCGCGCCATGGCAGTGGTGAGCATGAACCTGTCCACCACTCCAGCTCCTTCTCAAGCCTTGCGCGCCGACTCGCGCGTGCTCCTCGGCTTGTCCGAACCAGAGCTCCAGCAGCTCGCACTGGACTTAAAGCAGGTAAAGAAGCATAAAAATCTCTCTGTTTGTTTGCTTAAAATTGAAAGATGTTGAATTTATGTGCTGATTTCCATTTTTGAAAATGTATGTGTAGCAAAGCTACAGAGGGAAGCAGCTCCATCATCTTATTTATAAAAGAAAGATTAAAGATATTCAGGATTTCAGTCAAGGTAACTCTCTCACTCTCTTGATAAAGATTGGGTTTTTTTGTGGGACCATGCTTATTGGTTTTTACTGTGGTTTATGTTGCAGTGCCTCTGGCATTCAGGAATGAGCTTGAGGAAGCTGGATGGAAAGTTGGGAGGTCACCCATTTACCAGAGTGTCACTGCTGCTGATGGCACTGTTAAGGTAATTTCTTTTCTTGAAGATGGTTACTAGACAGTTCTGTGACTCCTTGATGGAATATTTTGTTATAAATTCATATGAAGTTTATTTATCTCTATTGAATATTTGTATATAAAAGGGGCAATTTAGGTGCTTCACTAAAAAATTATTAAGAATGTTGCACTTTTTTCATAAAATTTTGTGGCTTGGAATTCATAAAAGTGATGGTAATTTGAGATTAGCATAATGGTGGCTTAAGTTGTGCCACTAATTTTTGCAGTTATTGATAAAGTTGGAGGATAACAGATTGATTGAAACTGTTGGCATACCAGTTAAAGATGAGAAAGGTGTGATGCGCCTTACAGCATGTGTCTCCTCACAGGTGATTTTTGGAGATGAGTGACAAAATTTTCCCCTGCAGTTATACCCTAATGTTAGCTTTTGAGTGTGCTTAATTCTGTTCCCTCATAGAATTTTTATTGATTGGTTGAAACAGGTGGGATGCCCACTTCGTTGCTCTTTTTGTGCCACAGGAAAAGGAGGGTTTTCAAGGAACCTTAATATGCATGAAATTGTTGAGCAGGTATCGGCTGTCTTGTCCATGCTCTATTATGAGTAGGGTTTGTGTGTTCCCTTGTTTACCCAATTTGTGAACAGGCATGATTGAAATTTACTTAAAAGATACTTTCTTAAAATTATAGCTGATACCGTTGTTGTGTGCTAATACATAAACAAACTTGAGTTTTCAGCATTTACATTGTAATTGTATATACCTTTGTATTGACAGGTTTTGGCTATTGAGGAAATCTTCAACCATAGGGTGACCAATGTAGTGTTCATGGGAATGGGTGAACCAATGATGAACCTGAAGTCAGTACTTGCAGCACACCAGTGTTTAAATAAGGTTCATTTGCAGCTATATCTTGAGCATTTTAATAGCAACTTCGATTCCACGTGTTTTATATGCGTGAAAGAATTAAGCACTTGGCTTTGTTACATTAAACTCCTATTAATCCCCTTAGGCTAACCAACAATTTTCACTTTATGCTGTATCTGATTGCAAACCCTAAGCCATATAAAACTAGTTTTAAGGTGGAATGCTATCACTAATGTTTATGAAGTTGCAAAAAATGTTACATGATGATCTAAGTGAAACTTATTTATGTCGGACTTTGTTTTGTTAAGGATGTGCAAATTGGGCAAAGAATGATCACAATATCTACTGTGGGGGTTCCAAATACAATAAAAAAGCTGGCATCTCACAAGCTTCAGTCAACATTGGCTGTCAGGTAATAATTTTCCATGGGATTTACTTTTGGTATATCATCTAGTTTTCATCAACTATGAGTAGAGAATGATTTTCATTGATGTCTATAGTTTTCACTTTAGTTCATGCTGCAAACATAAGCTATGTCCCAGGTTATATTTTTCCCTGCTAAACTTTTCTCACTTCCTTGTTCATCAGTCTGCATGCTCCTAACCAGAAGCTCAGGGAAACAATTGTGCCAAGTGCAAAAGCATACCCTCTGAGTGCACTTATGAAGGATTGCAGGGACTATTTCGTTGAAACCAGCAGACGGGTTTCCTTTGAGTATGCACTTTTAGGTACTGAAATTAAATTTATAAATTGTTTCTTGTCTCTTGTCATCCATGTGTGTTTAATTTAACGATGTTGATGTCATTCTTCATATCTTTTTGAGCAGCTGGAGTCAATGATGCAGTAGAGCATGCAGTCGAACTTGCAGAGCTACTCCATGAGTGGGGGCGAGGCTATCATGTGAACTTGATACCTTTTAACCCAATAGAAGGCTCTGAGTATCGGCGTCCATCCAAGAAAGCTGTATGGAATTACTTGTGTTGTCTTCCCTTCTGTTTTTACACATAAATATATATTTACTTGATCTAATTTTTGCGTATTTATTTATTTATTTCTTGGTTTGTTCACCTTCTTTTTCTGTGTTTTCTGCAAAAAATTTCATTTGGCAGGTACAGGCATTTGCAGCTGCTCTGGAGTCCAATAGAGTAACTGTTAGCACACGTCAAACAAGGGGCTTGGATGCAGATGCAGCTTGTGGTCAGCTAAGAAACAAGTTCCAGAAGAGTCCTTTGCCCACTGACTCCGACAACTTACAACCTGAAGAAGATGTTGCAGTTGCATGTTGATTGATGTCATAATCTTTCTGGGCATGCTCCTCGGCAGAGTGTTCTGGACACCACGCATTTCCATGTTCCTGTCCCGTCTTCTGCAAGAAGCTTAATGAAAGTGGTGTTCAAAGTTGGAGCTGGTCTGCATCATCTACTTTTACTAGTGGTGGATCGGTGTATAGTGCTGCTGTGTTGGCTGTAGAAGAAACCTAGTTTCTTCCTGCACATTATACTATGGTCTTGTGGAGAACTGTGGCGCTTCCCTGATATCACAGCGATGCTGATTATCGATGGCTCACAGAGGCACAAGAAAATAGCACTTCTCCTCATCGGCTTACTAGAAAGAAAGATAGAAAAGGATCTTTATGCAATAGTGGATAGTTAGGCTACCTTCTGTGTATGGCATTTTATTAGTCACAGTGCATAGACTTGTAGACGGACACGGCTCACGACAGGCAACAAACTATGAATTTCCAGTTGCTTCAGCTGGGCATGACTTTTATTTGTTGAATGAACTCTTACCAAAGTCTACATTAATCAACATATGATCTGCTCCGACCAAAATTTGTTACTCAAAATCTAAAATCGAAGCTCTAAAAGACCAATTTATATCTTAAAAAAAGACCATTTTATATCCAAAAGAATACTAATGTTAATAAATGTTATATTGTGAAAAAAAAAAATAATAAAGATAGATAGAAAAAATCATAGTTTTTTTTTTTTTTTTTTTTTTTTTTAAAGGATAGCAGAAAACCATTTATTTAAGAAAAAGACAGGTCGGCCGATTAGTGTGTGACCAATTTGGTTGGTGTTAAGGCCCAGAAAGAACCAGTTAGAGAAACCCGGCCCAACCAAAATACGTGTGATGGGGTTTTGAACTGAAAGACTCGAAGAAGCTTTTAAAAATCAGGGTTCGATTCTTTGTCCGATTATACATTTTTCAGAATTTCAGATCCAAAGGAAAAATCCTAGAAGCTCTCGTCGTACGTTTCAGTGTCTTCATCAGAGTTACAGGTAATAATTTATGCCATCTTCTTTGCTTGACGCTCTCGAAGTCTCTTCTGATCTGATCAGAAAAAAAAAAAAAAAAAAAAAAAAAAAAAAAAAAAAAAAAAACAGACAAACACAAAGGCTAAAGGTTATTTTGTTGCTGATAATCACAGCAAAGCAAAAAACTTTGTTTCTTAATTTTTTTGTTGCATCTTCTTCTTGCGATGAGATCCCTAAACTTGAAACCAATTTGTGTTGTGATGGAATAGGCACTAGTATCACGTATGAGGAGGTACAGCCCACAGTACTATAGTCCTCCAAGGAGGAGCTATGGCGGAGGCGGTGGCGGAGGAGGACGAGGAAGAAGCCCCCCAAGGAGGCGCAAGGAGCAGAATAGTGGAAGCCTTTTGGTCCGGAACATTCCTCTTGATTGCAGGTCCTCCTTCATGTGAAAGAAAAGTTCCGATTTTGGTCTGTTTTGTTTGGTTTTGTTCACTGTTTCAGTTTTCTAAACTGGAGTTTTGTCTAATTTTGCAGACCTGAAGAGCTACGAGTTCCCTTTGAAAGATATGGGCTTGTTCGGGATGTCTACATTCCCAAGGACTACTACACTGGGTGAGCTTTACTTATGTCAATACGTATCGGTGTCAATCATGGTTTCTATAAAATCTTCAAACGTGGTTCATGCAACGGAAGCTCGATTGATAAGAATACTATATGAAATTTTCGTTGTTTCAGATTCGATACTTCCTACTTTGTCTGAAATGGCATCCTTGGTTAGAATTTGTTAGTAGGGGAATAAGATACATGTGTGTGGAGTTTGCTAAACTATTTTCTAAAGTACTTATTACCTTTTTCATAGTGAATTTTTGAACTGGTTTGTCAGGGGGTGTGTTGGTTTGAACTTTGAAGTTAAAACAAGCCCAAGCCTCACATTTGATGAAGGCCTACTGTTTATCATTGCGTAACATAGTGGTATTCCAAGCGTGTTAGGAGTAATGTTCAAATGAAGAATGTTCTTTTTATGAAGAGAAATTATATAATTACAACAATCAATAGAAGTTTGGTGAGGACAACGTTGATTTCAAGTGCTTCTTATAATCACAAGAATGTCAAGAATTTGGGGCAACGTTGATTTCAAGTGCTTCTTAAAGAATGAGAAGAATTTCCAAGTTACTTGCATATTTTGAAGTTGCCTTTCATACTTGACTATAAAGAAAAGGTCAGCCACTAAGCTTTGACTTTACCTGCTTTACGTAAATTCAGCATCCACTTAAGTGGACTACTCCAAAGCTGATGTTAGATGTGAAGTAATGAAATTGTGGTGGTAACTTACTATACTAATTTTGACAAGCCACTGTACTCATACAATCAGTCTTCACTCACTCTTTAGTCATTCCTACTTTGTATTGAGCTTTCCTGAACTACCATGTAGGGAACCTCGGGGATTTGCATTTGTGCAATTTGTGGATTCTTATGAAGCTGCAGAGGCTCAGTATCATATGAACGGGAAAATTTTTGCTGGGAGGGAGATATCTGTGGTTGTTGCTGCAGAGACAAGGAAAAGGCCAGAGGAGATGCGTCAAAGGACTAGGGTTAGGTAATGTCCTCTTCTCTCTCTCTCTCTCTCTCTCTCTCTCTCTCTCTCTCCCCCCTAACTTGATTTTATACGTTTGAAATGCCAATTGCCTGTTTCTTTATGCAGAGGGCCGTCAGAGCATGGAGGAAGGCGATCGTCTTATTATGGTACTGTTTCTGACAAAAGTTTACTTATTATCGTATGATGTTTCTGACAACGATGAGTGATGCCCTTAATGTTGTTGATCATGTTTGAATTCACTGTGGTCAACAGAATCAACGTCTGCGGACATATCATTGCCTTTCCATTTATTTCTGAAATGAATAATCTAATTAAGAAATATTTTGTGATATCATTGTATCAGTGAAGTGGTTCCTGTTAAACACTAATCTGTATTCTGTATCTGATGTGCCACAGGACGTTCTCGTTCTCGTTCACGTTCACCACATTATCCATCAAGTTCTAGAAGCCGATACCGCTCAAGGTAAGCTTTGAAGGTGACAGATTGCTGTAATTTTTTCTCTCAATGCTTACTAACACATGCATACATTGGCAAATAATTTTTGCAGGTCCTATTCACCTGCTCCAAGACGCCGTGGTGACTCTGTTTCCCCAAGTAGAAGGCGCAGAGACCACCCAAGATCACCACGTGATCTTCCACTAGAGCGAGATGCTGATCATGATCGCAGGCCATATTCTCCAGGTTATGACAATGGTGCTGGGCCAAATGAAAATGATGGATATGAAAAGTGAGTCCGTCCAAATTGTTTCTGTTTTCTAGCTCCGCTGCAGGTTTCTCTGTATACATTGGCTTTCAAACTGTGTTAATGAGAGTTTGCAGGATGAATGGTGGAAGTAGTGTAGTGTGGCAAATTGAGGATACGGATTTCATTTTGTATTGTTTAATGTATCAGTTTGTCATGCTGATCTTTTATATTGACTGTGTTCTCGTGTCAAATATGTAGGAAACCTATGCACGAGGATAAGGATGGAAGAGGTCATTGGAGGTCTCCTAGTCCTGGTAGAGCATCCAGATCACCATCTGGATCTAGGTCCAGATCTGCTGAGTTATCACCTAGGCGCAGCAGATAAGGAAAAGAGCAATGTGAATGCATAAGCATACATTTAATCATGTCTGGCAGATTTTGAATTTTCCGGGTTGTAACATTAGTTTGTGAGCCTGAGTTCCGGGCTTGTGTGTGCAAACATTTGGAAGTTTGGAACAATTAAAACCTTGTTTTTTGCGTTTCTTTGGATCATGAAAGTTGTGTATGGTTTCATTTGAGACTTTCTAAATTGAAACAAAACAAATGATAATAATTTCTACCAAACACGCCCCTCAATTAGTGTAAATATATACATCTATCCTACCATGTAAAACTGAGCTGATTATGGGTTTTCAATGATGAGAAAATGAAAATGGCAATGTGGGTTTTCCTAAGAATGCTGAAGAAAGTTTGCGAGCTTGAGATAACCATAATTCAGTACATTGATTCTCAAGGGTTTTTGAAGTTGGTCTTCATCTCAGTCAAGGGTTTTTGAAGTTGGTCTTCGTCTTCATTAAATGCAGGCAGCAGGCCATAAGCAGCACTTATTTAATTGAAATTTCAAGTCAAATTGTGCACCCTATCACCCACCATCTTGCTATTTTTGCATTTATTTATATATTTTGTTTTCTCCTCACGAAACGCGTGCCCACTTGACAATAGCTAACTTGGGAAGACTCTGCCGTGAGAGGAGAACCTGACTTGCCCGTTTTCTGTTCATTTGTGAATTTGACCGCCCGTCATGGAATCTTCTCCCCTTTGTAGTGTTGTATATAAATTATAATCCTTCGTTACAACCCATGTCGAGTTCATAAAGCGATAAGCTTTTATAGAATCGTATTGAAATTGAATTTATCAGAGAGAAGGAGAGAGCAAGATACCAGAGAGAGATGGCAGTTGGGATACTGGAGGTGAAGCTTGTGAGTGCAAAGGGGCTTGGAGACACGGATTTATTGAGTATACTTTCTCTTCCTTTCCTTCTTTCCTTTATGTCTATGCTGTTCTATAGTTCAATAGAATGTAGTTTGAACTTGAAAATAGTTGAAGGCATTCATTAACCTTGATGGGTTTCTGCAAAAGTTTTTATTTTTGTGCTCCATTCTCTAAATTTAATCAACTATTTTCCTTTCCACCATTTATTAGACTTTCAAACAAATAGATCCAGTAAAGTTGGTGAGCTTCATTAATGCTGCACTTGTATTTTCTCTGCTTTTGGTTTGAATGTATACTTGTTCTCTTATTCATCTTTATCCCATTTTATATAAGAATTTTTGAAGCAATCCACCATTTCTACAAGGTTTGTTGGATTGCTTCAAAAAAAATTCAAGGAAAATATTCATCTACTATTAAAAAGGTGGTTTTGTTGCTCTCCCATGGAGATTTTACATCAATTGCTGCATGATATATTACTTCTTATTTTTATTTATTTAAAGTCTGGCATTTTAACACAGAGTTTGATTTAGCAGGTCGTATGGATCCTTATGTTCTGATTCAATACAAAGGCCAAGAGCGCAAGAGCAGCGTGGCTAGAGGTAAAGTTCCAACATCCACTTGACTTGCACCCAATACTTCAACTTAAAATGATGGTTGACACAAATCTGTTTTTCAGTTTTGATGTCAAAGCACGCAATTCAATTAAATAAGAACAATTCATTGGCATGTTCATGTTGTAAGAAATATATTTTATTCAAATGTCCAATCGTTCCTTGAGTTGCGTAATGTATGGAACTATAGTAGACTTTGAGAATTAAATTTTTATTAGATTGAGGTTCACCTATACTCTAGAATTTTTTCTATCAAGTACTTAGTTAATACGATCCTCAAGGCTTTCTCCTCCCTTTTAAACTTGTAATAAAAATGGTGTGGCCAAGTTGCCTTCTAGAAGCTGAACTACTTAATAAACTCATGACCAAGTAAACCCTTTTATATAAATAGACGCATCAGTAGTTATATAAAAATCAGACGCATTGTGATTTTTAATTATTCTGGCAAATTTCGTGTAGTGTTGTTGCGTTTATTGCGTTGCGTGAACTACAAAGACTACATGTTCTAATTCTGAAATGGTAATGCAGGGCAAGGCAGCAGTCCGGTGTGGAACGAGAGATTTACATTCAGGGCAGAGTATCCAGGGTCAGGGGAGCAGTACAAGGTCACCCTCAAAATCATGGATAAAGACACCTTCACTGCTGATGACTATATAGGAGAAGCATCGTACGTAATAATATTCTTATATGATATTCTTTTTACTCAATAGTTGTCGCCCGTGAGATTTGAACTCAAAGCATTCTCCTATGTTCTACTTAATTAATCATGACTGATATATGGTAGATCAAATTACCCTTAATCTGCAGGATATATGTTAAGGATTTATTGGCACTGGGTGTGGAGAATGGAACTGCTCAACTTCATCCTCTTAAATATAGTGTTGTTCGTGCAGATCGTACTTATCGTGGGGAGATTCAAGTTGGTCTAACTTTCACTCCAAGGGTATTTTTTTTTTGGGCTCTCATTCTGCTTTAAAATATGAAACTGATCACAAGCTTCTAGTTTATACAAATTTTTAACAATTCTTTTCTTCTTGGATTGATATGTGTTTGTGTGGTTGTTTGTTGCATTTTATAGGCAGAACAGCAACATGAGGGACAAGAGTTTGGAGGATGGAAGCACAGTGATGCATATCCATAGGGAAACAAATTCCACTGCCGCAGCTTGCAAAGTACAAACTAGTTAAAGCTCCTTGAAGAGGATTGGGCCCGTGTTGCTAGGTTTAGGCTTATTTGTAGTTAGTTTTCTGTGTGTTGGGCCTTGATCCTCCTTGTAATCTCTCCAGTTCTTAATTTGTAGCTTTGAACTTTTGAAATTCCATGGCAAAGAAAGAAAGGAAAAAAAAAACGCAATTTAGTGATGAATTATGTGATCAATGATTCAGTTGGTAGATAAATGAAATGATGTTTGATATCAAATTTTCCATACATTTCAAATTTTCATAAGACATCAGTTATTTTGCCAAAAAAAGCTTCTATTCCTCTGCATAATTACCTAAATTATGGAGTTTAATATCATCTGCCGTCTTAGCTCAGCTGGTAGAGCGCATGGCTTTTAACCATGTGGTCGTGGGTTCGATTCCCACAGACGGCGCTTCGCGATGTCTGTATTTAGTTATATTTTATTTTTTGGGTCTTCTTTTGAACCTTGGGTTTTCTTGTTTTCTTTTCTTGTTTTTTGTACTTCACGTCTCCACCACCAACAGTTTGCAATTAAATGGAAATGCAACTTGTGCAAAAGAGAGATCATGGGATGGCCATGCAATACACTAATAACAATAATGATAATACCAACTGTACAATCACAGATACACAAAAGATTCTTCCACCGCCACCTTCTCTCATGCATTTCAATTTTCCAAAATTTTCATCTGCTCTCTGTTTCCCTCCCTCTCTATCTTCCGATATCTCAACCGTACCTACCCTTAATGGCACCCACGACAACACCTCACCCTCTCCTTGTTTTAGGCACTTCATGCCTCAATAACTTCCACCACTGCTGCTGCCCTCAGATTCTTGTTTCCAAACTGTTGGCTTGTGATCTTTCTTTGTGTAAATAATGAAATTCGAAGACTTTCTGATGCAAAAAAGCGAAGAGAAACAGAAAAGATTTGATCTTGAGGAAGAGGTGACAACAAAGTTTTTCCCTTTTTTTGTTTCCCAGCTTGGGGTTCTAAATGTTTACATATTAGAAAACTTGTCACAGAAAGTTGACACAAATCAAATGCTTACGCGTTCTGCAGGTTATGAAATTACAATCAGAGTTAGATGGACAACAAACACTAAACAGGTTTCTGCATTGTGCTCTTCATGGACCTCTGCTGTCACATCCATGCCTTTTATCATTGCTTCCACCTCAGGTATATAAGAGAGAGAGAGAGAGAGAGAGAGAGGAGAGAGAGAGAGAGAGAGAGAGAGCGCGCGCATTTGTGTGTGTGTCAGAGAGCGCATTTGTGTTTGTGTGTGGTGTAATTAAGTGGAATTGAATTTTGAGAAGAGGCTCTACAATATGCAGGTTCAGGTGCTATTTTCAGAGCTGGCAATGGTGGAAGAAGAGATTGGTAGGCTGGAAAGAAAAGTTGAGGAGCTGAAATTGAGGTTGTACCAAGAGAGGGAACAGACCAAAGAATGGGAAGTGCAGAGGAGGCAAGGGCAACAGAATCACTCGTTGTGCAGAGTGGGAAATCAGTCAGTGCTCAATGAAGAGAGATGTAGTAGATCCCAGAACTATGAGGCATTGAGAAAAGAAAAAAGGATGAAGAATAGAAGAGCCTCTGTGGATTCTGCATCAGATTTCCAAAGGTGGAATTTCCCAAAGTCAGATGGTAAACTGCTTCTTTATCTCATATGAAGAAGAATGTGGATATTGAAACACTTTTTTTTTCCTTGTTTTGATTATTTGTTGTGTTTTTTGACAGGAGAAATTTCTGAAATGTCAAGGAAGCTGAGTGGGAGAAGCAGAAACCAGGGCAATGTGGATATTAATGAAACTGGCCTTAGTCTGAAACCAAATGAACTCTCAGAAGAAGTGCTCAAGTGCCTTATAGGCATATTTCTTGACCTAAAACAGACATCATTGGACAAAGAGGGATCATCTGTGGCCCCAAAGCTAACTCTCTCCTGCATGAACTCGAAAGGGTTCATGGCAAAAACCTCATTCAACTGCAAATCATCCACAGTATTCTTCAACTACAACACATCCAATGTTGACCCTTACTGCATATTACCGGATATAGATGGCGCTGTCAGGGACGTTGGCCCATACAAGAACTTCATCCAAATCACAAGAAGCTCATTAGACGTCAGCCGCTTATCAGACTGTTTGACTGGAATTGGAAAATTGAGGTTGCTTACAGGTCTTGTTAGCAATGACGGCTATTTACAAATTCATTCTCAAAAGCGTTGTTTTGTTAACTTCTTTATGTTGTCTTCAGGAAGTTGATGCATCAATTGTGTGATGTGGACTTGTCTTTCTTGACCTACAAGCAGAAGCTAGCGTTCTGGATCAACATCTACAATGCCTGCATCATGCATGTACTGTAAGACATCTTAAGCAAGATTTAAGAAAAGACAGAAATCTGAAGAATGATATTGATTGGGAGCTTTCTATTCTTAATTATCGAATTTCAGGCCTTTCTGGAACATGGGCTGCCTTCCACGCAGGAGAAGCTACTGGCACTTATGAACAAGGTACATCAATGTCTGTAAGAGCCATGACTTCCCAATTCTGATACTAATCGATAACCATTTTCAAATAGGCTGCATTGAACGTGGGAGGCATAGTGTTAAATGCTCTGGCGATCGAGCATTTCATACTCCGCCATCCATCTGAATCGAAACATGTACGTGAAATGAAAATCAAAAGTTGAGCTCCTCCTATTTTTGTTCTCTTTTATGTAATTTTTTTGCCTCAACATTTGCATCTCAATTTGTAGGGGCCTGCGTATGAGAAAGAAATGCTACTAAGACATGCCTACGGTCTCGGATACCCGGAACCTAATGTGACATTTGCTCTTTGTCGAGGCAGTTGGTCCTCACCAGCAGTAAGTGCATGCAGCTCTCCTAGTTTATTTCACAACATTTTTCTCCACCTTATTTTTAAATTTTGATGAAGTTAAGACTTTGATATGCATGCAGTTAAGGGTCTACACCCCAGACGACATAGTTAACGAGTTGGAGAGAGCAAAAGTGGAGTACTTAGAAGCTTCAGTTGGAGTTACAAGCAAGAAGAAAATTCTGGTGCCAAAGCTTCTACAATGGCACTTGCTTGATTTCGCTGACGGTATGGAATCGTTGCTGGAATGGATTTACAGCCAATTGCCACGCTCTGCTTCACTGAAAAGATTGATAATGCAGTGCTTGAATGGGGAAACGAAGTCTCCGATAAACAAAATGGTAGAAGTCCAACCTCATGAATCAGAGTTCCGGTACTTGCTGCCATTGTGAGCCAAATGACAAGAATCACAGAAGGTTTTGATCTAGATGGATTTGAATTATACGTGCATTTAAATTACATGAACTTTTGTGTACCATTGATTTAAATTACATGAACTTTTGTGTCCCATTGATTTAAATTACAGAGCTTTTGCCAACTGTACAAACAATGCATTAACATCTGGAGAGTCAGAACAGTTGCAATACATAAACAAATGCAGTAATACATTTAGAATAACGAGCGGATTTCCTATCTTCTTTCAAAATTTAATTATTCGTTTCCAAGCATCTTAGAAACTACTCGTGGGCATGAAAGGGCTCAACCAATACATTCACGATCCTGTTCAGCAGATTCAGCCCGAATACAGTTTCTTCGCAGTTTACTTTAACTGACATTTCCAACGGTTCAGAACATCTACCTTCAATGGTGATGGTGATCAAGCAGGGGGCAGAGGTGCTCAAAAGCTTGCTGCTGAATCGCAAGCACAAACCTGTTGCATCATCGAGGTTCGCTGCGACTGGCAAATCAACAGATACAAGATGAAGATTTGCGCTGCTAAGCATTTTCAATGCAAGATTTCGGCAGATTACAAGAAATTTGTCTTCTACCAATGAATTGTCACCCTTGTCCTTGTCCAACTCCTTTACATGATCAGTGAAGGTGCACCTGTTGTACAAAACACAAACATTCAATTCAGTGTACACAACAAAGACCAAAAGAGAAGGGGTGTTCTGGAAACCATGATCAATAGTTAGAATTTGTCTTATACGACCTCGGAAAAATGAGTCGCTTTACCTTCTTACACATTCAAACATTCCTCGCAGATGAGACTCCTTTTTTGTGAAGGCTTCAACATCCATAGGAAGAGCTTTTACAAAGTATCCAATGTCAGGCCGCAACTTAACAGGATGCCTCTTGCCATTACAATATAAGGTCAGTTTTAGAGGCAAGAGGTGGTGATGGAAGCGAACCTGGATGGTTCTTGTCATTGCCTGACCAGGTTCTAGAGAAGCGATCTCTTCTACGGAAACTAGATTTGGCTCATTATTTTCAGGTATTGTTGAGCTGCGATATCAAGATAATCGTAACAAAAGATTAGGCCCTTACTACAGGAAAGATGTCACAGGTAGAAATAAACTTCTTAATACTTCATGGATGATCCAAGAACAAATCAAATGCACTTTAATTAGATCAAAGGATCATGCTCAATCATGTGTAGTTGGAACCCCCACATCAACCTCAACCTTTGACGGGAAAAAAAAATTTAAGACTACTGCCTTGGACCCAATATCAACAATAACTTAAAATATGCAGACAGAAAACAACATTAAATTTAAAATGATGGTAGACCTTAGAACTACAGGAGACTCAATGGCCAAGTGACTTGATACTCCATCAAGTAGGCAACTCAGAGAAATATGTAATAACTCCAGAAAACTGTTTTTGATCTCACATTTTAACAAATCCACCATAAAAACAACTTAATTTGGTCTACTAACCTCAACCTCAATGTATAACATGGAGGTTTCAACGAAGAAATAATTACTTTATTTTAAATTACCTTTCACGTGAACCCGAAGCTTGGTCTACAGAATCCATGCCTTTGCCGGATTCCTCATCAACCAAAGTTATATCAGACACGATTTCCTTTGAACAGTTCTTGAAGGAAACTTCTATACATAGAAACAGAGGAGAGATGCTTGAAATCTCAGATGAAAATGAATAGTCAACCTTTAAGCCGTTTCCATTCACGGGATCCAAGAGTGCATAGCTTTTAGGTTTAACTTGACCTCCAATATCACCAATTGAGATTCTTGCTGAAGATCTACGGACTTGACTTTGTTCTGAAGTATTTGTGCTTGAAAAACCAGGCTGCTCATCTAACCATGATTCTAAAGCTCTATTTGACAACAATTCCCCAAAATCAGAAGCAGACTGAGAAGCTATATTTTTCTTTTCATTAGCATTTCCAACATCTGAAAATTGAATCAAGGGATGAGAATTTTCATCACCTTCACTTGCAGAACCAGCCTCTTCACTGCCACCACTGCCACTTGAATCCATATCAGAGTGTTGTGAACTATAACTAGAAGCATTTTCCTCATCCAAAAATTCAGACTCTGAGTCCTCGTTGTCTGTAACATATGGATCACCATTAGTGACTCCCTCTCCAAATTCATTCATTCTGAGGCCATCACAGTGCAAACTACAGGGCTTTGGGAGAGGTTCATACCCTGGAGCAGCATGAAGTACTATCTGTGATAAAGAGCCAGGAAGGTAAAACCGGTGATCAATGGGCTCATGTGACATTGGTTTTTTTTGTCCTCCAAATAAGTATTCTGCAAGGACACATGAATTATCTTTATGCTGGGCCAGACAATTGGTTTCCTCCTCCAGACCTCGAGAATCTAAATAAGTTGACAGAATTTTCCTTAGGAAATGAGCTCGATCACGAATGTCATAGTTTAAGTCGCATTTGGCCAATTCCAGCACATAGATTAAAACTTTTTTTATAGTCAACAGATCATTCCCTTTTGCATGCAATAAAACCTACAGAACAGATAACCTCAACATTTAGAAACAAAGAGAGTGACATTAACACATTTACTTAGAGAAGAGCACCATGGAGTAGTACCTTAACAGTAGTATTACAAATTTGAAGCTTTGTTTCCAACTCTTCTGAAGTAAAGCACCATGCAAGATACTTGAGAACTGTAGCTAACATCTTTGGGATGAGATCACCTAAAGAGTTATACTCCCCAACCATCCAAACAATTATAGCCCGGGCAGCAGGCACCTTTATTGAATTTAAACTACGAACCAACTGAATAATAACCTTGAAAAGGTATAAAAGTTAATTACTAGATGCCCCAAAAAAAACACCAGAGAGAAGAAAGACAAGGTAACAAAGTTTCACAAAATATAATAGTAAATCGCCTATGCACCCTTGACTTAGACATCTAATGACAGCAGCTCAGCATAAAATTAAGAATACCTTTTCATGACCAGGTGGATCTTGCTGAATGATTGATTTAATAGACATTATTGCTTGAATCAAAATATCTGCTTCACCATCCACAGACCCGAACTCACCAGTCATAAGTTCTGCAAGAATGGACAATAACTCAAAAAACAAGAAGCAAAACTTTTTGAAGATCTATACAACAAGTAGAAAATAGTCACAGACGCTGTCTGGTCAAAGCCAATAAAAATTCTAAGCATGTGTTTGCCATTTCTGGAAGTCGCTGCGCACATATGCCAATACCAGCAACAGTATCAGCAGCAAATCTCCTGTCTGGATCTCTAATATAATCCTAGCAACAAAATAAAACAATAAGCAAACGATACATGCCTTTGATTTTTTAAAATATTATCACACATAAATGTTTGCAATTATCAGACAAAGTTGATGATATAGAGCTAAGTCTAAACAACATGCATAAATTAAAATACACCGTTCACACTCATGTACGTATAATTATGAACAATCTAATTTAAAAAGGAAAGAAATTACCTTAAATTCTTTGAGTATAAATGAAATTGATGAATCTGTAGCAATGTAAGCCAGTATATCCAGTTTCAAAGCTTTAATTTGATATGAATCTGAAGAGCATATAAAGAAGTCTTCAAAGTACAGAGAGAAGAGTGAAGGAATTGCTTTTGCAAACACTTGAATGTTACATAAAACCTGCACTGGTCAATCAACAAAACAATCCTCACCATCTTACCGACTGTAAACTAAGTACAACAGAATACATGAAGATTGACACAAAAGAAATTTCCTACAGGACAACAGGCCAAAATAATATTTACAAAATATCAGAATATATGAATCCACGGTCACATGCATGCATCAACAAAATTTAAAAATAGTACTTTAATGCTACACAAAAACCAATTAAATTGTAAGGAAATGTTAACTACCACATATTTTGAGGCATTAGATGATCTTAGAACGAACAAGAGCGGCTTAACAATTCTTTTCAAATCCTCTATGGGTGCCATAATCCAGTGTACACCAGCAGCTGCTAGTACAACTGCACTATTATTACTCCATAACAATGGGGATGTACACTGCAGCAGGATCTTCACATCATCATTGGACTTTCCAGATGTAAAACGGGCATAATTGCATTCAGATGCATCTTTATTCATGAGACTTAATCGTGATAAATATTCAGCTGGTCCTTCAATATAACAACGGGATACAATATTTGCTAATTCAGACTGATAACGACCACTCATGTCACCGTTGTCTTCCACTAACGCAGAGTTGGTGTCTGAACAATCCTTTTCAGATTGAGAATTCTCTGTACTGTGCAAAGAAAACATAATGGATTCCTTTACAAGCCCATGCCTCGCAATTATATAGCGCAGAAGGATCCCGATTAAAATTATTTTACCCCATTCTTCTACATCAGGAAGAATCTCGCATAACCTTTTATAATTTCTTCCAATCAGAGCCAAATTATTGGGACAAACGGAAGAGAAAGCAGCGGCAGCAGCACCAACGACACAAGGGGAGTGGTCATTCAACAATATTCCGATAATCTGCATACAACAGAACATTACAGAAATATTAACGACACTGGCACACTGCATGTGAATGAATCAACATTGCAACAATTATTGAATCAAACCTCTTCAATCCCCGCGGTATTTTCGTCAAGGCGCAAATCGTGCAGCTTAGGAAGAGCATTGGCCGCGCATTTTCTAACATACACAGAGGGATCTCTAGCACATTTTCCAGCGGCAACAAGAACTAAGGGTGCAATAACATGTAGACGGATCCCCGCCATAGTTCTCAGGGCCCATGCCCTCACTAACGGATTTGGATCTCCCAAATCCTTCTGGAAGTAATTAATCGATAGCAATGCTTCATTCGGACGCCTGAAACATAAGTTTCGCAAACACCACAAAGATGAGCTCAAAATTTAGCGATCAAGAACAAAACAAAAATTCAGATTGTGCAGCTTATCTAAGCTTACTTTTGAGCATAATGCAGCAGGTATAAGTAAACCAGCTTTTTCACTTCCAATGACTGCGATGCTACGTTCTTAACAACCTGCAATTCCAATTCAACCAAACGAAACTCGTATTAAAAACGAAGGCTCCGATGAGAGCTCCGATTCTTTTTCTTTTGTCATTTTTAATCGGAAACTCAGAGTGTCGAAATTAGAGAGGACCTGAGGGAAGAAATTGGAGACTTCGAAGCCCTGGGCGATGAGAGCGAGCAGGCGCTTGAGAGCTTCGCATTTTTCAGAGTCGAACTTGCTGTCAAGAAGAGGAGCGATGCTGACGTCATCGGGATCGTCGTAGAGGTGGGCGTCCGTACCGATCCGGAACACCAATGTCGACGCCTTGCTTAGAGTATCTGCTGTTGCGCCGAATTGAGGGAACATAATTTTTCCACGCTTCAGCTCCTGAAAGCTAAGCTCTCTCTCTCTGGGTCTGAGAGCGTGAGAGAAATAGAGAGGGAAGATGACTGTCTGAGAGTTGTGATCGCGGAGGGTCACACCCTGACAGTAGAACCAGAGATGAGGAGCTGTTTGGACGCGCCCAACAAGTGAAAATTAGTTCGGATTGGAACTCCTACTGCTGGTTAAGGTGCGTTTGGCAACGTACGTTTAGAGTAGCCACGATTACTTATGAATAAATACCTTACTACTTAACTTAGTAATAAAAATTGTTTATGGTGTACAAGGAGCATGTAGTTTCAGAGGTTATGAATATTTCTCATGCACCTAAGTTCCTAACTTCGATTTCCCCTTCTTTTAATATTGCTTATATGCAAAATTTAAAATAGAGATTCACTATTATACCTAATATAGGGGTTCAAATTATAAAAATACTTCATATAAAATGGACTTTAGAAACACACCCAAAACTCATTTACAACATAACAAATAGGCCTTTAACTTTTTATAAATTACAAAACTGCCATCAATTTCTTAAAACAAGCACAATCCCAAAATCTCATAAAAATACCCAAAATACTCAATAGGGCATCAAAATAATTTAATCAATATTAAATTCAATAAGGCTAGTTGTCATTTTTTGGATTTTTTTTATTTATAGAAATTCAATGGTGTATGGTTTATCTATAATATTAGTGTTAAGAATGAGTATATCACTAAATATCTCAAATTGGGCTATAGATAATCGAATATCGATTTACGGATTTGAGATTATGTCAAAATAATTCATTGGATTTAGTCATTTATTCTTAACATTGCATTGAATATAATCATTTAAATTTCATGATAGATGGTGTATTCTTTACGGTTATTACACTTTAGGATAAAACTTAGCTATCTTCCAATTCAGATAGATGCTAAAACAAGTAGCATCTACCATGGTTACCAAAATATATCAAACCTAATCGAATTCAAAGAAACAAGTAAGAAAACTTTACTTTATATTTTATTTTTCTAAATATGGCTAGTTTTTCTTTCTATCCATAAAATGTCACGAATTTAATGAGTTAGTCTAATGGTATATATGTTTTTGTTTTTACATCAAAATGTGAGATATAAAGAACTCATCTATCATGAACCAATGACGTATTAGCTTTTCATCACCACTAATCACTAACTTAAAATAATTTTTTAACTTGAACTCTTTTGAGTTATTTACTCTTAGTCCCAACCTAATCTTGTAAACTCACTTCAAAATGGGCTTATTCGATTTCCATTTCAATTTTCAATTTTCAATTTTTAGTTTTTATTTTTAAGAAATTGAAAACATAAAACTTGTTTTGTAACCAATTTAGTTTTCAAAAATATTAAAAACTGATAAATGTTTAAAAGTTGTTTGGTAACTCATTTCAATTTTCAATTTTATGTGGAACTTAGAAATGGAATATTTAGGTTCAAAATGTGAATTTGTGATCATAGAATGAATGCATGTTGCAAAGCATTCGTAGTATTTTTCGAAGTTTGGGTGATTTTTTGGTAAATTTTGGATATGGAGGTCTTAAAGTTTGGAATGGGTTCATGGTTGAACGCGATAGTTGAGCAGCTAGGTCAAAGTTGGGAGGTCCTAAACACCGAATTTTGATAACTTTAGTGCATTGCATGTGTGGTGTTGTACAATTGGTGAATGAAGAAAGAGCGCATAAAAAATGAAAATAAAAAATAAAAAAAATGAAAACACTTTCAAGTTGTTTAAAAAAAATAATAAAGGTGAATTTGAAGACTATATTTCAATTTTTTTTTAAAAGAAAACAAATTTATTACCATACATGTTTTGGCTGCAAGTTTCTAGTGCTGCCAAGGTTTTGTTGATGTGCACAAGTCTTATTTTAAGATCACACGTTTGTTGTTGTCTCTCATGTTTGAGTTTTTGATAGTATTGATTGTTTCAGTACTATATTTGTACACTCTTATATAGTGCCTATTAAAGTATCTCTTCCAACAACAACAAAAAATTTAAAAAATGTGAAAATGAAATGGTAAAAACAATATTACCATTCAAATTTCGAGTTACAACAAATCAAATTTAACCAACTTATCAAAATTAAACATCAAATATTATCTATTTGGGCATCACACTAATCATTATGATAACTCCGGATTTGGATAGAAATCAACTTTGACTTTGAACATGCACAATGCATTCATCTCTCTACTAAATGGTGCAGGATTCCGTTTATACATCCCACATCATTCTCATTTGTTGAGTTTAGTGTATCTTTCTCAATCCCTTGTGATTAGTGTACTCATTTAAGCTATATGAATTTAGTTTAAATGACTTGTTTGGTGATGAGATAACCCTAATCACCATAATCATTTCTCAAAAAACATAAAGTAAAAAAGTACCATAATAATTATTTATGAATTTTATGCATTCGTCATGAAAATACAACCTAACTTCCAAGTTAAATATGTCAGAAAAATTAACAGATGAAATGACATTTTTCCGATGAATTTGATCGGAATTTGCAAAAAATAACAATATTTTATGCCAATTCATCATCACTCCCAATTCGGTCAAAGAGTCGCGAGGTCTCCAATTCCCGTATTTGTCGTCTTCTCCATTTTCTCAGTGTTACGCACAGTGAGTTGATTACGAAATTCGCTTTATTTATGGTGAGAAGCACTGAGAGCAGCAGCAATTAGTCCAGCCCCAATTTTCTTCGTCAAAACCCCGTCTTCCCCAGAACCCAGAGAAGAGAGCTCACACAGAGTGGTCTCTCAGTCTCATCCGTGCCCTCAGGAGCTCCAATTTTCGCAGGTCATCTCACACTGTCTCTCTCTTCTTTCTCCGTTTTAGCTGATCTTTCTCTGGTTTTGCTTGTTTCCACTACATGCATGTGCTCGTTTTGCTGATATGTATAATTTACTACATGCATTGTCAATTTTGGGCTTCTGCCTTGTTTGGCTTCAAGTTTTGCAGCTTCAGCCTCCGTTCTGTTGTTGTGTTTTGGCTGATCTGCTTGTTTTAGAAAAAAATTGTATGGTTGGTTTTAGGATTAACATTTAGGCCACTGATTACATACAGTTTCTTTTTATTTCTGGTGATTACGAGTTTGGTATTTTGACTATATTTTTTTAATTTGTGTAAATTCTGTACAAGTCTACAATGTGATTTCATATGCAAGATATTATCTTATTAAGTCAAAGATATATTTGTATTTTGCAATATCTCAGCTAGCTTACATGAGCAGTTACTAGGACTTTTATTTTTATTTTTTTTGGAAATTGTGTTATGATTGATTTCACAGAAAAGAGAGGAATGATATGGACTGAAACTGATTTCTATATATGGCGCTTTCACTACTGCGGAAGCCCTAGGATTGTGAAATCCAAAGCCTTGATTTGTGTGATTTCACCATATATTCTGAATGTTGCTGTAGCTTTATTTATGTAAGATACAAGTTTTTTTATTTGTGTAAACTCTGTACAACTCTACGATGTGATTTCATATGCAAGATATTCTCTAAAGGCTAAGATGGATTTTTATTTTGCAAATCTCAACTTAGGCCTTACATGGGCTAGTTTTTTTTTTTTTTTTTTTTTTTTTTTTTTTTTTTTTATTGGAGTTATGATGGTTTTCACTGCTGCAGAAGTGCTAAAATGGTGAAACCGAAAGCTTTTATTTCTGTGATTTCACTATATATGCTGAATGTTGCTGTATGTCCACTTTCTTTTTCTGTCTGATCTTTTGACTTGTAACTTGCAAGTTGCTTTTAATTTTACCTCACTTGATTCTGTCTTTCAGGAAAAAAAAACCCATATGATTTTCTTTTTCATAAACTCTTTTGGGAGATTTATTTTGTGCTTTTTTGGTGCCAATATTTTCAAATGTGAAAGAAATTAGATTAACGGTATTAATTCTGTACTAGACCCTCACTTATGTCTACCTTTTTTTTCCATAACCTGTGGTTGCACGTGTTCTACTTCCCGGATGAACTTTTTAAAATCATTGAGATAAAAAAATTTAATATGCCACTTATATTCCATAATTTCAATTTTCAGATTAGTGCTCTTTAACTAAAGTTCACAAATGGGGAGTGTGGAGGATCCTATCTTTGAAGATGATACAGATATAAGTGACACAGAAATGGATGAGGATGAAGAAGAATATTATGAAGATCTGAAGAATGGAAAACACAATGTGAGAAGCTCAGATGGGACATATATTTGCCCCTTCTGCCCAAAGAAGAAAAAGAGGGATTTTGTTCTGAAGGACCTGCTCCAACATGCCTCTGGGGTGGGAAAGAGTAATTCAGAAAAGAGAAGCGCAGAAGAAAAGGCCAAACACTCAGCTTTAGCGAAATATTTGGAAAAAGATCTAGCAACCGAAGGTGGTCCATCTAAACCTGTGGGTGAGGAAGACCCCCCAGTTGATTGTGACCATGATGAAAAGTTAGTGTGGCCTTGGACAGGGGTAGTGGTTAATATTCCAACCAGACGGGCAGATGATGGGCGATATGTAGGAGAAAGTGGATCCAAACTGAGAGATGATTTAATAAGGAGAGGGTTCAATCCCACAAGGGTTCACCCTCTATGGAATTTTCGGGGTCACTCAGGAAGTGCTGTTGTGGAATTTAGGAAAGATTGGCCTGGCTATGTTAATGCCATGTCATTTGAGAGGGCTTATGAGGCAGATCGACATGGGAAAAAGGACTGGGGTGCTAATGGTGACCAAAAATCTGGTCTTTATGCTTGGGTTGCTCGTGCAGAGGACTATAAAGCTACCAATATTGTTGGAGAACACCTCCGTAAGATTGGAGACCTAAAAACAATTTCTGAAATTATGGAGGAAGAAGCCAGGAAGCAGGATAAGCTTGTATTTAATCTTAACAATATCATTCAGGGCAAGAACAAAGACATGGAAGAGATGGAGCTAAAATGTAGTGAAACTACAAACTCCATTGAGAGCGTAATCACAGAGAAAGAAAAGCTCGTTCAAGGTTATAATGAAGGTATGTTTTTATAAGAATGGAAGAGTGCTACTTATTGAATAAAATAAGGAAGGTACGTTATCTTTAGCTTAGTTTTCTGACTGGATTCTGACTAGTTTACATTTGTTTGTTAATTATGTTTCTAGCTATTCCATTCTGAAGCTGTACGGTAACTGTATAGTTTGGATAAAGTGGCTTGGGTTTCACCATTTTGGGTTTATTTTATTTTGTTATATTTTTATGGTCGTATGATGCTGTAATGACATTAATTCATGCCTTTTTTCTGTGTGTCTTGATAGATATAAAAAAGATACAAATGAGTGCGCGGGATCACTTTCAGAGGATTTTTAGCGACCACGAAAAACTTAAGTTACAATTGGAAACTCAGAAGATAGGGCTAGAGACACGCATAGAAGAAATGGAGAAGCGTGCGGTGGCTAACGAAAGTGAAAGTAGGAAGCTCGCCGATGAAATTGAAAAGGTTTGCTAATTTGTGCTTCATTGTTGCACATTATCTCTTAAATTTCATGATTAATATTCCTGTGACTGTATGTGAAATTATGAATATTGAAGAGGTGAAAACTAGTTTGTTGAAAGTTACTGAAAATGAGCATGATGTTCAAGTGTCATCAAGTCATATCATGAATATTTGGGGATGAGAGTTGATGCATTTATGTTTAGTTTACATATATTGTGTGATGCTTTTGTCTGGGTTACTTTTCTATAGCAGCATTAGTTGCAATGTTTTGTTGTCATTGTTGGTGAAGGATGGTCCCGAGCACTTGATAACACTGATTTTGTTCTTGTAGAATTCGGCAAAAAATAGTTCTCTGCAATTGGCTTCTATGGAGCAACTGAAGGCTAATGAAAATTTATTGAAACTGGCTGAAGATCAGAAGGTTTGTTGGTTAATTGCGTGAAAATGATCTGAACATTATTTATAGATTTCAGAGATCTTTGATGTATGTGACTACCAATTTCATCCAGAGGCAAAAGGAGGAGCTCCACAGTAAAATAATTAAACTGGAAAAGCAACTGGATACAAAGCAAACTCTTGAATTGGAAATTGAGCAACTTAGAGGGAACTTAAATGTTGTAAGGCGCATGGGGGATGATGGGGATGTTGAAGTGCTGGAAAAGGTGGACACAATGCTCAAAGACTTGAGAGAAAAGGAAGAAACATTTGAAGACTTAGAAGCTTTAAATCAAACTCTAATTGTAAAGGAGCGTAAGAGCAATGATGAGCTGCAGGAAGCTCGTAAGGAATTGGTTAATGTAAGTTTTTTTGTTTAATTTTTAATTTAAATGGTGCCTCAGTTACTTCCTTTTATAGTAAAGCAGACATCTGACATTCAGATGGTCTTACAAGAATTTGGAATGTAGTTTTTGACTTTTGATTATGTAATTTGGGGCTGTGATTCTTAGGTCAATGTTACAGATTTTTGTTTGTGCCGAACCTTTTCTATAAGGATTTGAATGGAATGGTTTGCAGAAATGCACTTTTTTGTGTGTGTGCATATTTAGTAGTTAGCACAACATGGTGTAGTAGACGATGGTTAACCATGATCCTTAACACTATTTATAGTAGGCGTGTGGAGGCAGATATGCTTTTCTTTGTAGTGGGATCATCAATTTTTGTACTGTTATATGGACTGAGAACTGTGGCCCTTTGTGTATCAGATATATTTAAAGTTCTGTTCTTAATTTCTTACACTTGCAACAAGCTCCTCTATCTTGTCATAAAGTACTAATATTCTTGCTCTACAGGGCTTGAAGGAAATATCAAATCGTGCTCATATTGGTGTTAAGAGAATGGGTGAGCTTGACAGTAAACCCTTCCAAGAAGCAATGAAGAGAAAGTATAATGAGGAAGAAGCAGAAGAGAAAGCCACAGAGCTGTGCTCATTGTGGGAAGAATACCTGAAGGACCCCGACTGGCATCCTTTCAGAGTTACTACAGTCGATGGGCAACATAAGGTGTACTCTCTATTAATATCAATATCTCATTGGATTTGATTCTTTAGCTGTTTCCCTTAGCACTAGAAAATAGCTGACAAAAAAGATAATATCAAATATGCTGGCTGAAGATAATTCTTAGATTGAACTAGTTTGGCTATCCCTGTGAGTTATGTGCTGTATCATTGCTTATCTAATTAGTTGGGCCAAAATTGTAATTGTGGTGGTAAAATCCTTTCCCAGTGACATACCTGATGTTCATCATATATGATCTCCATTCACATGCTTGTTTGGTTGTGTTTTAATATAGTTTCTAGTTGGAAATGGTTGGTAATTCTGCTTTGACATCGAAGGTATCTAAAACATCAAATTACATTTTAAAAAAATGTCCACGTGATTTCCATTCATATGTTATTGTTGAAGCGTGTAATTGTTAAGCTCTAGTCATACACTAATGCCTCCCTGTGCTTTTCCTTTGAAACACTTGGCACTTGGCCTTGTCACCTTGCTTCCTTTTCAATGTTTGACGGTTCACTTGATATCAACATCACTGGTTCAGGAATTCATAAATGAACAAGATGAAAAATTGAAAGATTTGAAGAAACAACTGGGGGATGAGGTGTATAATGCTGTAACATCAGCTTTAAAGGAGATAAATGAATACAACCCTAGTGGGAGGTATATAACTTCTGAACTGTGGAACTATGCTGAGGGACGAAGGGCTTCACTGCAAGAAGGAGTTGACTTTATTCTGAAGCAATGGAAAATAAAGAAACAGCGGATGGAAGATTGAAGGTTGGTATTCAATGTTTGTCATAGATCTCTATATGGTTGGAATTTTCTTTTCTTTTTTGGGGGGTGGTATCCACCTAATTTGAGTATTTCAGTTCTGTTTCTGCAGTTGTGTATGGCCAGCTTGGTGGATCTTCCCAAGTCTCAACGCAGGACGGCGGTTACTAGCCTTATTATGTCCGGACCTGGGGTCTTGCCGAATAAGTGGTTAATCTGAAGGAGGACTCTCTACCTTTAGATGTATTCATTTGCTTTGTTCATCAACTTTGATCTTTAATAAGACACTATTTACTAGTGTAGGAGAGGTAACTTAGTCCACATGGACACTACCCAACTTCTTCAAACTCTCAGAGAAGGGAAACCATTTCCAACTATCGACATTTGACCGTGCTTGTATCTTTAGTATTTGACAATGTATAACAGTATTGCGAGCTTTTCAGTTCCATTTATCTATCCATTACTACCTGACTTTGCCAGACCGAGAAAAACTTGCATGTAACAAGGTGTATATGCATTGTTTTCACATCTCCTCACGTAATAGCCATGTGGCTACTTATCGTGATAGGGAGTGTATGCCCTCGTTATAGACAAGTTCATATCTCACATTGCACCCGTGACACAGAAGTTACTGTCGTTGGTTTCAAGCTTAAAAAGAACTTATTAACGTTTGGATGAGCTGTTAAAAGAGTACAGAGAATTTCAGCCAAACAAGTTAAATCACTCGGTCGACTACCGGACGACGTCGTTTCTCTTCCAGCGGAGCGTACCACAACAAACCGCTTCTTTATAATACGGCGCCATATTTTTTAAACTGAAACGGCGGCGTTTTATTTTCCCATCTAAAAGCATCCCCTAGTTTTTTTTGTAACCCTAATCCTATATATATTGGTGCTCTCTCTTTACAAAATCATTAGATCTCCGTCCGCCTACACAGAGCATTCCCATGGAGACGATGCACATCTCATCTTCTGTAAAATTAGGGCTGTGATTAGAAAGAGAGAGGCTTGAGTGGGAATGCTCCGAACACTGGAGCAAACCCAATTCGAATCTGAAAGGGGAAAGAAAACAAAGAAAACCAGAAAAGTCGCCGCCCCTTTTCATCCAAAGGCAGAGGCTTTGGCGTCTCTGGAAAAAAAATCTTTGCTTTCTTTCCTCTTTCGTTTCTAATTGGGTTTCGACCCACAATGACAGGCCATCCAATTTCTATACACTTGATATGAGCCCTCGTCTTGTTTAGATTTCGTTTGTTGTTTTTTTAGGGTTTTTGTATGATTTTGGGTTTTATTGGGCAATATGGCACTTGTTGGGTTTTTTAAGAGGAAGTGATTTTTGGTTTGCTTTCTCGTAGAGACCAATAGTGCTTACAGTGAACGCCTGATTCGCGCCGTTTTGGTGGGAGTTAGGCAGCGGCCAGACAACCGTAGTGATGGTATCCACAGATGGCGGGCTATATCTGTCCCGTTTGTCTACTGATTCCATCTCACATTTCTTCAATTTCAATCACTTCAAAACCCTACATATTCTATTTATCCCATTGCTTTTCTATTTTTATCAAGGGTTTAATTTTATGTTACATTGTTGGTGGATTTATGAGTTTTGGAATGGAACTAGGACTGCTTGAACATGATGGTTAAATCTCAAAAACAGCTACCTGCACAAGTTTAAGCAAAAGCCCAAAGAGGAGGCTGGGAAAGTGAGCAAAATGGGCTGGAATCTTTACTTGGTTTTAAACTCAAACTATGAATTAATCAACTGGAATTTTGCTTGAGGAGGCTGAAGGTTAGGGAAAGTTTCAATTTGTCTGCAAAATGAGTCATAAAATTCAATGAGTGAGACAACATTTGAATCTGTAAATTTGTTGGACAAAATGTGCAAGAACTGAGGCTTGGGTTTCAATCTTTGACATTGGGAAGATGCACTGTGCTGAACAGCAAGACTAGAGAAACTCAGGATTTGCTCCATCTGAAACATTCTCAATGCAGAACTTAATGACACACTTCATAATGAAGTTATACAACAAAAACTTGATATGAGATTTCTATCTGGGAAGATGTACCACAGAACCGGATGAGAAAAAAAACAGAAATTGCTCCAATGCCTTTTTTTGTGTGGGTGAAAGCCTGTGATGAGAAACCTCAGTACACAACCAACTACCAGGTTATAGGACCTGATGCAGTAGAAACAACTTAAAGCTCTATCAGATTTAACACAAAGAATCCAACTACAGTGGAGCAGAGTCACAATTTTTTGGAGGAAAAAAAAACGTAGTTGCAACCGGTTCATGGAAGTCTTTTCTCCTCATTTTGAGTTTAGTTAAACACAAATACAAATCATTATTTTTGTTGTTGTTTCTTATTGAGCTGCTAGTGGCAGACATCCCTTCAAAATCCATGATTATAGGTAAAATCACACCCCGAGTGCGAACCATTGTCAAAAGCAAGCCCAAAAGCACTCAACATGAAACAAAATCAAAAGCAAGAAAATTAAAAAATACTTGATCATGTCTATAACTTATGGTATATATTATAACAACAACCAAAAGCTGCGGGCTACATGACCATTACAGCCACCTCAGCTGCTTACAACTTCACTTTTACCTTCTTCTTTTTCTCTTTCCTCACCCCCCGCCAACAGTCAAAAAAAAGTTTTTAACCGCACATCTCTTTCTCTCTTTTCCCAAAACCAAAATGATATAATAAAGCGGGAAAATTGAATATTAGACTCTGAAATTCTTTCCAGTGAAAGTTTGGCCAAACTGCCAATTTGCAGGGACAATGTTCCAGGAAGTGGAAGTGCGTCGGTCACTGCCTGTGACCCTGAAGGAGAGTGACTGTCCGGCCAAGACAGCATTTGACTGCCAGTTCTGACCCCAGTTGCGGCTCAAGCTCATCCATCCAGTCTTCGACCCTTTTACGCTCACCTTCACTATATCCCCTGCACCCGCGACGTTGGTGATCAAAACCAAGTTGAAGTACTTGAAGCCGTTGATCGTGAACCTGGTCCCACCTTGCTTCCGGCATGGCACCCTACACACAAAAGGGCATTTAAGTCATTTCACCACGTATAAACTATGAGTCATTCTCTTACAATTGATGGTCTAAACTTCTAATTTAATGTCGGCGGAGAGGGAGCTCACCGGCGATAAGAGACAGGGACAATGCCGGCACGGTACTCGGCGATCTTGAGGAACATGGGCATGGCGAGATCGAAGTGGGGGCGAGGAGGATTGCACCAGCCGCCATTGTCGTTGGGCAAGGCGTAATTTGGAGGGCAAAAGTTAGTGGCGGTGACAAAAATGGAGGGGCTACCAGAGTGACACCATTGAGGCTGATTTGCACACTTGATCTCGAAGCAAGCTCCACAGCTCAAACCGTTGTTAAAAAGGGCTGTGCTCAGTGCCGCTGTGTTCACACCGTAGCCTTGGCTGTACAAATTTCCGTACCCACATGCCCCTCCTGTATAGTACATACACAAAATCAATCAAAAGGGATGAACTTTATGTTATGAACTAAAATTAAGACATGGTTTTTTCATAAATTTGGGTACATCAAGAATGTGAGAAATTTAAGGGAAAATTTGATGTGGGTTTTTGAGATTGGGAGGTCCGAATCCAAAAGGAATTAACTTTATGCTATGAAGTAAAATTGAAGTATGGTTTTTTCATAAAATTGGGTACATAACTTGAGAAGATTGTGGAAATTTGATGTCGGTTTTCGAAATACAAAAAGGTGTGAACATTATGTTATGTAGTGCTTTGCAAAATGCATGAAAGGAATGAACTTTGAATCATGGTTTTCATGAAACTGATACATAGAGAATGTGAGAAAATTGTGGAAAAATTTGATGTGGGTTTTGGAAATTGGGAGTTCCAAATCCAAAGGGGATGAACTTTATGTTATGTTGTGCTTAGTAAAATACTAAAATGCAGGGGATCATGAAATTTCTTGAAATTACCCATAGTTCCAGAGGCGTCACTGCCGCCATAGAAAGTAGCATGAGCACCCTGCCACGCCCCACCAGAGTAAACACCAGGAATTCTGGCCTCAACAATTGTACTTGCCAATGCTATGAGAGAGACAATGCAGAGAAGAGTCATGGTAGCCAACACTCCTCTGGAAGAGAGAGAGAGAGAGAGAGAGAGAGAAATGGGTTTTTTCTTGGAGGTTGGGTGTGAGCAGAAGGGAGGGGTGGAGTGCCTATTTATCAAGGCCGAGGAGGCAAATTAGTAAGGGAAGAAAACAAACAATTGTCAAAAAGTGACGCAAATTATCACCTTAATTAATGCGGTTTGGTCTCCCTCCCTCGAGTAGCTAAAGCTTTTGGCGGTAATTCCATTCAACTCCGTTTTAACATGAACTGACAGAAATGCCCTTTATCGTTATTTGCTTTAATGGCTTTCACAGAGTACGGTTTTTATGGAAAATTCAGGGTATGTGGTGGAATTGGGATGATGATGCCAAATGTGAAAATGTAGGGTCAACAAGGTCGGTGGGGATCAAGGCTGTTGTGATCATATGGAATATGGATGTATGAAACCGGTTTGCTTCATCTGCAAGTTGTGGCATCATCTGCGGCCTCCCTCTTTGGCCAACATGGATTTTCTTTCCTTTTATTCTTTTGACTTTTTTGAGACATTGGGGACGGTGGACTGAATAGGAGAGAAGACTTGCATTGCGTACTCAATAGTACGGATACAATGCTTGTGCACTATTTTACTTCCCGGGACATCCGAGTAATGTTCTCTTGCTAAATAGTTTTTAGTTTATTCTATATATAATTAAAAGTGATATCGAGGAGGAATTCAAACACATAATCTCGGGTACAAGTTTAACTATTATTAACCTACACACTCTTTTCAAAATAGTTAGTATAACTAGTAGTTTAATTATCAATCCGGGCAACGTAACATGTAAAATTATTAAAGAAAAGAACAGAATTAATACTACTAAAATTTTCAATTTCAGTCAATAAATTTTTTTAAAATATTTTAATCCGTGGGTGGAGAAAGATCAAGCCACTAGTGGGATGGGGTTGGTTGGTATATAGCTTCTCACTTTTCGAAAAGAGGAAAATCAGATCCTCTCCTCCCACCTAGGCACAGAAAGACCTTTGACGCCGCTACAATTTATCCGCAAATTGTCCAATTTTTTCTTCTTTTTTTTTGCAATTTTTGCAATTTTAAATTTTTTCAAAGGGTGAAGAATTGGATTTTCCTTCGAAGGGCCCAATAATTTCCGCATTCGTCGGTCCTCGTATTGCGCCGTGCATCTGTAGTACACATCCTATCGTTTATATGTGGATACGATGGACCTACGTATTGGCCTACGTCACTCTGGCTTACCTTCTAGTTGGGTCAAATAAATATACATCTTGCACCTAACCCAGTCCAAAACCATATAGTAACCCTAATCTATCCCCCTCGGCATCGCAACTCATCATACTACGAACAATATGATAAAACTATTTGTATCATATTTATCACATTGTAGATTGTATTGTACATATAAGAGACACTTCCTTAAGAATTTAGTATATAATAGTATGATGCATGTAGAATTACTCGATCAACGAATCGTGCATTATGAAACTCATTATCTAAATCTCGATCCCATAATCATAAATTAGTAGGGGGAGGACCAGGAGAGGACCGGGGATGCAGATCTAATAACTTTAGCAGCAAAAGAAAAGCGTTTTAGTAAAGAAGGGGCAGAGAGAAAAAGCCTCAAAAACGGTTAGGAAGGTATGCTTTACTGCTTTTTGCATTAAGGATTTGGGATGAGAGAGAGACAGAGAGACAGAGAGACAGAAGAAGAGTTTAATTCGTCCATGAACAAAATCTAAGAGAGATATTCACCACGTCATTGCAAATTATTTAGCTGTTGAACAACACACCACCAAACCCCTCGCCCAGTCACCCAGTTTTGGATTTTGTCCCATGAAGCTTGATCTCAATGCATGTGAAATGCTGTACCAAAACTGTTTTTTCTACCTCTTTCCGTTGTGTTTTGTGTATGTGGATTTGTATGACTCAGCTAGAGAGAAGAAGAGAAAGTCAAGTCAGCTCAGCAATGACACATGGCTTGGCTAGGTAGCTATAGCATATGACATTATGGTCTCCCTTTGAAGCTGGGATGGATGTTGATGTTGTTTATTTTGCCTGTGATTGCGTTAAGTTTGAAACTTCTTTAATTCCATCACCCAAGTAGCTACTAGCTAGTAGAAATTAATTATTAAAATTGTTGGAGAGAGAGAGAGAGAGAGAGAGAAGCTGAAAATTTGGTTTTCTGGGAAAAAAAAGAAGGGTATGTTACTCATTTGATCAGAATTTTACTTCAATTAAAAGCCTAATTAGTTCAAATGATTATGAGATATGCTAATGAAGGAAATGGGATTGTAAATTGTTGTGCGTGGCATGCTTGTAATTTAGGTAAGAGATATATAAATACTGTATGAACAATTGTCAACTGTTGATGCATGTGAATTTCACTGTCGCTCACAGTAAGTAATATATTGTTTCTCTATTGACAAGCAATTCCTACATAATTCATTGTTGAGTGTATAATAACCTAATCCCAAAAAGCTGAATACGTTTCTTGAAGGTTTGGTACATTCCATTATACACTAAAGAATAATAATCATGATGAATTAGAGCATAATGTCTTTGGTCTTGCATGCATGAAACCAAGTCATTAAATATTCAAATTTGTTTGTGGGATTCGTAGCAAACAAAACAATTTCATCACTCAGTGTGCGAAAAATGGCACCCAGAAGCCATGTGTGGTTGTTGCAAAAATTTCAGTGCTTGCTTATAGAGGAACAAATTGGCCTAATCAAAATTTCTTACAATTTGAAAGTTCATCATGATGCTTTGGTTGAAATCTTGCCTCATCTTTCGTAGACCTACTAGGGACCATTTACTATATTTTCATGTCCCCTCTTTACATGAAAAAAAAAAACATGTAACCATATCTAGGTTCCATTTAGTTTTACGCAAAGCCACTGCCATCAAAAAAATTCCAAGTTTCTCAAGCAAGCAAATTTAGAATCATATCTCCAACGTTCTTCTTTTTTCATACTCAAAACTTTATTCTCTCTCTCTCTCTCTCTCTCTCTCTCTCTCTCTCTCTCAAGTAGGGTCCCTAGTGCCTTCAATCAACATTGTTGACCCCTCAAGAGCTTATGACAACTTTAAGTCCATGAAGACTAACTACCACGTCAACTATCTTAACTACCACCCTCATTTATCGGGCAAAAGACCCAAATTACAAATCATTTTCACAATCAATTTATTTATGAAAAAAAGTTTAGGGAGAGATTGGCTACTCTCACCACTACTAGCGCCAGAGCAAACCTCCAATCAATATTATATTAGTAAATTTGGCTTACACCCTTCAAATTCAATTTGCCGTACCTAAAACCCTTCACTTTTTGTTCCTATAAATAATACCCAATTTGTATAAGTAAAAATCCATGACTAGGATCCAACTCAGCAAGTTACCTAATTAAGCATAAAATCTTATTTATTGTACTTTTCATATTCCAAAAATACCCCCAACTAAGCCATTATTGCATTTTGTATATTAATGTAGGAATCAATATGGAAACAGTTTTTAATTGGATTGTATATAATGACATATGTTAAATTTGGAAAGATCTTCAAATGGTTGTAATGGATGTAGGAATTAATTTTGAAACATTTTAAAAAAAAATTAACAATAAATTCAAATTTAGGTAATCGGTTTGTTTAATAAAATGTTTATGTTATTTTCTTTTTATGAATTATACATGACTAATAATCCACTTTATAATTGTTTATGAATAAAACTGTACATACTAATTATGTTGAAAAAATAATGTACCTATTACTCGTTTGTTTTATGAAAAACATAATTTACCTAGTATGAAAAGTGTACATAATTATATATTCCAAATAATGTACCTATACACATTTACAGGTATATTGTAAAATAATTTACATGTGGGTAAATAATGTACCTATATTTTATCTAAATTATTGTGTACCTATTTTTAATTATGAAAAATATACGCAATTACAAAGTAACTGACTTTGTTTGTTTTTTTTTTTTGGTAAATAATATACCTATATTTTATATGTATATATTTATATTATATTTTTCATAGGTACATTATTGGATATGTAATTTACATATTTTTTTTTTTTTTTGCAATTTTAGGGAGCGAGATGTGAGAGGGAATGACAACTAAAAGAAATGGGGTGATTGATATGCTATTAATAGGGAGTATATTAATTACAATTATGGCAGTTAATGAAATGCTTGAAATAAATTATAAATAAAATATGAAGTTTAGTGGCAATGATGTAAAAACATAGAAATACTACGACCTCTTATATCCTACTGGTCATTTAAATTTGAAATTGGGTTTTACACATAGATTTATAGAGTGATGGGTATATATCTAGGAAATAGAAAATGTATGGATCTATATTGAACAAGCCCATATTATATTAATGTAAGAGTTTTCATATTTCCATATTTTTGGGCGATTGGGGTCAATTTAGTTATACTCTTATTAAATATCAATTGGGCACGTTGAGAAGGAAATTAAACATTTTTGTGTATATTTATATTACCTATTGCAAATTATATATATATGTCAACATTCATTGATGAGCATGCATGAGAGTTATAGCCTCTGCTCTACGCAATGCAAGCACATGGTCCACATGGCTTTGCTGCCAAGAGTATATATTTATGAATTAATATTATATAATCAAGTCGCTAATACGTGTTATAGGTTAACAATAATTTGATTTTACATAGAGGTCAGTCAACCTTGGTTTGGAATTTCTTCTGTGGCACATGCATATATGCTGATAGCCATAGCTATAATAGGGAGAGTTGGAGATGACCAGAATGATGGAATTCCCTTCTATACGAAGCGTTGAAGCTTTCATATAAAATATTGATGATCATGAAATGAAAATGAGTAAAACCATTTAATTTCCTTCAAAAATAATGCTGTTGAGTAATTATCGTTTACGGGAAGAATCATTCAACGGAACGATTTCGTCACGGTAGTTCATGCTTTTGGCTTAAGATTAAGTGATTAATGTAGTTTGATCTGTAATTAGTGTACATAGTGAGTGAATGTCTAGCTTAATTAGGAGAAAGAAATTATAGAGCCATTGCAAAACTTATCCATGAGTTTCCCTTGCACCTTGCAAGGCTATAATTAAATTGACAGATGAAGGAATTTGTGGAGCCCAATAGCCCACCTCATCCAATTTGAGCCCAACGATGTTTTTGGGTAGCTTCAAGAACATGACAACAGCTCTCGACTTTGAAGCAACCCACCATGATGGTCAAGCATTGGTTTGGGCTAGTTAGATATCAAAACTGCAGGTCCAACCTTGATCCATTACAGTGTCCACTACAATTCTCTATTCCGATAAATTTGAAGGGCTGTGAATTCTTCGATCCGGCAGGTGGACCATACTCCGGCCACCTACACAAACAAAGGTAGACACATGCATTAGAGTGGGGGATCATGGTGGGCTCCTGCAAGACTAGAGAGGTCCTTCTTATTTGGGAGAGCATTCATTGGATTGGTGGGAGACCAATAACAAGTTACGCGACATATATAATATGTGCAATGAATTTCCTAGTAATTTTTACGTGCACATGATTCAAGATTTCAAGAAACCACACATGATCCTTGTCGGAGAAGCATAATGTTTTCTTCTTTGCCTTACAAATGCCGGGGTGATATGGAAAATAAAATAAAATTAAGGTAATCGAATTGAAGGAATGGGCAATAACATTTGCCATCCTTTTGCTCTCATGGAAATTTTGTCTGTATAGTTTATCTCCATCTGCTGGCTGCCGCCCACCCGCCACCTTTTGTTTTAATTAGCTCCAATCTCTCTCTCTCTCTCTCACACACAGAGGATGTGGGAGGACAGCTAGCTATAAGCTTCGGCGGAGCTAACATAGGCATATGTTCTTGCTCTGCGCATTATACATATTTAATTTAATTTTAATTTATTCTCTAATCTGCATCAACTCCTTTTAATGATTTTGGTTTGCGAGATTCCTTCCTTCATTCTAAATACACACTTGCCCTTAACCTTTGGTAAATGCATGTTTGCATTCACACACCCTTTTTTTTTTGTTTCGAGTTTCTTTTTTGGATAAACACAACACAACCTGACTTTTGTTCTAATGTTTTTATCGACTATTTATCTTTTAATTAACCCTTTAATTAAAATTTTGTCTGTGGGTAGTCCCCCTACTTAATTAATTTACTTGTCTTTATGTGAATTGACAATTATCCCCATTCATAACAAATGATTGACTTTACCGCTAAATTATAATTATCAAAGACAAAGTTTTTCATCCTAAAAGTCAGAAAAATTAGCAATTTAATAGTATATACCATTAATAAGTTTAATAAGAATTATTGTGTTAAGACAGTAAAAGTGGCTACGTGTCGGTTCATTATTGGTTTGTTAATGTAATTAAGACATTGTTACAGTCACAAAGACGAGACTTGCTTACATCACACGTAACATGGAATAAAATACATATGAAAGCCCATTTCATTTTATAAAAAAAAAGGAAAAAAGAAAAGAAAAAGGTAGGTGAAGCCCAAACTCTAGGACACCATACCCAATCCACTATTTGCCACCAACCTGTCAAACCCAAAAAGTTTTTAATCTCATTTAATAAATAAAAAAAGCATTTTTTTAAAAGAAGAAATGCGACTGACACGTGTAGGAAAAGGGAGGGGGTGACCGGTTACCTGACACTTGGCGTGATTGGACAGTTACTGCATTTCTTGAACGAAGCGAACAAAGCGTGTCAGAAAACTGATAATGCAGACAGTTTTGACGGGATAACCGCGAACCACATTTGGCCACTCATTTCGGTATCTTCTAAGCCTTTCTAAGCACCACACACGCATAAATCTCATAAATTTTTTTTTTGTTGTAAAAAAGGCTGCGAAACCACCAATCAATCCCCTTTGTAACTCACGCCGTCAAATATTCTTTGCCTCATCCATTTCCACTACAACTACAGCATCATCCATGCCATGACATACCCGACTGCGACTCGGGACAAGTCGTGTAAAAAGTGCACACAAATTCCACTTGTCTACTCCTCCTAATCTTAATTAGTCGTGTGGTCTTTCATTTTTGTTTTCGTTTAACTAATTTTAGACTTTTGATTTGTGAGCAACTGACTTTAACACAAATTGAGTTGTTCTTAATCGTTTCTCTTGTGTAACACGCTAAAAATAGAATCACTATTAAAAATCGACTTTAAATTGATTTGTCTTTAATTTAACTACTCTGATACAAACTTAAAATAGTAAACCTCACCTGAATTTATCATCTGCTTAGAGTGAATCATACATGTTCAATAAACTCATTCATAAAGGTTTTTATCTAGTATGACATCCGCAGCTATTTATTGTGAATTTTACTTTTAGTTGTTTGTAATACGATATCAAGTTATTCATACTTATAACCTGTATCGAGTCACACAACTGAAACATTTATTAGAATAATTTTATTTACTCACTTCCCCATACAAAATATATTCTCAAAACAATGTTAGTGCCTCGCTAATGGAATTTTCAATCAACGTATGAAATATTCAAACTTGGTGCCTATTTAAATATTGAAAAATACATAAATATCATTAGAACAGTAGCTAGTAACTAGTCAATATTGATACATGAACAATTAAATACTATATCTTTAAAGGGTATACTAACTTGTTTTATTTTATTTTATAGAAACAGAGTAAAGCTAAATAATAATGTTGACAGGATTTTGGAACTAGATCCTTGGATCAATAGTGGATAAACCATCAAAGCTGTTGCTTAGGAAAACACTAACTGACTGTTATTATATAAGCAAGTGGGCAACCCATGTAGTGGGATGGGTTACTAAAAAATAATTGTGGATCAAGGGATATTGGCTGATGCTAACACTGGTTTAATGTGTATTTTCGTAATTTTATTAGACATTTAATTACTTTGGAATATTAAAATCATGCATTATTGGGGTGATTCCAATTGCCATATGATATTTTAAGTTCCAAGTTTATGAATCTATTGATCACATGATTACAGAGAGAGATGTGGGGCATGGTCCAAGGTGATCAACTCTTTCATTATATTAATTTTAATATTCTAATATTTTCAGATCGATCGATCTCGAGTGATAAATAAAATAATTTCGTTACTATTATTGAGTTTAATTTTAATTACTGTTTGTTTTGTTGTTAATATTTTAATTGTGCCACTGATTCTAGCTGGTAAAAAGCAAAGGAGTTGCTTTAAGAAGCTGAAGAAACATGTTAGATCCCTTTTCCACTAAGTTAGATTCCGTTGATTAAACTTCACTTGATTTAGAACATGTTAACCTGCTATTCAGTTTGTGAACTTAAAAATATATATATTTTTAATTATAGTTTATTTATACTTATAACTTTAATGGTAGAACACTTATACAATGTCACATAAAACGTTTTGTCATCTCTCTCTTCTCTCTCATACCTCACTGGAAAATAAAAGCATGTTGGTAGGTTAACCAAATTTGTGAAGTTATTTACTAACCAAATAGTGTACCAATATAATGTTAGCATCTTATTTATTAGAAACACATATAGTTCATATTGAGCTAAAATATGAATACTACCTATTGCATTATTTGGTAAATAAATAGTATACTAAAAAAAATACATTTTTATTTGGAAAAAATTATCACGCATGACAATAACATTACGTTGCATGCCGATATAGTATTACGATTCCATCCAAATGATAATAGGTAGAATTTACCTTTCAACATTAATAATGGTATGTTCATTGAAATTCTTTATCTCCTCCTAAATATTAATTTGTGCAATGTTTTTTCCTTATCCTAAAAAGAAAAAAAGAAAAAAGAAAATCTGACGTGGGTTTCGTAAGAGAGAGAGAGAGAGAGGGAGGTCCACGTGGCAAGACAGCTCCATCACCTCGTGGATATAGAAAGAAGAAGAAGAAGAAGGAGAAGAACTGGTCCAACACAAAGGAGAGAAAACAAGGAAAGGAAGAGGTTTAAGGCAACCTGCAATTACCCGGACATTAATGCCCTTTTACTGGCTGGCCCGGTTTTGTGGTCAGAAAACCATAGACTTATAAGAAGGGGTTTAAGCCACTGTTTTGCATGGTTTTTGTATATACAATCATTCAACCTCTGGGGACTTGGGTTTTTCAGAGAGAGAGAGAGAGAAACAGATATATATATATATATATACATTTATATGTATATTATATATTAAATAATACAGAGTTATTTTGCTCAATTCTCAATTCTAATTCTCCCAGATCTCTTACACATTTCCCATAAATTCTGTTTTTCCCCTGAAAAATTGTAGATATGCTGTTTTCAGTTTTACCCAGAAGATCTTTGTCCAAGAGGTGAGTAAATCAAGTATCTCTGTTGGATTTGGTTTTCTTTCTTTGATTTCTGCTGGGATTTTCTGTGATGCAATTTGGGTTCAGTTGTTGAGTTTTCTGCCTCGTTTGTGGTCATGCATATTCGAATTTTGAGCAATTGGGTGTTTGATACATGCATGCAATTTGAAATTCTGATTGAGATCGGGATCTGATATTGGAATATAGGCCGTGTTTGGTTGTGCTGAATTGGGTTTGATTGAGAATTGGTGATCATGATCAGAATCATCGGTTTCATTTTGCATGGAGTCCATTTTTGTTGATCTGAGGTTTATGGGATTTTAGTTTTAGTTTTGAATTCATCTCAGCGTGAAGCAAATTATAGACGGAAGATCCTAATTGGCGTTGAATTGTAATTGCTTTTGCTGAATTGGATTTCATTTGGAATTCTTCAAATTATGTGTTCATTTTGTTCAACATGGATTTCGTTTTCTGGGTTTTGGGTTTATGAATTTGAATGCAATTTACCTTTCTAAGTTCCTCGCTGTCTTAAGCAACTAGTTTCAGACGTGACAGGGGTCATGACTTCCCAATTTGGATCCAATTTATGGCTGATATAGTCTGTCTAATTTCCTGGAATTTTCTTTTCAAAAGATCTGTTTAGGGTTTTAAGATCTGGCATTTGATTCACTGGGAAACAGATTCGTTTTCTTTTTATTACGTTTTCATTTCTCAAGTCTCTTAAATAATTTTCCAAATTGGATTTTGGTAAACAATCAATCTCAGTGATCTGTTTGATTTCGGATAAATTGTGGAAAGGAGTAGGCTTCCACCCAGAGGCTGGTTGGGTGCTTGGAGACTTTGATGGCCAATCATGAGTTTTACATTACTGATCATGGAGGCAGCCTATAATTTCTTGCTATATTTATTTATTTTAGTTAATATGTGTAGCTAAATAAAAGAAACACTACTTTGATATCATTGCTGGATTTTATTATGGTAGTCGTGATATAGTAGTCTGATCTAGTATTCTGAATTGATGATTGTCTTCCTTTTGGGACAGATAAGATTGTGTTTCAATTATGTAACCACAATTTCCCATCAAGCTTAGCCTGACACGTATTCTTTTTCTATAAAATGAAAATCTGTTGACAGTGAAGAGGATGCCAGGGTGATGCTTCTTTGTGTTTGATGAGTTCAAATTGCCATGTATGCATGAGATATGGTGTTGAAGAAGAGGCTAGATTTTGGATTTGATGGCTTCCAGGTGCCTTCTATACCTAGAGCTCCCAGATCAGCTAGAGTAAGTATTCTCCAAAATTCTAGGATTGTCTTTTTTTTGGATGATTAACCCCATATTAAATTCACGAATCTTGGTTTCTTGTTCCAGAGGAGGGGCCCACATAAGAAGTCGGTTGACAATGGGCAGATCTGTGCATTTGAATTACTGGCTTCATTAGCTGGCAAGTTATTGCAGGAGAGTGAAAGTTCTTCTGCCTCTAGTAATGCTTCTGAAGGAAATTCGAAGCCTGCCTTTGGCAAAGATGTTAAGCAGGAAAGACAAGATGAGCATAAACCTCTAAAAGAAGAGTGCCTTGATCAGGGAAGCTCTGAAGAAAGTGTTTCTCTAGAGCTGACCTCCCAAAACATCGACCGGAAGTTTATTCTCAAAGAATTTCCGCATGCCGAGAGTGATACTGTTTTGGAACACACTTCAGTTATTACAAATTCTGACAGCTCAGCGAAAGCTGGAGGTCATATGAAGTCTGTAATTTGCAGTAGCAGGCCCATATTTCAAAGTTATTCCAGTAAAGTAGAGGGAGGCTCCCAGGGTATTGGGGAGTCCTGTTATGGTAATGTAGCAAATGGAGTTGAAGTACAGAAAGATAGTGAGCAATTAGAAACTGGAGCTTTGACTAGGGCTAACCCATGCAGTTCCAAGAATCCAACTGAATTGCATGCAAAATATCCTGCAATGCTCAATGGAGACAATAATGTCAAATTGTCATTGTTCAGGGATCCTATTCCTAATGCTTCTTTTTCCAGGCATAGGAATGATATTGAATAGGTAGTAGAGATGATGACGAAAATATTTCTAGGTGCAACAAACCTAGCAACAAGGTGAAGGTCTTTAGGCCTTCACCCCGTATTGGAGACCGAAGAATAAGGAAATTACTGACATCCAAGTACTGGAAAGTGGCTCCAAAATTAAGGGATTGTGAACACTACAGATATGGTAAGTGGCTGATTAGTGCTTTGACTAGATTAGCCTCATATTTCTCCAAACTTGTGTGTGCGTATGAGTCATAAATTCATGCTAATTATTTTTTAATGTTTAGTTTATGTTATTGGTTTTCCTAGATGGGGGAATAAAACCTATTTATCACAAAAGGAAAACCTTATACAGCCGGGAAAGATCTCAACGCGACACTCTTTATAAGAGGAGGAAATTGGTTGACCGGAGCTCAGTAGTGACTTCTGATGGAGGGTTCAGTGGTGAAAGTGTTTCTAATTCACCTGATAACGGAAAGAAAAGTGGTCCTGCTGGTATGTGACATTGGCATACTTTCCTACTTCTTTACTTTGCTACTGTTCCTATATGTACCGTTGGGATTTAAGGGTTTGTGGCATTCATTTTGTTTAATGGTTGTTCTGTGCAGAAAACGGGGTATCAGCTTCAGTTATAGGTCATCAAGCATCTTCCCATTCCAAGGAATCTCATGGTAGTTAAAGCTTTTGGTGGTTTGGTGCGCAGACACATTTTATTTGATTGTGTTTAACCAGTATCATGGTGCATTATGTTTTCTTGGACAGTGAAATTCAGAATCAAATCCTTTAGGGTACCAGAGCTTTTCATTGAGGTCCCAGAAACTGAAACTGTCGGTTCTTTGAAGGTATTAACTCAGCCCAATTTTCTTTCATACTTGCAGTGGCCACAAAACTCATTTTCTTAGTATACAATTTGTAGGTTTTTCTTCTTCCTGTTAACAATGGCATGGAATATGCTTGTTTGGGTTTTATTTTAGCAAGTAGTTGCTGACTATTCGTCACTTCTGGGCCTAAATAATTTACATTTGTTTTATGACATTTTACAGAGGACAGTCATGGAGGCAGTGAATTCCATACTTAGAGGTGGATTAAGTGTTGGAGTACTTGTTCATGGGAAAAAGGTTAGAGATGACAACAGAACTCTACTGCAGACCGGAATTTCTTGCAAAGATAATTTGGATTCTCTGGGTTTTACTTTGGAGCCTAGTCTTGTGCAAGCTCCTCCATCTTTGTGTTCGGGCGATCCTCCTCCTTCATTATCATGTGAGACTTCGGTGCTGTTGACCAGGTAATTCTGATGTTCAGTGAGAAGACCTAAAGTTGGAATTGATTTGATTGGCCATTTTAGCACTTTCTTATTTGCAGCCCAAAGGGGTCAAGTTTGTTTTTTTTCACCATTGTTGATATGTTAAACGGATGCTGAAATGGTATTTTCATTTAATAAATTTTTTTACTTTTCCTTTTATGTATTTATTTAAGTCTATTGTCACTTATACCAATGTTTTTAAGGCTGGTTATGCCTCATTTAATTTGTTTTAATATTAGAACAATTAATGGTGGATGGCTTTTCACAGGAATTAGAACTGTTATGCCTTATTTAATTTGTTTTAATATTAAAGGCTCAGGAAGGTTATTTAATTTTTCTCTGTTCCCATGAATTTCTAATTAATGCAATTTTGTATAATGATTCTTTTATTATTAATATGTGGAAAAATATGTTAACCTTTAACTACAATTGATAGGACAATATTTTGGATTATGGTTCTGCTCTATTTGACTTGAGTGATAGCTTTTTGCATGTGCACTCTGTCAGTTCTCATTATAGCTAATATTGCATTATTGTTTCAGGTCCCCAGGCACACCTGTCTTAGACTCTGTGATGTCTGATGCGTTATCTGAACCCCCACCTCTAACCCATTCAGGCAGTCTTCCTGAAAGTAATCATGAATTGGTTTCCTCTCATATTGACATATTGACCAACAAAACAATGCTGGAATCCAGGCACTAGTTGCTATTCCAGAAATGAGCATGGAGCCACTAGCTGTAGTTCCTGTGAACCAAAAACTAAGCGATCTGAGCTTGTACAGCGTCGAACCAGGAGACCATTCTCTGTGTCAGAAGTTGAAGCATTGGTGCAGGCAGTTGAGGAACTTGGAACCGGAAGGTGTGATGTTCTTTACCACTTAAACAGGATCAGTAAGGAGATGTATGCTTCCTTTTGAAGGATACACAGTGCTTTAACAATATTCTGAATCTGCAGGTGGCGTGATGTTAAATTGAGTGCATTTGAGAATGCAGATCATCGAACATATGTGGACTTGAAGGTAAATTTTGTTTTAATTATTATCGTAGTAAAAGGATACCAGAAACTCTGAAAATACACAGTAGAAATATTTATGGTATTCAATTCTTATTCCCAAACCCGTACAATTTGTTGGATCCATATGAAAGATTGGTTATTTTGTAGTTGAATTTTCTTAGTATATTTTTCATGAAAGATGTACAATCATACCCTTTAAATTTTTTCATGACTAGCTTCAGATGTGATTTCTTGTTGTGGACCAATCTCGTCCTACATTGCTCAATCATTTTTACTTATTTTATTTATGAATTAGTAGATTGACTAGAGTTTTGCGTTCATTTCTCTGGAAAAGCACAAGTTACATGATTTCTGTTGGACTTAATGTGCTTTGCTGTTGTATGCAGGATAAATGGAAAACCTTAGTTCACACCGCAAAAATCTCTCCTCAGCAAAGAAGGGGAGAGCCTGTTCCTCAGGAGCTTTTGGACAGGGTATTGGCTGCCCATTCTTACTGGTGCCAACACCAAGCTAAGCAACATGGCAAGCATCAGGGCGGTATTATGAAAATTACAGAGGCCCCGACTGATAAGACATGGAGCTGAAAGGTATCCGATTGTATGATGTAGAAAAACAGGAAAAGTTGACAAACAGGGAAAGAAGACAATGTACAAATGACCTAAATTTGTGTAAAAATCCTCACACGCACAGTATGATTCATTGCCGGCGTCTCTGTCTGAGGAGGTCGGCAAATGTAAATGGTTCGTCGGAATAAAGATCAGTCTAACAGAACTCAGTTGTTTTAATTCAATTGATTTTATTTCATCATGATATGAAATGTAGAAATGTGAATGAACATCAACATGAATAAAGTTCTCTTATTGTCCTCTTCTGCGGCTCAATTTTTTCTTGCTGCTTCTGTCAATGTTCTTTGAGTTCCAGTGCCATAACCATGTTGATGCTTGGCACATGAATTTTTCTCAATATATCCATATTTATTCATAATTGTTCACTTGTTTCCCAATTGCCATACTGTCAAGTTCTCAGTCAGCTCCAATTTTGAGCCGGTCATGTGATGCTGGTAACTTGCATTGGAAGTCCATCAAAGGTCTGTGTTTCAAAGATGGCTGCATGATTGGGGTTGCGTATAATTAACACCTTTCTATTGGACTGAGTATTAAAGTATAGTTATATGATATTTTTGTACAAATTGCCAACTAAATTGGTGGCTCTATTAGTTATTCTTTAAATTTTATGCGGGTGGCTCTATTAGTTAATATCTGACATACTAGCACATTTGGCAAGTGCCCAAGCACATGCTTAAATGAACAAAGAATTCTATCTATCCAGTTGGGTTACCTGTCAAGTTTGTAGTCTACTTCTCAACCTTTATTTTTTAATTTTTTTTAAGAAGAGCGATAACATACTAAACATACACATATTACACGAACACTAGGATTCAATTCAGGACATTTCATGAGGGAGCATTTACTCCAAATCTCTACATTAGTAATTCCTTTACTTCTCAACCTCTTTTCGCCCCCTTACCTGCGTATGCTGTATTGGTCAGCAATTATCACAAGAAAGCAAATGTCTAAAAGTTGACCTAAAACCTCGACTGTTGAACTACAAGGCCCAAATCAAAAGTTGAACCCTAACCATTCTTGAAACAACTTTCCTTGAAGGGCACTATAAAGGGGCTTCTAAGAATTTGATTGATCTCCTCATTGTAATCACAAAAGCCAAGAGTTTATGAAGTATTAGATAAGCCTAACTATAAAAACCAACAGAGAAAAAACCCACTGAAATGATTGAAGATATAATTGTCCACATGCTACATTCTGTTTTTGGCCTATGCTTTTGTCCTTTGTAAGTGTTGCTAAAATTCCAAGAACGATATAAATATTTTACCCACGAAGAATATACTATTGTGATCAACTCACTATTCACATTTGCGAGATAACTATTTTAGATTAAGATTGAAACTACAAAATTAATCTAACTGTCAACTTTCACTCTTTTCCTGTTTTGAATGATTCATATTGTCATTGTACTTGAATTTTTTTATAAAAAGTGTCCTAAATTGATAGGTAATAATCACATTGACGGCAGAGATTGTCCTCCCCACTATAAATTTAAAAAATAAAGCACAAAACTCGAAGCTTCATCAGCTTCAATGGCATTGGCAACAGTCTCTTTCACGAGCCACAGTGAAGCTGGGTTGCTCTCCCTCTCTCAGTTTTCTAGTTTCTCTCACAAGCTAAGTTCAGGTACTTATTCTTTCAGCTTCTTTGAATTCTTAAATCATTGGCTACAACAAATGAATGAACTATGGCGATTTCCTATTCCTTTTTTATTTTTTTTTTTTTTGAAAAAGTTCAACCTTCTCTCAATAGAAACTGTGACTCAAACTGTAACAATTGTGGGTTTTGATAATTTTACCTGTTCATTTGCTTATGTCTTGTTTGCTTCTCATTCTGTTTAGGTCCTAAGAAATCATTTTTATACACAGTATCATATCATGTAATGAATCAAAAAGATGTATTTATACATGTCTTGTAGGTTTAATTTTTCTGGGTCTTGATGCATGCAGAAATCTGATACTCTAATGTGTTGTCCGGAAAAAGCTGAGATATAGACCAAATTGAAGCATATTGGAGCTTTTGGGTCTTTAGTGTTGTGAATTGTACTTGCAATCTCAATGATCATGGACCAATCTTTGAGTGAATTTTATGGTTCTAGTAATGAGTTGTTGGAATTGAGGAATGAAACTCTCTCGGCCTTATCAATCAGAATCTAGATACTGGAATCCGGAACAGTAGTTAATTTCTTGATCAAAACTGTGCAAGTACCCTCCTTGTGCCTCCCGGTCCAATTTCTAGTAATTTGGCCCCGGCTTTGAGCATGTACCCGGATGAAGATTCACCCGAGGAATCTGATTTTAGTGATGTAGTTCTCGAGTACATTAGCCAAATGCTTATGGAAGAAGATATGGAAGAAAAAACTGAAATGTATCAGGAGTCTGCAGCACTTCACGCTGCAGAGCAATCATATTATGAGCTTCTTCAAGAGAATTCTTCTTCTCCTCCTTGTGACCTGATTCATTATGCTGATCACAACCATGAAAGTCATCCGTTGCATTGCAGTTATAACAGTACTACCTCTGGCAGTACCAGAAGCATTAGGGATTGTGATTTGCTCGAATATAAGTCCTTGCATGTTGCTTCTCAGTCCACTTCTCTACCATTCAATGCACCATCAAATGAAACTGGTAATGTTGTAGATGGGTTTGCGGATTCCCCGGTGAGCATTCTTAGAGATCCTGAATTTTCTAATGAGAGTGAGTTGGTTATGCAATTTAAAAGAGGCTTTGAAGAAGCGAGTAGGTTTCTTCCAAATGCTAATAGTCTGAATGTTGATTTTGAAAGTAACACGTTGTCACTTAAAGAGGGCAAGGCAGAGGCTATAGGTATGGTAGTTAAGGTAGATAAGAAGAATGAGTACTCTTCTGATGGGTCAAGGGGAAAGAAGAATCCATTTCATGAGGATGTGAGTTTAGAAGAGGGGAAGAGTAACAAGCTATCAGCAGTTTACACTGAATCAACAGTGAGTTCGGAAATGTTTGACAGGCATTTGCTAAACTGTGGACAAGGAGAAGCTGCTCTCCGTGAAACTTTGCAGAATCGGACAATCAAGATTGTACAACAGAATGGTCAATCAAAGGGGTCAAGTGGTGGAAAAGCCCGCGGAAAGAGGCAGGGAGGTAAAAAGGATGTGGTGGATTTGAGAACTCTTCTAACGCATTGTGCACAAGCTGTTGCAGCTAATGATGAGAGGACTGGCGATGAGTTACTTAAGCAGATCAGACAACATTCTTCTCCTATGGGAGATGCGATGCAGAGACTAGCTCACTATTTTGCTGATGGTCTTGAGGCACGCATGGCTGGATATGGTACTCCGATTTACAGAGACCTTATAACCAAGCCAGCATCAGCTGCAGATGTCTTGAAGGCTTACAATCTTTATCTTGACGCATGTCCATTTAAGAAGCTATCAAATTTCTTCTCAAATAAGACAATAATGAATGTAGCTGAGAAAGCAACAAGGCTCCACATTATTGATTTTGGTATCCATTATGGTTTTCAATGGCCTAGCCTCATACAAAATCTCTCTTCTAGGCCCGGTGGACCTCCAAAGCTTCGGATTACTGGGATTGATCTTCCACAACCAGGTTTCCGACCTGCAGAAATGGTTGAGGAGACTGGACGGCGCTTAGCAAACTATGCGGAAACTAATAAAGTTCCATTTGAATTCAATGCAATAGCACAAACGTGGGACACCATTCAAATTGAGGATCTCAAAATTGATCGTGATGAGGTGCTTGTTGTAAATTCTGTACACAGATTAAGAAGACTACTTGATGAGACTGTGATGGTCGAAAGTCCGAAAGATATGGTTTTAAAACTGATCAGGAAGATCAATCCAGATGTCTTCACGCTGGCGATTGTTAACGGATCCTACAGTGCACCGTTCTTTCTCACAAGATTCCGGGAGGCTCTCTTCCACTTTTCTACAATGTTCGATATGCTTGAGACAAATGCCCCCCATGATGCTCCGGAGAGGATGCTTATTGAGAGGGAGATATTTGGTCGGCAGGCAATGAATGTCATTGCGTGCGAGGGTTCAGAGAGGATCGAGAGACCAGAGACATACAAGCAGTGGCAGGTGAGGAATCTGAGGGCTGGGTTTACGCAACTTCCTTTGAATCAGGAGATTGTGAAGATAGCGAAGGACAGGCTGCAATCATGCTACCATAAAGATTTTGTAATTGATGAAGACAGCCAGTGGCTGCTGCTTGGATGGAAAGGGCGCATTGGCTATGCTCTTTCTTCTTGGAGGGCTGCTTGTTAGAGTTGTTATTAGATTGTCTTTTGATGTACATAATTTGTTGTTGTTAATTAAGCTAATGGATTAATTAATTACCTCTTATGTAAAATTAATTAAACATATTGCCAAATTTTTTATAAATAAAATTAAAAAATTTAGAACTTAGAATTGTAGGGCTTTACCCCGAAGGGAGCCCTTCCAGAAATTCTCGAAGGCACAGGGCTGAACCCAGGCCTAGGAGGGGGTTTGGAAATAGTTTTCAACCACAATAGACGCGCCTCGGTTAGAACCTCATAAGCTGCGTCATTGCCCCAAGCGCAAAGATGCTTTGTAAAGCGGGTCTCGTTCCTGTTTTATACATCCCCAGGCAACTCACCCTTTCTCATTCCGTCGATGTGGGACAAAAACAAACACCTTAATATTTATTTCACAATTCTAATATCAAACAAAAAGATACCGACTTTTACCACCAAAACTTGGTTACCAAAGAAAAAAAGAAATATTTTTATATCTCTGATGGGGTTGGGGTTTAGGGTTTTATAACGTTTTTTGAGAAGAAGAAAGCAGAAGAGAGAGGAGGGGTAAGATGAGTGGGGCAGGAAAACCAGATTTCTTCTACAGAGAGGCTCAACGCCTGGGTTATGTGGCTCGCTCCGCCTTCAAGGTATTGATTGATTTACGTATTTACCCAAAAATTGCTGGCTTCAATTGCTACTGATCCACCCATTTTTTGAGCAGCTACTTCAGATACAGAAGCAGTACAAGCTCATAACACCTGGCTCCTCTGTTCTGGACCTTGGTTGTGCTCCTGGTGCTTGGCTTCAGGTCCCTTTTTCATTTCAAAATCCAAACTTTAATTCCACATACATATTTGCAGGCACAGGCTCATGGAATATCTGGGTTTTGTAATTTTGGCAGGTGGCTTGCCAGAGCTTGGGTCCTGTAAAAAGTGGTGGTCTTGTTGTTGGGATTGATCTCAAGGTCTCATTTTTTGTTCACTTTTTAGTTAAATTTCCGTGCTTGATTTGTTTGTTCAATACTTTAGATAAAATAACTAGGTTGTGAAATGTGGAATGTGCAGAACAGAAGGTGAAGGTTCCAGCTGCTCACTGTGATTCGAGAGTTCAAACTCTTTGTGCTGACGTGATGAAACTCCCCAAAGCCCAAGTCAGGGAACTCTCTCCACAGGTATTGCAGTATAGGCTTCTTAAAGCTTATGTTTCAAGGGATCAAGATGCTTGTGCTAATTCATGTCTTTCGCTTGTGGGTACAATTCAAATGTTCACAAAAACTCGCCTTGCTGTTCTTTTAATTTAAGATTTTGTTCTCCTCTAACCCCGTTTCAGGATGTTTGAATGTGTGAAACAGATCATTTCTTGGTTCCTTGCAAAATTTTAAGATTGAAAAATCTTTCCATGAATTTCCAACTTATAAAAAAACCAACCTTAGTTTTTGTCTAGGCAAGCATGATGTAGGAGTAAAAAGATTTATGGTTTTGCCATTGTCTATGTGCAGCAGAAAGGGTTTTCTGTGATACTCTCGGATATGTGTCCCCTCGTTTCTGGGATCACTAGTAAAGATGCAGCTTTATCGCTCGAGTTAGGCACGCAAGCACTGGATTTGGCTGTTGGTGGAGCTGCCTTAGCTCATCCCAAAAATGAAATTCAAATGGAGGAAAGTAATGATGGGGCAATTACAAGTTCAGATGTTAATGGTGTATTGCGAAGAGGAGGCCATCTTGTGATAAAGCTTTTAGAGAGCGAGGATGTGCAAGGTTCTTTTTATAAATCCTTTCTTTTCCCCCCTTTTTGGGTAACATAAGTGGTACTTGCTTCATTAAAATTCTGTTTGGATATTTTTTTTTTACTGTCTTCTGGCTGTTTGTCTTGTAGAATTCAGCCGGATTTGCAAACTACTGTTTAGAAAGGCATCATTGTTGAGGCCTAAAGCTACAAGACCATCATCAAGAGAGATTTATGTGATATGTCAAGGTCTGCAGTCACAGGCCAAGATATAGAATCAAGAATGTATCCCGAATTTAGAAGTGGCAACAGTGAGTATTGAAGCCAAATTAATGTAACTGGTTCGCTTTAGATTTCCTTGTAGAGGTTCTGGTAAAAAGAATTTACCCTTTGACTATGAAGGTTTTATGTTCATCTTCTGTATAATTTTGCAAAGACCTCTCTCTCTCTCTCTCTCTCTCTCTCTCTCCTGAAACAAACATTTGTGAACATTGTAGGCGAGACTAATAAACTGATCAAATGCAAGAGTGTGTTCTGAATTGGACCAACAATTTATCTTACTGAAATGTTTCTAATGAGAGATTGCCATTAAAAGTTACTGAATGTAGGCTTTATGATTTTCACTTCCATTTTCATGAACCAAGTTGTGATGGCATACACATTTTCCATGTGCTTGGGCTAAAATTGGGATGCGAAAAAGGAAAAGTGGAAAGGAACAACTGATGAAATGTTATATCATTGAATTTCTTAACCTTCAAGGTTTTTACATATTAGACCAGAGAAAAAATCCAAGACTTGAGTGTCGAGTAAAAAGAATTAAAAAATGAAAGAAAATATCTGCCTCTCACTACTTATAAATCACAGTATCTCCATTTACAAAACAGGATCAGGGAAGTGTCTTCTTATAAATTACAGTATCTCCATTTACAAAATAGGATGAGAGAAGTATCTTCATATGTGTAACAGAGTCATCGAATCTGAGTTCTTCCTAGTGACCAAAGGCCTGTATCTTTGACTGGTGTCTGAAATACCAAACAAAAAAAGGATCAGAGATGTAGTCATTGTAGTTGGAGAGAAGATAATTGATGGATCTTGATATTGATGCTTACATGTGTCTTCACAGACGGGAAGACATTCCAGAATCGTAGAGTCTCATCCCCAGCACCGGTGACTATTGTCTGCAGTAAAGCAATTTCATTTGAGCTTGTTAAGAACAGAAATTTCAGCGTAAGCAAACAAGAGTGTATGCGGAGCAAATCTTCAAGCTATAGAAAATGATGCAATACCTGACCATCTGGTGACATTGCAAGGTAAAGAACTCGCATGCTATGGCCAGTTAGAGTGGCAACCTATAAGAGTGCGTTCCAAAAGCAATTAAATAGAAATCTTATAACTTGACACAATCCTACTTCTTACGGTTCAACTTGAAAGGAGATTTCCTAAAAAGCTAACCTTTCCCATGGATGGATACTTCCACACCATGATTTGGTTCTGGGAATATCCATGAGTGCTGACTATCTCATTCACATTCTTACTCCATGCAAGATTGCAGACCTGGCTTCCGGTGTCTATACTGTTCAATTGGTGGCCATTTGTCGTGTTCCAGAAGCGAATACATCTGTCAGCAGTTCCACCTCCAGATACAAGAAGGCCACTCTGGTGGGGTGACCAAGCAATGGCCTTGACTGCAGCTGTGTGCTCTGTCAGTCTCAAAGCTGGTTGCTGAGAGTGCTGGTTCCAGACCAAGAGCTGGTCACAAACAAGCCACTAAGTTAGCTATTGGCTAACTACCAGTGAAACACAGAAGAAAGCAAGAGAAGAGAAGAAAAAAGAATGAACAACTTAGTAACATATACCTGGTTATCATTGCCTCCAGATGCAAGTTCCCTGTCATCATTGGACCATTTCAGCCCACATACCTGAGGAATTGAAATTTTTAGAAGGTTTAGTATTGCTTTTGTTTGACCAAGAACTGTTTAATTGGTTATAGGTCATTAAGAAAAAGTCTTTTAAAGTATTCACCTCAGACTTGTGGCCAACAAGCTTGCTGATGCAGTCGTTTGAGACCCGAAGATCGTGTTGAAGTATGTTCCTGTCCCGGCTTCCTGAAGCTAATATGCGTGAGTTCCATGCCAAGACACCAGTCCTTGTTTGATGCCCGCCCATTGTTCGGACCCTCTTGCACTGAGTCCCATCCCAAACCTAGAACAAACGCCACAATTAATGGTCATCTCAAACTCTTTCTTCATGAGAACGAAAATACTATCAAGTCAAACAAATAGCTACCTGAACTCGACCAAGATTTGTGCCAATTGATAAATATGAACCCTCCTTTGTCCATTGGACAGAGCATACCCCGTCATTAGGCCCCAAGTCACACAGTTTTGTCACCTGAGAAAAACAATGTATGACAAACTTCAATCGCAAATTTTACAAACCTATTTAAATAAAGGACACTTTGATAAAGACAACTTGCTCATTAGATTTTGGAAACATGGAATGGACAAAATTAAAATCTATGCTATTTACCCAGTAATAACAAACTCATTACTTACCTTGCTGTTTGATGCACTCCACAGATAAACGCAGGTGCCCAGTCCAACTGCAAGGACATTTTGCGAGGACCAGTCCACAAGGTTCAAGTAAAAATCATCTTGAAGTGATGGGGCATCCAGAACCTGCAAATCATTTAGAGCATTTCAAGATCAACCATTGCATTTCCCATATAAACTAGTAAAGTAACATAGCCCTCAATGATCAATCATTTCCACTAATCAGATCCACTTGGTACTGAATTACAATTAACTGACAGAAAAGGATTAAGATTATAGCCTCACATTCAGCTAATTCAGCTAGTTTATTGAACAAACTGGGGAAGAACAGGGGTTTAGTTACCTTATGGGGTGTCTTGGGGACCTTGCGAGGAGGCTTAGGAGGCGTTAAAGACTCGTTAGAAAACCCACTATCATTTCTCAGAATGGACGGCGAATAAGGCGAGTTGGGTGCCGAGTGATCAGTCTTGAACCGCAACATGTTCTTGCTGGGACTCAGAGGCGACGGCACACCACCACCACCACCTGCAGGAGAAAAAGACCCAAAATCAGACCCGAAAAGCTCAGATTTCAACAACCTGGCATAGGCCTCGTTGCCGCCTTCTTTGACGGGCGAGGCCTTGTCATTGAGCCCAAATGTGTGAAGCCTCGAGGAAGATCTGCAAGGTATGAATCTGTCGCTGCAAGTCGAGGACTTGGAGGGGGAAGACAGGTTCGATATCGCCCGAAAAGAACCCGAAAAGGACTCGAGGCGCAGCGACGTCTCGGACATCCCAGTTGGGAGGTTGAGCCCTGCTTTCCTTGTTTGAGGTGAATCCATTGCTGGGTTTTCTAGGATGATCTGATTCTTGGTTCCTTGGAAGATTTGGGTTGTTGGGTCTGAAGAAGAATATGATGATATCATATAGGAAATGTTAATGTAATGAGGTTTGAATGGAGATAGAGGAGGCCAAGAACCAAAAATGGAAGGAAAGGCCTCTCTCTCTCTCTCTCTTTTTCTCTCTGTGTTGTTCAGTGTGGAGGAAGACTTGCAACGGTCGAATATTGGTGGGGTTTATAGGAGCGGTCTTGGTCTTGGGCTTTGCTTTCCTTTTATTTTTTATTTTCAATAAATATTTGTTATTGTAATATTGTACGCTGTCTGTGCAATGCGCATGTACATAAACGTAATTCTCCAACGGTCATTTTCCATTGATCGAGCTCATCTAAAGCTGGCAGTTTGGTTTAGGTACCAAAACCAAGCCCGTTGCTTCGAATTTTATTGATTTTAATTTTTGGCCTCGGGTGCTGCTGAGCCAGAGACGCCAGAGAGAGCTGCCCCCTGCACCTTTTACCATATATTCTTACCTTTTCTTTTGTGGGTTCGTGATAGAGGTGGTTTGAACGAGCCAAGTATCACTCTCGATAGAGATTCTCTAAACTTCACTTCCTAGATTGCCAATATTAACATGTCATATGCATCTACGTTTAACAACTAATAACGCGACAAATTAAGGCAAAGTGTTATGGAAAAAAGAGCTGATTTCAGTGCCATCTAATAATACACATACAACAATAACTAGGGTGGTGACCAAAACAATCACAATGTGTAATATCGAAATTGGTATCTGCGAACAGAGTCTTCACCCTTCTCATAATAATCTTCCTTCGTGAAAGTTTGTGTGGGGAAATGGGAGGCGGCAGCATAAGCAGAAGCTCCACGCCATGCATCTAGAATTGGATCCAATGCTTTGACTATCCTTATGGGTGAACCACACGGCCTAATCATCCGGATTCCAGCCTCCAAGCGCTCACTCATACCAGGAAACAGACTACTACCACCAGTCAGAAAGACTGAACTGGTCAGCCTCTCCTCCAGCTCTTGGCCCTTCGTTGGCAGCCTCCTTATCGACACCCCGGCCATCTCATCTAAGCCTGCCTGATCTATCCCAATCCAGTTGGGATTAAATAAAATTTCAGGGCATCGAAACCTTTCAACGCCAAAAAAGATTTGAAAATCTTCCTGGGTTAGCGGACGAAACCGTGGTGCTTCAACGGATTGATGGTTTGTGGTATCCGTTTTGGGAACAAATGTCGGGTCTACTTCCTGCCAAAGCAAAATTATCCAAAATAAATAATGACGATCAACTGTAGTCGCATCCAGCACTTAAGTGAACCAAAGTAAACAGACCTGAAGCCTAGAAGTGAGACGCGCCAGCTCTGCTTCATGCTCATCTGGTCCCTCATCATCGTCATCGTTATCTTTGCTCATGAGTTTGTAAAGTTGCCAATCTTCATCTCTCGCACCAAAAGTATCCTCACCCTTGCCACGATCAAAAGCTGCTGTTGTCAATAGGCGCATCCTTTCCCTCTGTGCAGCATTTAATCTCTCACCACGCCCAACACTTCCAGAAAAACTATTTCCATTTGTATGTCCCCCATTTGTCTTAAGTCGTTTTCGCTGTTCAACTTTCTCAGAAAGATCTTTATATTTAGCATGCAACTGCTCTAAATAAAGCTCTGGGTTTTCTCTACAACAAAGAGAGAGAGAAGAGCATAATTAACAAGGAGAGGTACACATTCCAGAACTTCTAAAATCATCAGGGGACTCTAGCATACTAAACATGTATTCAAAAGAATAAGCATTGTTAAAACCTAAGTGTCGTGCAAATTCAGGCAGAATGGTCTATTCCCTTCTTTTATCCTGCTCTCCCTTCTTCATAATATCCCAATTCAACTGAACCTCACAAAACCTTATTTTCAACCCCATGTATTAACCTTCTCTTCTTAAACCCTGACCATAATAAATTGAATTTAAAGAAACAAAAATAAAAGCATAATGATGTCAGCACATACAAACGTTTTTGCTCATCTTGTTGATTTCTCCTTTCCCGCTCTAATTCTTCTTCATAACGTTTCTGTTTAGCTCGCTGCCGACCTTCAGATGTGGTTTTGAGAAACAACTGTCTCTTTTTCTCCTTGAGCTGTCAAGAGAACAGTAACAAAGACTAACATCAATGAAGGGAAAACCTAAAGATAATATAAGGAAAAAGCACTAACACTATCTGGTTGATGCAATCTTCAGATGTTAGGTTATATATAGACATCAAAACAATACATAAAAGCATATACCCAGAGGACTTAAGGTATTTCGAGTCATAAATAAATGTTCAGAGCAATGAATTGAGTGCAGATTAAATATATAAATCTTTTAAGTGCAATAGACAACAACTTCAAAATGGTGGGGAATGTGAAAGACACTTGGCATAAAAGCATACCTGCTCAGGGGTAAGCATGTTGTCAGGGATATTTAAAAGAGGGAACCTTTCGCCTCCTGCAGGATCTGTCTTCTCCTCAAGCTCAGCTTGTTCAGCCTTTGGTTCACCTTTTGCTTTCAGTAAAGATTGTCTCACCTTCACAAGGGCAGATTCTACTTCCTGCTTGGAGACATAGCCAGTGGCTGACAAGAAAGATGGTATATCATGCTCTTCCACCTGTTCAAGCTGCTGTAGAAGAAATTCCAAACCGTGTGATTCATTCTCTAGTTCATTTATCCTAGAAGATCTCTTCGCCTCAGCCATTTCTCGCAATCGTTGACCTTGTTTCTCTTTTATGGCTGCCTTTCTTGCAATCTCTTCTTCAGAAGGGGGCTCCTCAGTAGGTGGTGGAACCCATGGGAGCTGCCACAACCTTGTTTTATCTTCAGCTTCCTTGGTCCCTTTCTGTGACAAAAAATATCAACTGTTATCTCACGAAATTTGGATAGGAGAATGGATTGAAAAAGGAAATCCTCAATACCTGAAATAACCGAGCTTCCAACACATAATCTGGGGCAATGTAACAGTGCTCCATCTTCAGGTCCTCAACTTTCTCCCACGAAAACCTAGCCCTGTTGCATTAAATACACATAATCAGAAATCTTACCCAAGTGGTCCCCATTCAAGTGATGCGAGCAAAACCAACCAAATTCTACTTACATGTGATGAGGGTATTTGAGTGAAAGAAGCTGCTTCATATAATCTGTGATGTGGTACCCACCGATGTTAGTTCGGCAGCTTCCTTGATACATAGGTTCGCCATCAATAAACTGGGAATGAAACACAAAAATCATGGTCAACCTATAACAATCAAGAGAGCAGGCCTCGGCTGTGTTATCATCTTTGTCAATTTATTATCTATTATGGAAGCATATAGATTGGAATTCCATGCTGAAGATTTGCTTGAGGCCAATAAGTTTAGATATGTTTGTATAAAACCAAAACTACATATCCCAAAATGAATCATGATGACACAGCTGATTTATAATTATATCTACAATCACACAGAGAAGTAATGCATGCTAATACGCACATTACTTCACATGCACACCTCAGTCCTGGATTTTTTTTTACTATATAAGTCGTTACGTAAGTTAAACACATACCAAGACCCAGAAAGAAAGCATACCGGAATAACATGAGTAGTGGTAAATCCAGGACAGATAGCAAGACCATCTTTATCACAAACCCCATGCTGCTGATTATACTTATAGCTGAATGCAGCATCAACACCAAATGCTGTGAGTATGGAAATGAAAAGGAAAACAATCACGAAAGAAATAGATATAATAACGGAGCAAAAAATACACAGGACCAAAGACCAGGGTGGAAGCATGTCTGAAGGGGGTAAAATTTGCAGAGTGTTGATACCTATCGATGGAACTCCATATGTCTCAAATAAAAGTTCAGCCATTTTACTACGAGACTGAAATGGGTTGCATACACATTCAGTAATCAGGATCGGATGATCAATCTGTCCTGCCCTCAAAAGAACACAAAGTTAAGGAAAAGTTCTCATGAATATATAGACTGATCTGAAACCTTACATAAAAAAACACAAAGTATTTAAAATAAATAACTATTCATATGTATATCACAATATTTTTTTTTAAAGCAAAAAATACAAACACACTATTGCATATCATTCATGCAAACTAAAATTGGCCAACATGAACTAGTCTGCTTATATCATGCCATTCTCATATGGTCTTGAAATGCCACAGATGTCGGAATTTGAACCTAATAACTCATCCATTTAACCAAGGAATCCCATAAAGACCAACAACGATACAGGCACACCATAGATTCTACCAAGTTACCAACATCTCTAGAGAACCAGAACACAAAACATTAAGGCAGATGAAGAACCTACAGTGTTAGCCATTAAAAGCATGGTGCAAAATGTGATGGGAAACAAGCACTTGCCTCAACATAGACCAAAATCATGGTAGAACAAAAAAAAACAAAACAAAAACTGCTGAAAAGCTAACAGCTAAAAAATCCTTAACAATGGAAGTCTAGTAAAACGAAGAAACAAACTGTCCATTTTTTATCATACCTGTGATCCGTTTGCGCCCAACCGATCAAAGCCAAAGTCAAGAATCTACAGATGCAAAAGAATATCAGTGAGCAACAATTTACATATTACTGCAAGCATGTGTACACGAGTAATCTATTTTGAACAAAAAAACAAGAATACATATAAAAAATTATTTTTCTGATTAAATGTGAATCGGAAGAGGTGGAACCAGTGACCAAGATATAAACTTTCAAAATAACGAATCAGTAGGCAAGATAAATAAGAATTGGGTGCCCATAGAATCATTAGTAAACTTACATATTCCATAATTTCAAACTGGAAAACAACATTGCTGTCAAAAGCTGAGCGAGGTCCGGAGCGTGTGCAATCAAAGTATTTCAACAGTGTAGGATCATGGTCTCCAACTATGGTCACAGTTTCACCTGCACACAGAATTTTTTATTTTTTATTTCAAAATTTTAAAATAAAAATTCGAACTTCAATAATTATACAAAATTACACATGAACGCGCTTCTTGAAACTTGTCAAAAGTGAGTGTACCAGTGGCTTTGTGGCGTGGTCTCTGAACAATGTTGCGGAAGATAACACGAGGCTCAGTTTCTCCCGCCCATCTGAAAATTTTGACCCAAAAAAATAAGGAAATTAGCAGAATTACCAGACACTTATGCACGTAGAAGTTGAATTAGGGTTTTTTGTTGCTCATATACCCGATGCGAAAATAGGAGGCGCCATTGTCAATGACGATGGGAGTAGAAGAAGGGAAGAGCCTGTAATCAGACTGCCGTTGAATTTGTGAAATGAAAGGCATTTCTCTTCTCTGTAGCCCAAGGCTTTGTCCGTGTGTTATGCCCTATCTTTCTCAGCTTCTGCTACAGTTGAAGTTCAACGATGGTAAAGACGAAGAAGAGACTAGCACAGTACCAAAAGTGGGCCGGGTCGGGAAGTCAAGCCCAAATTGGTTTTTACTCAAACCTGTTTTACCGCCAAAGACTGAAACCCGCCACGTGTGATGTCCACGTCCCAAAAAGTTACCCAGCATTTGCAGCAAGGGTCCCACTATTTTTTGTTAAAAAAGCCCATGCTTAGTGGTTCATGGGCATATAAGAAGAGACTTGGCTGAATTGGGCTCAGACGAAGCCCAAAGTTCCGTTGGCAAATGTCAAGTTTTGGAGGTCAACAAATAGAGGCTTTGACTGACCAAAAAAAATAAAAAACCAAATAGAGGCTTTTAGAAGCTCTCTCTTGTTCTTCAATGCCTTTACAAAATCATCTGATATTTTTTGAAACAAGCGATATTGAAAAAGGAAATTTTCTCACACACACTATTAAGGTGTTATGGAGTTCTAACATGAGACTACTGATTTGTAAGTAAATGATTTTTCCACTAGACTAGACTTTGTTGGCACAAAATCATCTCATATTACTAAAGCATCATAAGGCTTGATCACTTTATGAATTTTTAGTGATTTTTTTCTTTTCGGTATTTTCAATGAGAACGATTTTAACAAACCAAGAGGGGCGAGAGAGGAATCGAGCACAATACTTCAAGTACAAGGATAAATGATACTGTTGGAATTTAACCTTTGACCTATATTTATTGGGTTTTAATTGCAACAAGACGCAAACTTAAGACTTAAATCTTTACCCCACCCCTCCCAAAGTCACTCGAACTAAGAAAACTTGGAAATCATGACAAATGGTTTTGATCAGAAAATGCAAAAATGAAAGGGAAGGAGAAATGGTTTTTGCGCTTTCCTTTGTATGAAAACTACTTACAGAATTCTATGTAGAATCTTTTAGTAAACTCGTGTAACATGTAGTTGGTGAAACTCTAGAACAATAAGTGATATATAATTGAGGGATCACATGTGAAAGGGAAGGACAAATAAAAGTAGTGATAAAGAGTTTGAAACTAAGGAGTGGTGATGAACCATGGCAGCTGAGGGATCGTCCTTTTGGGGATTGAATTATTGTGCCATTGGCCATCGCAGAAACCAAATCTCACTGATTAAAGAGCAATTTGGAGTACACATTTTTGGTCTGGCATTACTGTCCTACTCGGAATCATTCAGGTTTCCGATAGATGTATGTGCATCGCTAGCATTGGATCCCACTATCTTCACTCTTCATGTGGATTATTTAAATTTTCATGGTGTTCAAAACTTCTCTTCTTCAGTGAACCCAAAAAAGCGCTTTCTAGTTAATCACTTAAGTTGAAAGGGGTTTTGATCTTTGAAGCCAAAACGCTAGCTATTTGATGCATACCCCTTTTATAGAAAAACACTTGTCTGAAAACCCCGGGGGGGGGGGGATCATTGTTTTGTGTGAAAACGCGTGGCAATTTGTGATTAACTGGAGATAACAAAACACTGTTATCCTCGTTTCATACAAGTTTTTGTTTTCTGCTTTTGTACTTTGGAAGAGAGAAAACATGGGCTCTCCTGTTTTAACCAGTTGCATTTTGGACACGCACGCGCAAAGTCCCAAACAACATGATCACTTTCGTACCAATTAATACCAATGGCAAACGCAATGGCAAGCTGTAGAAGCCGAGAGAGAGATAAGAGAAGAGAGATGATATGGCTCCAAATTTAACTGACATTTTCTTAGATGTGTTTTGTGCTGATGTAACGTGGCGTCATATCATCACATCTGATGGAACAAAATGGCCAGATAAATAGGGTTTGAGAAAAAAAATATTTGAAAGGCTAGCTTTTCAGCTATGAGGCTATATTTTTGCATGGCATCATCAAAAACATTTACTACTCTCTCTGCAACGTACGTTTTACTTTTACCCTCTCATCAAACCCACCCACCCACCCACCCATCACATATATATATATGTGTGTGTGTGTGTGTGTGTGAGAGAGAGAGAGAGAGAGAGAGAGAGAGAGAGAGAGAGAGAGGGACTGGCCAAGAACTGTTGTGTGAAAGAAAGGACCTACCAAAATGGGAAAGTCGTGCATGGGGTTCTCTACCTTAGGAGCAAGAGCCCCGCATACCACAGTTAAAAGTCCACCTCAATCTTCAGTACACTACTCAGATTCCTCCTAACCCAGAAAGAAAAAAAGCTCTTGGCTTTTCTCCTGTGATCATCCATCTCTCGACTCTCGATGTAGATGATGAGATATATATCTTTGTCATCACCAACACGACTACCTAAAAATTCTCCATTAGTAATTCTAATTATGTATAAATGTACAATTCAACTCTCTCACAAGAAGACTCATAACTTAATTGGTTTGATCCAATTACAATTAAACACATTAGCACTAGCTATAACAATTTAATGGTTTTCTGGATGCGAGCTCGATTGAAACAAATATTATTTCTTGCTCGGTCTCAATTATCAGTGACAAGGCATGATGATACCCATGTTTTGGCTTCTTTTTTTTATTTTATTAAAAATCTCTTTGTAATGCGTCTTGTTTTTAATTAAAAATATGTATGTATGCATATCGATATGGTTTAAAGTATAGCATTGGCAGACCCAATAATTTTTTAGCGGAAGTGCAATTTTGAAAGACTAAAAACTCTTTATAGATTGAACATTTAAGATTTTTTACTTAGATTGACCTTAGGTCCCTTCATGCATTCATATATACATGAAAAATTGTTTTATGTAAAAATATTGACTAGGTATGAAAAATGGTTTTTCAGAATAATCATATTCTCAAGATAATTTTTAGCGGCTTTTATTCCTTACACATCAAATAAGAAAACTTGATTTTATGAGATTTTAGTATGAAGTATATATTGACTTAATGAGCCATCATTTTTAGCCTAAATCTTATTTTGCACTAAAAATGATTTTTCATATTTTGATTTGGTGGGAATTTGATTTTCTAGTATTTTTATTTGAATCTAAATAGGGGGTACTTCTTTATTTACATTGTAAACTTAAGTATATGAAGTAATATAAAAATAAATGAAATTAAAAGGGCAAAGACATTTATACTGGAGTGCACCACTAACAGCTGAGCAAATGAGCAATTTGAAGTAAGCACAATGATTTTTCCAACGATGAGCCTCCTTGCGCCTTAATAGGTCTTCCACTAAGTGCCAGTTTGACATTGCTTATTTGGGGTGATAAGTGATTTTTTTAAAATTTTGAGGAGCCCAACCCGTTTGATAAACTATGAGAAAATCACTTATTGTTAAAAATTATTGTGAGAGAAAGCTATAAGGGAAAGCAGCTAATGAGGTGCTTTCACTTTCTGATTAAGTTTCGAAGAGACGTTGGGTTTAATAATTGTGCGGCAATCATTTTTTGATTATGTATAAAATAAATACCAACAATACTTTTAACAAAAATTTTACCAAACGCCAAACTCCTTTCTCTCACAGCTGATTTCTCTCACAGCAAATCTGACAACAATTATTTTCACAGCACAGCAATGCCAAACTGGCCTTAAGAGTATGGATACGCAAAAACCCTATCGATATTGTATCAATAATTATTGATGACATATTGATAGTTAGATCTTTATTAAATACCAGATATCTTGTACAACATTTGATTACACACACTTCAAAGCAAAAACCAAGAAGAAGGGAGGGAGGGGGGGGGGGGGGGGGGGGGGGTAGATTTTGAGATAGCGTGTTGGGAAGATAGGAGAGAAAAAGGGGAGCTGAAATGAGGCTATACGAGGACACTGTAGTTTCTAAATGGGGTAAGGCTATACAAGTGCAAATTGCAATCCAACGTAGCCTACGCCTATATCAAACAGTCCTCAGCGAGATTTTGGGGCTTCTTTTTTCGACAACTCGTTTCAGATTTCAGAAGCGCCCCAAGACCAAGACCAAGAGGGCAAAGTAGAATTGTAGCAGCTAGGTTTAGGGTTTCTTTTGCTGTTTCCTTTCCTTTTAACAAATAAAAAGATTATAATTAAGTCTTGGAATCAAGTTTCTGACATAAAATATGAGAGTGCATTATGGGAGAAAATTTATTTAACTTGAGAAGATTAATGTTTAACAAGTAATTAACTATGACTCTTCTTGGTTGGGCCATCCTTTTAAGAATTTGGTATTATTAAGAAATTAAATGAAGGGAAGAAAAATGAATAAAAAAAAGTACTGCTATACGAACCCTAACATTAACTGGTACACTCAATAAAATAAATTCATTTAGCATCACTCAATAGAAAAGATAGACTACTTGCTTGGACTTGGACTTGGAGGTAGTGCTTGTGGCTCTTAATTTCGTCCGAAAAGGAGACAAGGTTTGTTTGTAGGGCACTAGAAAAGCACGTAGCCCCCACTGGCCACTGGTTTCAAAGTAATATATCTCAGCAAATCAATAAACCAAAGTTCTCTCTCTCTCTCTCTCTCTCTCTCTCTTTCCCCATATATAATTTATATGAGCTGTTTTAGCTGTGAGAGAGATTCATCTATCCTAGAGCTGCATGTGACGACAATCCAAGTCACCATGATCTCTAAAGTTTTCATATAAAAAAAATTTTAATTGAATTCTTTTAAGGTTCAAAAAGCAACAAATAATTTGATTTGATAGACATTAACTGGTGATATAAGTCACTGATGAGGAGGATATGTGTGGCTGCGGCGCCAATTTTGTTTCATTTTTTTCATTTTATGAAATAAGGGGGAAGAACCCCATTTTTTCAAAGATTTTAATGATCAAATAGGTTGAACACATATTTGTGCATGATTAAGACCTTTGATGGTTCAGATAAAAAAGAGCCACTATATTTATGTGTATACAAATCATCGGCATCTTCACGAAATCAAGGTTTATTCTCAATCTAGAAGGACTTAATGAGGATGATACAAAATGAGACTCTAAATACA